TAACCTACTGTTTTTGTTGGTGGTTACTAATAATTTTTATCTGATCACTATAAAAAAAAATCCCAAAATGTTATCTTCGAGCAGGATAAAATATATCGGCTTGCCACGATTCATTCATACACCGAGAGCATCGAAGCTGCTCCAGTTAGGCACTATGGCATCCGTCACCTGAAATTGTTTGTAATCGTAAATACACAGCCAACCTAAATATCTTACTATTATATCTTTGTTTTTGTGTGTGGAAGTAAAGTTATTTATTTTACTCTAGATGTAAAATATACCGGAAGGTACAACTTCACACTGCATCATCTTTTCTCAAATCATTAGTCTCTAATATGATACCACTTTGTACGCTTATGTAAAATGCTGTATATAGTTTCTCCTCCCTTTTACTGTGTGACCAATCGCTCTTTTTATCAATGACCTCATCTGAATAAATGTATATAAAAGATTTGTGCAAGTTTCATGAAACTGGAACTCAGAGTCACTTCTTGTATAGGACACTGCTAAGTGTAGGCTTTGAAAAAGGACCCTACTTTGGGGAGTTGTTTCTTCTTTCACAGTGCAATGATGCAACATGTTTTTAATAGAAATGAATGCCGAAATAGAGTATAACAGGGTACCCAAATTTAAAAAAAATCAAAGGTGGTGTTTTTTTTTTTATTCGCATTGGAATTTTTCTTTGTTTGATTTTTTTCCCATGTATGCCTAAATATATTGTAACTGTTGTGTCACTGAGATACCTTATTTATTTTTTCAATAATAGCCATATATTAGTAAAATAATGTCTGCAAGTTATGTAATAATGATTAAATTATTTCATGAGATACAGATTTCCAAAGTTTGCCATTTGTCGTTCGAGCAGGCATGTTTGGCAATTTTTAGAAAACTAAATAAATTTTTAATAAATATTATTACTTTATATTACAAGCAAGTTGTACCCATAGTTTGTTTGTAAAAAGTTTTAAAATTCTCCTAATTTTATTGTTTTAATTATTCACTTTCAAACTTGCCCCCTCCATTAGTGCGCGTTATTGCAACTGTCCACCTCTCCCTGCCTTACGATTTTTCTTGTCTCCAAATTTTTTTTCTGGTCAAAACTAAGTGTGGATTCGTTTATACCAGACACTATACAATGTCATATAAAAACATCAGTTGATTTAAAAATGTCGACCAGCCACCCTTTGGTCGATCTTATCTGAAATCACCCTACAGTAATTCAATTACTATAATTGACCCCGTAAGTGATGACGTCACAAGATGGCGCCTGGGTCCAAAAAAAACGTTGCTAGGGGCGTTGCTATGGACTAATGCATGGAGACTCCACACGAGGCTAGATTTTCGCTTACAAGTAAGTAAATAATTTTTTGTAAGCAACCTAACTTCTTGATATTTAATTATGAAGATGTTCTTGTCATCTCAGCGTCGTATTTAACGATGAAAGCCATTTCTGAAGGATTCCACTCCGCTTTGCTTTGGTAGCAGACGACACGATAGATTTGCTGGCCTCTGTTGCAGCGGGCGTCTTCATTGAATTGCGTCGGTAAACGAGCAACACAAGCAAGCGCGTCGCAATGGCCGTAGAAGCCTCCGCAATGTGCGTTTTTTTTTGTTTTTTTTTTTGTTTTTTCTGAAGAACCCAGTTTAGTTCAGAGGGGCGAAAATCCCGTAAAATCAAACCACGTCATGCAGATCAGTTACGACGACGTGTTTGTTATTAGACAGTTTTAGTAGACCGTACGCTATAGCTTTGCGTACGCAAGGAGATTGCGGGTCGTGAGTGCGCATGCGTAGAACGCAATAGAAGGGCTAGCGTATTGCGTACGCACGCAACGCTGGGGATTTTGCGTTGCTGGCTAGCGGGCCTTGCGGGACGCTCTCGAGAGATCTCGGACCCAACGAGAGCGCCAGTTTCAAGATGGTGGTTGCCTCGACTGGCGCAGCAAGGGCGACGTGGTGTTTTCGAAGTTCTGTGTTATGTGAAATTGCGCGGTGTTCAGCTCGGCGATTCTTTCTGAGATTTACCGCGGTCGAATCAGATCGCCCTGCAGCTGAAGGAGTGTACAGTGGAAATGTTCGCCGCTCGCAGTGTGCGTCGACGCTGCGATCTGCTCAACGCTAAGCCTATTTCCACAGTTCATCGCCGACGGACGAACGACTCTAAAAGAAATCGCCGAAGTTCTGGCTATGAACTGGACATCAGGGTCATTAATTTCATTCCGCCATAGCATTGATAAAAGGTGCCGTTTCCACGGGACGACTGAAGGAGGCTACGTGATCGAATTTGGCTACGCACTCGTACTCGTAGCCTCTTTACCCCGCAGAAAAGCGCGCTTGACGAGGCAGCTGTGGCTTGGTTTAATCTGAAATAAAATGATTGGACACTTTTTCTTTTTCAATATTTCTTTCCAGGAGCATGGTTGCGCTAGTGCCACTAAATAAGCTACGCTTATTTAGTGGCTCTAGGTTGCGCTATAAGCACGCGGAATTTTATTGCTCTAGCAAATTTAACCAATATCATGTGCGGTGTTCACTCGAAAACGTAACGTACAACTAAATTCGGTCCGAGCAGGTCATTTTTAGCGTACGCTATACTATAGGAAGCGAGCATGCCGGCCGTGTCAGCCGTGTCGCGGCGGTCGCCTATTGTTCGCCGCGACCTACCGGTAGCAGCCGCAGGAGCATCGGGGAGCGATGGCGACGAACAGCACGGCAGACAGTGTCCCCGTCGTGATTACGAAGGAATTTAAGGCAGTTACGAGTTCGGAAAGTTCCTTCGGTAGCCGGTGCCGTCGGCGCAGAATCATCGGGAAGTAATAGCAACGAACACCACAGAGGACAGAGGGCGATTACGAATCCGGAAAACTTCTTCGGTAGCCGGTGCAGAATCATCGGGGGAAGCAATGGCGATGAGCAGCACAGCTAGCACAGCGGATAATGTTCCCGGGGTTACGAATCTAGAAAGCTTCTTCCGTGGTACCAATATGAAGAAGAGAAAACTCCTTCGTGAATCTGGCCGCGTGTACGACGTGAAGGAGGTCCGTTTCGACGGACAAGTGGATGTCACGGAGCGCCGTACTCCGCTAACAAAATTAAGCGTGCCCGCAAAAAAATGTAGTTGGCGTTGAGTGGACCGTGGTAATTATGTACGTTTATTTCTGAATCAGCTTGACAATAACTGGGCGATTTTTTTCGCGCCGTTCCGCGATTCCCACTGCTATCTTCCTGTAGGCTGATGGAAACATCCAAGTGTGCTTAGGGGGGCGACCGCACTCCGCTTCTCGATTCCGGTGAAGTATTTGCCGCATACTTTAGAGTTTGCCGTCGGTGTCGATGCTGTTCCCTCGTCGCTAGAATAGAAAAAAGTTAATTGTATTATTCGTCAGCAGCTTAAAGCGCGAACAGAAAGATAAGAAACGCCACTAACCTGTATGGACGCACAAGTCGCATCTGCAGGTCGCGCAGTACTCCGCCTCGTACGGCCGTACGGCTTCGAAGGGACGATGTAGTACTTCGTGCCGTGTGCGATCTTCGACGTACTGTAGCAGCCGACCACGCAGCAATTGTTGCGGCTTTCTTGGTGCGGAATAGCCATCTCAGAAATTACAACGCTAACCCACTACAACGCACAACCAACGCAGCGACTGGCAGAAGCTCCCCGATGCGATGGACCCGTTTGCCGCTAGGGGCGCCCTGGTCGGGGCTTGAATTAGATGCGGACGGTTCCTATTGCGTATTGCGTACGTAAGATCCAGCAACGCTATACTAAAACTGTCTATTGTTATTATTGAGGTTGTCAGGTTATTAAAAAAAATTGCATGTCTATCGCAATTTCGCTTTTTTTTTTTTTGTATACGTTAAATATAGTGGATGTGCTCTTTCGGTGAAGATCTCCATCGTACCCGCGATGAGAGTACAATCTGTAATAAGCTCACCTTATGTTTTTATCCAGTTCTTTCGCGTTTTGGGGTCTTGCGGAAATCTGAAGAAACTGCAAGAATCTTTCTCCACGCGATGGTTAGAACCAGGTACGAAGCACCCTCCCATAGCGCGAGTCCGCGAACAAAATTTGGGATCTTTACCGGTCGCCTGAAGTGCTTTTCTCACGGGTGCATTGCGGTTTTTTAGCAGACGATCATCTCGATCGACGCCCGGGCTTTCGATAAACCATATTTTGCATCGCACCCCACAATGAATTCTTATAAGTGTCTAAAACTCATTATAGACGCTTTCAGCGCGCGCCAGGTTGAGCCGCCATAGCCGACCTTCTCTTGTCCTGCCGAGATGCCGAGCCACTGAAGCGGGCGTTGACGAGACTCCATAAGGGCCTATGCTGGGGGGGAAGGACACAGTAACACTTAAAATTGCAATAAGCTGTCCTGCTGTGGTAATGATGAAGTGGAGCGAACGGAATAAGACGGAACAAAAACTGAAGGTCGGCTATGGCGGCGCCCATGCGCAGCTGCTTGAAAGCGTCTATATTTCAAACAAATGCAATATCAGAATATCGTCTTTATTCACCCGACTCAGACGCCGGCTAGGCGGGCGGGCGTGTATCAGACGGCATTCTTGCATTCGTCGTCTGCTGCAGGCATCTTGAGGACCGGAAGTTGCAGTTGTAAATATTTCAGAAACAAGCGATTACCGGCACACTCTGTCGAAACATATATGACATTCAAGCTTTCTATATATGTGATTTTTAGAAGTTTAAATCCTACTCCCGATTTTTGAACGGTCGGGTTTTCGTAGCGAAACCTAGCCACATGCATTTCTCCATAGCAACGGCCCTAGCAACGGTCTGTTTGGACCCATGACGTCACATTTACGGAGTCAATACGCGTTTATAAAAATAAATATTATAATTATTTTAATCTAGCTTTCTGTCTTATGATAATTATTTTCACAAGTTATGAGTATGACCAATGCTGGCGTGTCTTTTTTTTTTTTTTTTTTCATTTAGTACGGCAAGGGATTATTTGGCTCATTCCGCCAAATGTCACCGCAACGCCCTTGTGGTCTGGCAACCAAGGTGACCTTTCGCGAGCAAATTTTGCTGTAGGTGCTGCACGTCGAGATTTCCGAGGGTACAAATTCAACGTTCCTATCGATTTTCTGCACATACCTTCATCATGATTGCCCGCCTAGCAGCTCAAAGGACACTGCAGTGCATGCTGAGTGAGTGCCGCTTTGGTTTCCTCGAAGAGCCTTCTATTTCGTCGTCTTTATCGATCTCGTCTACGGGAATTCATTCGTCCGTGTAGCGCTCACATATCGACCCTTCAACATTTGGACGTTATCATTATCAAACAAGTCACCTAGACTTAAGGGTCTCGTGAATTGTTGAGGACTTCAGTTTCACTTACTTTTGGGGCCTTTCTGACGATGTGGCTGCTTCGGTAGAGGTAGCGGGTTCTGGGCACTTCTTGCCGGCTCGGACTCCTAAATAAGTCGATGCGCTGCTCAAGCCACCTACCCTTGACACGCTGACATACACGCAAACATATCAGAGAGGAGAAATGAAAGGAAATTATAAGATTTCCGACCATCTGCAAACGCATCGATTTAAGCAGCAGCCGGACTTTCAGTGGGCAGGCGACGAAATACTAGAAGTCTGCGAAAAAGTGGAGCTCACAGCAAAGCAAAAACGAGCCTTTTATCATGACGGATACGTTTGTTCTAACGCTTCGTCGCTCAGAATAGTCATGTGCTGACAAGGTCATCGTGATATTTAGTCGACTAATTGTAGGTAACTTTGGTTTTTCCCCCGAAAGCGAAAACCTAGACTTTTCTTACCGAGTTGCCTCGGAAACTAAACGACGCAATGCTCGCTTGCCGTGGTAAATCTCGCCCATGTCCCGACGCGAGCGCCCCATAACCTAGCCATAACATAGTCGCATGCTAGCATGTGAACAGGCCTGAACCTTTCTCTGCAATGTCGGTAATGTTGGTCTTCGAAACCCACTGAATATACTACAGGGCTCTTCGACCCCTTCAGCTTACCAGTTCTCCAGATCGTTGGAACCTAAAGTAATTGTAGCATCCAGAGACCATTCCAGTAATCACCTTGTGCATGCTGTCATCTTCGTCTTCTAGGCTGTAAAACGCATTCCGAACATGCGCAGTGGCTCTGCTCCTCTGCAGAATGTCGGAATGCAGGTCCAGTAGCTGCGTCCAGTAACGGGACTCTGCATACTTTGTCTGGGTGATAAGTGCCAGAAAAGTGTACAGTAGTGTAGCAAGCTGGGATAGTTGGTAGACAGTAGACATACAAGGACAAAGACACAAGTAACACGTAGGACACACGAATGCAGACTTGCAACTAACGTATTATATGAAAGGGAAGAGGAAATCTATCCTGTTCTCGATTCCTGGTCCAAGAGTTCTTTGGCATGAAGCTCCACGGGTGTGGCACGAGTGAGGACGTCTGATCCTGTTATCTCCATCGACCTATGATGACCTGGATTCGGCTGGCCGTGAAACAGTCTGCAGTTGTCCCCCACTCCGTCCACGCAGTCATTAACCCCGTCGCGTCGTTCTCTCCCTAGGGAGGCCCGCGGCGCGGCCCTCGACCTCGTACGCGCCCGACCACTTCAAGCCGCCGACAATGGACGATCTGCCCAAGTTCCTGGGGCCCTGGGAGGAGCACTATGCCAAGCGCCAGGCCAAGTTCAACATGCAGCTTGCCGCGGCGGTCGCCTTCTTCCTGACCACCTCATTCGTGGTGAGTAGGTTCAAAAAGGCCATGCAGCATGGTGTGGGGAAGTTTGCTTCCGGTACGCGTTAGAAGTATGGCACCCTGAATGCGACTTCGATCACCGTTTACCGTGTCCGAAACAAAAGTGGTCCTTTGATTTACGTTGGACGACATTGTAGAAGTGCCACGCTGTTGCCGGCCAAAATCCTGGCGGTGTTACAGCAGTAGAGGTGCACGTAGCAGACGCCCGTTCCGCCGCGAGTCGCTTATCAGCTTGGTGGTTCGTGGATGCTTCAGCAACTGAGAGTTCGGATGCCGCGACGACGGCGATGCTTGCACTCGCTCGTGGTTTTCGCCGCAACTTCTGGCACCTGTTAGGATCGCGGCATCCGGCAACGCAACGCACCGGCTTCTGCGTCGTCTCTTGCCACTTGGGGCCTACTTCCGATGCATGGGCGGGATAAGACACCAGACAGACCAGTGGGAGACGCCTCCCATCGAACGAGCTTGTGGTCTTTGACAGAGAGAGAACGGCGGGGAGGTGTTTTGGTTGGCTTGCCTCCAGCGCGAGCTTCTTACTTCGATGACAATCCCCTGGTGCAGTTTTTTTTATATGTTCAGTGGCATTACAACAGCTTTAAGAAACAAGATTGGCTAGGAAGCCACAAGGGGTGTTCTGAACTAGTCTGCCTCACACTGCCTAATTGGCTGTGTTACAGTTATGCTTGGGAGGCTGCCATCGAAAATTGTGCACATCTTAAACCTGTCCCATCTCTCTGTTCCAGGTGTACTCCTTGGACATTGTCGACTTTGTGGACCCTCCCCCAATGAAGAACAAGGACTGAGAATTCTGCATAGGGCGGCTCTTGTCCGTCTTTCATTTTCCCTTTATTTGTAGGTCTGTCGGATTTTCGCGTTCGTGACAATAAAGAGAGTCCCACGCGTGACGGCATTTTTGGTGTCCCCCAGTGGCGCGGCAGAACAGAAAAGAATCCATCTCGCAATGTGGAGTGTTTCGGTGTGAGGCTTTTGGAGCATATTCCTAACGACAGCAGTTGTTAGTTGCACCGCTCCAAGAAAAAGTTGGGATAAAATCGGAGGCCTTCTACGGAGTCGTCCCGGCACGCCAGACCTTCGCTCTCGGCACTCAGCAGCCTGAGTTTTGGAGAAAGAAAAAAAAACAATGGGATATCAGTTAAATATTGTTTGTGTGCATCGTAACACGAACCACAAGGATGTTGCACTAACCAGGTGGCAGAATTATCACTCTAAGAAGTGTGTCCTGGGGATCAGATTGGAGGGGGGGGCCATTACAAACTTGTAAATGCACCGAAGGTATGCTAATGGACTAAAATGAAGTGAAAGCAAACTTTGAACAGAGTTAAGATGCTCCGTAAAATAGTTCTTACGAGGTTTGAAAGAAAAAGAACTGCCTTTCACATTTCAAACTACCGTAATACTATACCGTGGAAGCGCCCACTATTAATATTTCCCGCAAATTATGCGTTAAGCGCCCGGTTTTCCCGGTTGATTCAGTTTTAGTAAAAGTGAAGTGTGCACTTGCCTGTATTTTACGATAGCCATGTTTTGATAAAAAAAAAATTCATGCCGCTCTGTAAGGAGCCAAGCATTCTTGTTCCCGAGATGAAAACGACTACAAATGTTTGGTCCTAAGCTAGGGTGACCACCTTCCTGCTAGCGATATGCGGGACATGCAGGGCGGGGAGGGGGAAGGGGATAGAGGACATTTTTTAACACTTACTACGAACCGAGGCTCTGTTAACAGATTTAATATTATGTGCTGTTTATACACCTGCTAATTGTATTGGGGCAATTAAGCTCAAATGATTTTCACCCCCAGTAATATATATTTATGCCAAATGTGTTACTAAATGTACTGAAAGTTGAAAACAAAAATCAACTAGCACAACTCCATGAATCAGATAGAAATAAGGAACAGTAAATCTTTTTCGGGTTATTGTTTCCTGTCAGCGCTTACTTTTATCAACACGGTCCTACACAATTTTTAGCATTATATTATTTTTCGACCGTCGCGAGTTGCAGGCTTTCTGCCTTGTGTAACTGTCTTCACTAAAAAAAAACCTACAGCAACCCCTTTGCATTTACACAGCAATTTGAAAATATTTACAATATTTTATATTTAAACTTTTAGCAAGCAATTTTTTTTTTTAACAATATTTTGCCACCAAGGGCAGAAGCACAACGGCGCATGCTTGTCAGTCCTCCTGCAAGAACGACGGTCGCTTCCCGCAATGCTTGGATAGAAAATGGCGTACCACTGCGACTCACGCAATTACCAGCGACCTCCACACTTCTTTGTGCCCCATTGTTCAGCAGCACCACGAGTTGCAGAGTAAATTTTATGACACTGCGAAATGCGGGACATTTTAAAGATATGGAAATTTCTCGCGGGACAGTCCCATGAGTCGCGAGACGGGCGGCCGCCCTATCCGAAGTACAATTTTCTTCAGTGCCCTTGACTGCTGTCGCGCATATCTAGGTATCCTTGGGGTAGTCGAGTATCTGCGCACCACATTTCGGTCGCATGTAGAGAAAAAGCACGTGCTGCAGGTTATTTGGACACCAGTGACTTCGATTCCCACTTCTGTCGGTTACGTGTAATAATCACTGTGTTAATCACATCAGAGACTCCGTGTTAGTGGTTTCACTGCACTAACCAAGTTGACCCTTTATGGCACAGATGCAAATAAATAATAATTTAACTCTCAGGGTCTAAAACACACCAGAAAGATTACTGGCCATACCTGAGGCCTGCAGAGCCACATTACTGCACAGGACTACAAATTAGCACTCGTCAAAGCTGTGTAAACATTAATGAAACACGTTCGACTCTTGGCTGTCACCAACTGCGCCATTGCCATCAATTCATTTGTCACTCACCTGGGGGTGCCATTTTTTTTATGCCGATAAATAAGTCAGCAGTTCCAGACACAAACCTTTTTTTTTTTCTTTTTTTTTTTAGACAAAATTAAAAGTGAATTTAGAATAGACTTTGCTGCCCCTTTAAGCTTTAACAGACGACGGGCTGAACGAAACGGTGGAAAAACGCCGTCCACTTTCGAGAACTCAATGAACCGCTTGAACAGAAGGCCACGCCCACCTCTCCTTTGCCAAGATGACCGGTATCTCGATGAGCGGGGACAGGTCTTCTGCCGACAGTGACCCGTGTTCGTCAAGCTGAAACAAATCGGGAGATTTTCTACCGGTTAGCTCCTCCCACCACAGCCGACAAGCCTGGCTCCTTTCCCAACACACGCTTTGTTCTCATTTCTCGAGAAGTTTCGAGTCTGGGTCGTTCTCAAAACTCACCAACTGCCTCGTCTCGGCCGCGAGCTTCTCGTCGCTTTGCGTTGCCAGCCTCAGCACCGTTACGCCACTTGGAAAGACTTGCATCCTGGGAAAAAAGGCCGGTCATGGCGAACACCACAAGTGCCTAGATCTGTGGGGTGCTTCTGAGCACAATTCAGGTGTAAAAGGTTTGTTCATAAACGAGCCAATGAACTGAATGTGATAAAACTTTTTGGAAAGCCATCTTTAGGTGGTGCACCTACCATACCCTAATTTCAAGAGTGTAGGTTGTAGGAAAAACATTTAAGGTTAAAAAATCTGGCTTTTTTTTTTTGCACTGGGAAGAAAACAGTGTAAAACGGTGTAAACCGCTGTTGCTCCCGGACAACATCAAGTAAATCGTGAAAGCTTCTTTGACCTAATACCCTAAAGCAGATTTGGCAGATCCGAGTGAGTATGGTACCTTCTGCAAATAGCAGCAACAACTGGGTTTCCTCCCCGAGCTATAGGAAAAAACGGAATTTTTTAGGTTTACATTTTTCTCCTAAAATCCACACTTGTGAAATTTGAGCATGATAAATGCACCATTTAGAGACATTGTTGTGAGAAGTATCAATGTACTCTAATCATTGGTTTATTCATACAAATTGTTTTACGCCCGAAAAGTGCTCTGAAACAACCTGTACGTACGTACGCTCATCGTAGAAGCAATTGCCGAAATGTCAACAAGGGCACGGACACGTACCGTAAAGGCAGATCCATCGCTTCCATCATTTTGCAGGCATTCAGCAGGTCCTCGGGTGATAGCAACTGCAAAGGGTGATCTTTTAAGTAGCAGGACACAATGAAATTGCCTTATAAAATTATTTTGACTCGGTGATGGGTTAGCTTGAACTTTCAGAAACCAAAGTAGAAAGAGGCAAGGTCTGTTTTCTTTACGTTCAAGCTGACCCATCACTAAAATGTAACAACTAGCACAACTAAAGCCTGTGACCAAATTATTTTGACTGTTCTGCACACACACTTTTCTGGTAATTGTCATGAACAGTGTCTGCACCTCCTAACTTCTGTCTATGACTGTACCGTTTGTTACACACCGTGCATACAAAAAAAAAAAAACATTTCCCTCCAAAGTAATCTCAAGCAATGTACTAACCCCACGTTCAGAAATCACAAAACCAATCCACACTAGGATAGAAACAGTTTTTGGCAAAACATTCCCCTTTTCTTTTTGTTTAGAAGCAGCAGTTCTTGTTGCATGAGCTTTTATTATTCCCGTCGTCGGAAAGAGCCCATGGACTCGCAACCTGGCAAAGAAAGGTGCGCCAATTTGACTGACAAAAACTAGGCTGTCCATATTCTGAACCAATTTTCTCCTTAACCACACTCAACGCAACGCTGCACTTGCCTTTACCCCTGTACCAAACTGTGCTAGAGAAAGACAGTCGTAGGACCAGCAATTTTATCCCCATCTCGGAGACCGCTCGCCGAACGGTAGGCACGAAGAAAAATGCTAATCACCTCTAATCCTCTCGCTCTGTTCACCCTGCAGTAGACATCCGTCAGTGCCAAGATCCCGCCGGCATCCTGGTACCAAAATGAGATGCAAAACAGCACCTTTAGGCTAGCAAACATATGCACCCAGGGTAAAGCAAATCCTGAAGAAAATTAGGGCTGCAGGCAGCAGAACTAAAGTTCAATGAACTTGTGCCAAGTTAGGACGAGCGAGAAGGTGCAGGAGATATGGAGGAAAAGTGGAAAGTGCAGGGCATGTCAGCCCTTGAAGCACGCTATACTACACCTCCTCTTTGCTTTAAGATTGGAGCCAATTCGACATTGCACGAGTGTCAGATGACCTTCGGGGGGGGCACAGCGATTTGTGGGGCACGCAGTTGCACGATATGTTGACGGCGCAGGATTGGCCGAGATGGCCTGCAGCGTAGGCTGTGGTCCATCGCAAGATGAAATAGAGTATAGTAGTAGCAAAACCGAGGCTGCAGGTGCACGTCCGTAGCAATGGTATATTCTCTCGCTCCTGTAGCGAGGACACGTTTTGGGGCAAGGTCTCGTACTAGTACACTACCACAGCGTATCTACGGCCATTAATCCGAAATTAAATACACAGACTCGATCGCAGCCTTCTTAGAATGGAAAAAGAAAACTGGTAGACGAGCCAGGCTCACATCTGGCGGTGAAAAAGCTGAGAATGACCAAACTTGTGTAAGAAAGTTCCGACGGCAGCTCAACCGTCTTCAGCTCCATTTTCTTGCCACATTGGTCCATTATCACCCTCGTCTAAGGGCATGCAGTATTTGAAACAATGCCCTTAACAATTCAAAAAATAGCCCAGCCCCCGCAGAGGGCAAATGGGGGTGGCTAGCTTTTGGTGTCCAACGCGAAACGAGCTGCAAAAGCAATGCCCGACTCGAAAGCTTGTCCAGCAATGCCTATATGAGAGGGCATGGTACTTTACTCGACAAAAAGAGAAGCTTCGTTTATTCCATTTTAAATGTGTTGAAAGGAACAGGATACTCATTGGCTACGATTATAACGCAATTTGCAGGTTTTCAAACTGGATTCCTAGGTTTTCCCAAAGTGGGTTCCCCAAGCTGCCAGGCCATCCTTAAATGGGGACACTACCCCCAAAAAAAAAAACATTTCTGCAAAGAAAGTTGATTTTGAAAAATGCCATATTTACATCCACCAACACCTGGAGAATATTCCCAGAAAGTTTTATGTGTTTACACTGCATAGATTAAAACACGTTTTTCTCCATTTCATTTTTTGGCATAAATTTTACTTTTATAAAACTATTGTTTCATTCCGAAACTATAGAGACTTAATATTTCCAGCTTATATACAAAAATTTTATGAAGCCGGTTACTATGAACTTAGATTTTGCATTTTCGCGTTCCTTTATTATGAAAAATTGTAATTCACAAAACTGAATCAATGTAAAAAAAAATATTTTTTTCATAAATTTTTTTATTTGAAAATTGCATTTTTTATTTTTTTTTATTTCTTGTTATGGTAACTGGCAACAGGCATTCCAGTATGCATTCCACCAGAAAAATATGTGGTTATCAACACCATTTCTCAACGATAGATTCATTAAGCAGATTCTATGCAAAGCTCTACTTTACTTCGTTCTGGGGGCATAGTACCTCATAGGGTTGGTTCACAGGGCTGAAACTTTGCATGCCCTACTTCTATATGGCTACAAACACCACCTGTAGATATTATGACGATTGAGTGAGAAGTTCAAAAGTTGACATCCCCAGGTAGTGTCCCCCCTTAAGCAAAGTGTTTTTTTTTTTTTTTGTTTTTTTTTCAAGCACTGTTTTAGCAAATCTGAGCCACCTATCAATGCATAACTATGAGCCAAACAGTTTCCAGCATGTTCATTATTGTATGCAAGCTCTGTAGGCTCCTAAACTGCTTTACTGCATTAATGCTGAGGTCAGGTGGTGTTTCTCGGTTATAAGCCAAGGCAAACGATTCCTCGAGATCAAAAAGTTTAAGAACGAGCCATTTTTTGAGACGGACCACACGTCAAGGAAAAGGCTGCAGGCCGAGCGAACCAACCTGCACGTGTTGTTCGAGGACCTGCGCCAGCTGCTTGGCCAGCTCCTTGTGGTAAGTGCTACCAGAACCATACATACTCTTGGTCACCGGGTCACTGATCCCCAGGGACAGCAGGTGAGACTTGAAGGTGATCGTCTGACAACAAGAAAGAAAAAAATGTCCCAGGGATTGCAGACCGTTCATACTTGCTGATTAGTTCCCGATAAAAAGTGGGCATGCCACCCGCATAACGGTACAGTAGAAGTTTTGTACACCAAAAAAAAGAAAACAGAAAAAGAAACCAGCTCAAATTTAAAGAGTGCAGTGCACGACAACAGTGCACTCCACTTATAACGATATGAGAAAACCGGAAAATGATTAGTCGTTTTAGCCGATTATCGTTGTAGGTCGAGGACTGGATACCCCATGCAAAAATACATGGCCCTCTAGAAACTGATAGTAGTCATAAGCAGTACATCGTTATACAGTGCAATGCAGTTATACTGATACCACATGTAACAAAGTACCGCTCCTAACGATCAGTTTCTAGAGTGTCTAGACTAGAAACAACCAGTTTGAAGTTCAGATACAATGATGATCGGTTATAACGATTGAATTTTCAGGTTTTCTCATTATCATTATAAGTGGATTCCACTGCACTTCCAAGCTTCTTTGCAAATTCTTAAAGTAAAGTCAGTTGAGAGAGACAAGGTTGTTAATACATCGGTACCCTTACTATAATACAGTCAAATCTCAATAATTCGAACTAGAGAGGGACCGAAAACTTGTTTGAATAAAGCAAAGTTTGAATTACCGGGAGTTTCCTCTTATTGAGACGCATAAAGTAGGACCTGCATGTTAGTTTGAATTATCCGCAAGTTTGAATTAAGAGAGTTTAAATTTACGAAATTCGACCGTAGTAACAAATGCATTAGTGCACTTAGTACAGCACAACTCATCTTTTATATGCAGTTTTACAATCACGCAGGTTCTTATGTGCAGCCATCTGCATCTGCAATTGTGTTGCAAGTTAAGAAAAGCAGGACAATCGCCTCCCAGAAAGCCCTCCACTCTTTTCATTTTAGTGAGAGAATGCGGCAGAGGTGAGTGGAGAGAAGGAAAGCCCCAGTCACGGCGAGCGGATAGCTTTGTGGGAGGGGCTTCTGCATTTTTTTAATCTGCAACAGACAGCAGGTTCTGATCACGGGTGGGTGTGCCAAAACATACCTCGTCGTCTGTTAACGAGCTCCCTTTCTCTTTGAGTTTCTGAGAGATGCTTTTTGAGAGGAACACCATCTCTTTCGCCTGAAATGGAAATGACGTCGACAAACTCATCACCATCTTGCAATGCCGCACCACGTGAACTCGGGCGCCGAGTTTCGGATGCAGGTTACCATGTCCATCAGCTTGCTGAGGTCCTCGAAGGCGGCGGAAATATTCTTGTCCGCTTCATCGTGCTTTGCTTGGATCTGCCGCTCAATGCCCACGATGCCGGTGCGGATCTTTTTACCCTACACAACACAAAAGGTCAGTACCCTTGTTACTACACTGGCAATGAAGAACTATGAGTTATGGTACAGATAATGAAATTTTCCCATTCTTCTTTATTACTATACCACAAATAGACATATTTTATCCAGACACAGACGGCATGAATAAAATGAGCAGGTCGAATAAACAGAGTGGTTCAGTCCCAATATCACACTTCAGTAAGCAACTAACCGCTGTCTTTCCCAAAGCCCGGCTTGTGGCCCGTCTTCCAGCACATTCGTGGCTGGCGGTGCAAAAAAGACAGAGCAAAAAAAAAATGGCGCCGCGATGCGCTCCGAATGTGCGAAGATACCAGAAAGATGAGAGAAACTGCATTGTAACGTGGGTCCTCTCGCCATATTATTAATTGAAGGTTGCCATCAGCAGCCATTACCAACCTTAGTCCCTTCATGTCTGTGTAACTATGTTGAAATTCCATTCTCGTGTACATTGCGCTCAGTGTCCTCTGTCGCACCCATTGCATGTCATCAGCACTAGTTTTATCGTTCCAATTAGTATTTTGCACCGCGCGAGTGTGCCAAACTTTCCATCCGCTTTGACTGACGACTGGCGAGTTTTCTTTGGCCACACATGCTGTGTAATATCCTGATTTGCTAAATATAAAATTTAAACTTTAAGCACATGTATCAATCTACCTAGGATTTTTTAATACATTTATTTCTGGGTTAGGCTATTTATTTAGTTTCTCCTTGTTTATCATTATCCTTCCTTCTCCTCGGCCCTCGAGAATATGACAGGTCGTTAATTCGGCCCCGTGGCCCAAAAGTTTGGAGACCCCTGATTAAAGCCCTGAGAGAAGAAGAAATAAAATAAAATAATGTTATTTTATTTCTCCTTGTATCAAAGTTTAGTTTAAGGAAAAATTTTAATACAGTACACTCAATAAAGTGCAAAAATACTGTAAACTATTCTGAATTAAGGTATGAGCTACTGTATGCAAAAAATTTGGGCATTCAATCATTTTGGTCAAAGCTGAGCTTATCTTCAAATGTTTAGCTGGTTCTAACTATAGTTGGGACATAAAATGTTAGGTTTCTAAGCATATTTAAAAATAAAAATTAATAACAGCAGCTGGACCTGCATTGTTAAAATCATACCACAAATTCATACCATTAAATACCGAGCATCCGCCCGTTCCATAACAAGCGCCCAACGCTCAATTTTGTAGCATTCGGAAAATGCACAAAAGACATTTTTACACATTGTTGACCTAAGGACCGTACATCCACCGGTTTTACACGATTACCTCCAAATTTGGAGCAGGCACTTGTTTAGGTTTTTACTGTACATACTTACTCTCGAATCCACGGTTGGCATCTTCAGCCAGTCTTTCTTCTGCAATGCTTTCTGCATTTCCTGGTAAAACTGAAAGCAAATATGGCCGTTTAAGCAACGCTTTCTTGAGCACCGCAGGTGCGGCGTTACCTCAGAAGCACCTCCGCTGCGGAAGGAGAAGCGGACGTAGTTGAAGGGGCTGCTCTGCACGGCACCCACATGCTTGTCCTCGTTCGGCGCACTCAGGTGGGCCACGATCTTCGGGCTGTCGTACAGTTACAACAGCTGACAAGTAATGTCACTCAACAAAGTAACAAAACTTGCTTAAAGATTTTACCAACTTTGAATGTAGGGCTTTCAACGCATTTTTTCCACGTTTATCTTAAGTACATCACGACTACTTTGGATGCTGTGGCACGGTGTAACTCACCTCTTGCTCCAAGTTGCACTCTGCTCTTCGATGAAAATGACCAGGCTCAGGTGTAGTCCCAGACGCTGTCTCTGCAAGTTATATAGCGTGGCATTCAGCCATCGATCGGTACTTTTAGGTCGCATTTCTCCGTACCTCTGAGCTGGCGATCCAGTAGACTTGATGGGACGACAGCACCAACTCGCCCCCTACGAAGGGACTCTGGAATTGAAATAGTGAAGGAATAATTAGATTTAGCCTCCAAAAATAAAAGGAAGGGATGAAGCTCACAACACTGTTTGTCTACCTTCTTGTTCTTGTCCGTGCCCTTGCGCTGTTTTAAATTTTAATACAGAAATAAATTTTTAATGCACCAAAACAAAATATGCTGCTTCAATTTGTGTCAATATTTTGACATCCAATTGCATTGACCTCGGTAACGTTTGTCTGATTATGACAATAATTGCCAGCTTGTGGTAGCTTACAACAATAATATAGCATACTATAGACCATTCCATTTAGCGCCCTCTGGGCGGCACCAATTTGTTCGACAGCAGCGCCCTCTCCATACGTCCGGAAAATTCAGCGGGTTCGACAGGGTAAAACGAGAGAGAGGGCATGCGCCCGACTCCGCTAGCAGACGACGAAACGGGAAGTTGATATTCTCTATCTTTGGGCTGTACGGAACATCGAACTCTCGCTCGTGGCTGCCGTTGTGAAGTGGTTTGCGTCCTTAGAATAGTTATGGCTACTCCAAAATCAGCCTATAGCTCTCTGTTGTTCTATTTCGGTAAATGATCAACTAGCATATCTTTTTCCGTTACTTAAAGGGATACTACAACGAAATTTCGGCGCTTATTTTATGGTCTATATGTGTTCAAAGGAGCAGTATCACATCGAACACACCAATATCTTGTTAAAAAAGTCACGAAAAGGAATTTTAAAACAAATTAAACGATTAGCAAAGAGCACTTGGTGGATGTCGCTAACGCCTCGTTTGTAATGCCCGTCTAGGAACCTTGACAGCTAGTGACGGTGAGTGTCTTGCCTCCGGCCACGACGAGAGAAGAGGGGAAGGAGGAACTCCCGTCTTCCCGAGAATTCCTTTTGTGTGTTCCAGAAGTAACCATTGTCCCCCTACAAGACTATAAGAGATTAACCCGTCACTCAAAGTTCGTACAAAAGCAGCAGCTTCGGTGGCTGGAACGACTAGGCCATCTCCTCGACGTAAGCCTCGCCGTAGCTTCACTTGTCTTGAGACGACCTACGTCATGATTGCGTCAGATGTCACTTGCCCTAAGCTGGGCCTTCTCCGAGCGCTTGCTAGAGTGGGCCGTTTATAACAAAAAATACAGCCACCAGGCTCAGAATATAAACGTGCGATTGTCATTAACGGATATTGTGGATCATATTCAACCTATTTTTGAACACGACGGGTATATTTCAAATTTCGTTGAAGTATCCCTTTAAATAGCAGTTGAGTCAGCCGGCAGTACTACCCTCAACTACTGCGTGTATGCGGCAGGAGAGCACGTTTTTATTTATTATTTCAAACTTCCACTCAAGGTTGCTAAAGGCCTATACCAGTACGAACTTTGTATAGTAAAAAAGGTACAGCAACCGGGTTTACTTTTCGCCGGAAAGACCGGCCAATCTGACACAGTTTTCCCCTTTTTTTTTTTTTTTTTAATTTGCACGCATGTAACTGCGCAATTGGGCCCTCTTAATCCTTTTATCGATAACTGCCATACCAAAATCTGGTCACCTGCGCTTGAAATTTCCAAAATGACGTGATTTTAAACAGAGTTTGTACGCCAGCCGGACGCCAGCCGAAAGCAGCTTCATAGCACGGACCTGGTCATTCTGAGTAAGGTATATGTATAAAGTGCACATACACGCGTTATAGGAAAACAAAAGTATTGCTAGACCTTTTGTACGTAAGAGGTATCAGGGTCTAAATCAAGCGTCAATGTATCGGAATGTATGAAAACGAAAGCAAGCTGAAAATGAGGAAGATCGGTTTTATTACATAAAATATACAACGCAAAATGTCGTTTCGATGGCGAAATAATTACAATCGCTGTGAAGATCGTGATATCACGCCTGTTATTTTTCAGCCTCTCTTTTGATCACTAATCGTAATTAACAAGACAAATTTCCCGTCTTGAAAGCTACTCATATCAACGCGCGGCACGCTGTGTCAACACACACATGAACGATAAGAGATGCTACCAACACACTAACGAGACATGTGACACAAAAAAATACCGGCCTGCAACGCCTACTTTATGAGTAGGTTGGTTGTTGATTAGCTTGTAACTGAACTTCATGCTTCGAGCAGCCTTCAGTTCCGCGTTAGTTTAGACGGTGTCCGAGTAGCAATACGAACAAGGTTGAACCCGCAACTACGCCTGTGGCTGTCCATTCGCATCTAAACAACAAAACTGCCGTTCTCACAACGAAAACACGCGGACAAACACCTCGAAAACAAAATATTGTGAACAGAGAAGACGCGCCCCACCTTTCTATCGCCGTCGTAGAGCGCCACTCCGGGCTGTTTCCTCAAAACGACTTCGTCCGGTCGGAGGTTCTCGTCACACCACACGAACCTATTCATTCTTTAGATTTGTAAATATGTGCTGGACGCCAATTCAAGCGGTAATTAATAAAACGACGAGTCCAGACGATGCCATTTAAACCGGAACCACTCACCGAACCAGCGCCCAAAACAAGTGCACAGCGTTGCCATTCACAATGAAACCAAGAAATCCGCCAATTTTAGCGAGCAGTTTTATGCTGCAGCCATGAATTTTACTGTTGGCTGCCACTGAAGAGCAAACTCTGAACATAACTTAGTGTCTTCCTTTTTTGACCCAGTTTATCGTTTGATACATCTCTTCGAGAACTTTCTGATTCACCTTGAGCCACCTGCCTTGAGCTCTCTTGAAAGGTTTCGATTTCCGGCGCTCATTTCTCTAGCATGAAATCAACGTTTTTTAAACCAACGTTGCTAGAACTTTTCAGTTAAGAAAATGCCATAGAGCCTGCTTTAAAAAAGTGGCTCCGATCTGTACTCGAGAACCGAGCTAATGGCAATCGCAACGCCACCATTTCTGCCGCAGCGTCCACTCCGGGAACTGCACGGCTGCACGTCGAGTCGGGCAAGGGCCGGTGGCGCCATCTCGCAGGGCTATCTCGCAGTAGCTATGTAAAGAGGCTTTCATGTTTCAACTCGTCGCTAAAGGGTGGCGCTGTTATCGTATTTAGCTCGGTCTCGGTGGATGCCAGCAGTCCAGGTGTCAATGGTGAGTTTCTCAACTAAGGGTTTTAGTAACGTTGCTATTAACTGTTCTATAAAGCGAACCAACGTCATCAGCTTTGAAACCGCGCCAAATGGCACGTAGCAGAAATCTGACAGATAGGCTCCCATTTTCTCTCGCGCAGTGCAGTTAAAAAATCGCAGAGCCCGATGGAGGACCCTCCATCTTCACATAAGCCTCGAGTTTGATACATAGAGGACGACGTCTAGGACAACCTCGAGGGTAATGCATAGAGGTGTTAACAAGGGATCAGGACCTCACTATCTAATAATGCCAAGGAAGGCTGACTCCCGCTGGTTGCCTCTTTTTATTTTTATTTATTCATACTTGCCACGACCAATGAGGTGTTTTCTGTTGACTTGTGATGACGCATTTTTTTCCAGACCCTAGCCCATAACAGCTTCACTGTAAAAAAAACGCCACCAGAGAAGCACTCTCCATGGCAGCGCAGCGCACGCAGCGGCCCGGCCATCAGTAAGAGGTGCGGCGGTGCGGGCCTGGCCGCACAGCCAAGCTCAGCGCGCCGTAACCACTTCATGAGAGCGCGCGCACGGCCGCCGCCTCGGCAGTTAAGAAATGTGGCCATCCAAGCCACTACACCGTAGATGAACTAAGGGAGCGGAAGAATGACATTCACGCTTTAGCATTCACAACTCATAAGAAGTGCTTAGGCGTCCTCGGATATTTTTTGGAGCGACCCTTTTGGCGACTCCAGCGAAACCGACACCATGTAGCGGCAATGCCCAGAGGCTCAGGAGAGGAGGTCGTTTAGACTCCGTCATCTGCTATCACTGCTCGGTTCTTGTAGGCAGCATAAAAACAAACATTGTTTCCAGTAATTACTTTTATGCTTCTGCTGTGTCATTCCTATGCACCGACTAAAAGAATGTTTCTACCGTCAAAAATTCACTTTGGTGTCATTTTGTAACACCGATTTTGTGCTGCAGTGAAAGACATTTATGGTGGTCCGTGTACTGAACGACGAAAACGACCTTCTTTTGTCCGCCATTTTGCCTGACCAGTGCGCCCCCTATCGTTTGTTGGAGTCACGAATAGTCCGTTGTAACTCAAGAAGGTAGAGTGAAAGAAAGAAAGGCCGGGGAGGAGGAAGCAGACGGAAAGCTGGAGAGAGATTTCCCCCACTCCTCTCCAGCGTTCTGTCTGCTTCCTCCTCCCTGGCCTTCCTTTCCCTCGTCCTACCTTCTTGAGTTGCAACAGGCTATAGTCGATATCATTGCATAAAATCTCAAATGGCGTAAATACCACAAAAATAGTTTCAATCTTTACATATTTTTAAAATAAGGAATGCAAAATATTTTTAGCAAAAAAACAAAACAAAGAATTACCTAATTTTGAAAATGCATTTCAACTGAAATGATGAAATTGACACACTGAGCACGAGTTGGTATGAGCCGCTCGACTGTTTCGGAAGGCATATGTTCTCAATCCAACGTTGTCTCAGTCTTTGAAGTTTTCTTTTTCAGTCTGCTTTTATCTTCAGGGCAGACAAATAATATATCATCAGTCGTTGACACAGGTCTCAACATGCATGCATTTGTAGACAAATGTGTTATTTTTAGGGTGGTAACCAATCAACTTTTAGCTTGGATCATTCCAAGTTGAACCCTTTCTTCAATACTTAAAAAACAAGCGAGCTGGTGATGATTCATGGTAATAAAACCCAAGGGCATGTGGATGGCTGTGGATGGAATAAAACCCTAGGGCATGGTAATAAAACCCTAGGGCATGTGGATGGCTGTGTGTGCGAGAAGGGCTGCTGACGTGGACTGGACGGGAGGAAGCGGCTTGACCTTCGGGACTGTGGATGTCGGGTGGGGGCACCGGGGGGGCTCGCCTTTTTAAACGAGTGTCTGGAAAATACGTTCAGCTGTGTTTGAGACGTTGTGTTGTGTTCGTCTCCTTCTGTGTTCCCGAGTCTCGGGTTTTATTACCATGAACCCTTTCTTATTTTGTTTGAATGCATGAACATTCGTTTACCCACTTTTTCAACTCGCATAGTCATACTTATTTGTCTGCTATTGTCTTTGTCGGTAATTTTCGCATTCCACTCCTGCTTGGGCCTCAAGCAGCCCATAGTAGTGTCTAAATAAAAAATAAATTAAAACCCTCACACAGATTAGAAATGAGACATCTCAACCCCCTACTACAACACCTCCTGGCACTGCAAGATGCATTAAAGCAAACAAATAAACGAGACACGCGATGATTTATTTCTATGTACAGCCCCATAACCCCTCCCAAAGTGTCCAGATGAGTGATGACTCAGAACCAGAGATCTTCCTCGTCTTTCTCGGGCGTGTCCTGAAGATCCGGCAGGTGTCCCCCGTCCACCTCTTCCTCCGACTCGGACACCGCAAGGTCCGTGCTGATGACGTTGTCCTGGACCGAAGTCTGGACCGGTGGCGGACCGCCTTCGACGGCATCCGCTTCGTCCACTTCCATGGCGGGCGCCGCCGCATCCTCTTCCATGGCCTGGAAGTGGTACTTGCCTTGGAGCAGGAACTCGGATGGGTCGTAGTTCTCATCTATCATTTCGGTGTCCTCCATCACCTAGAAGACGAATGAGAGACAGAACGTCCGTCAGTTACCGAAGAGATGTCGTCAGTACAGCTATGGTACCTGGACGCGCCTCCGACAAATCTGTTTACCATGTCCCCAAAAGTGGTCCGCCGGCTTCTGCAACGTCGTTTATTGCCACTTTGGGACCGCTTTCAATGCACGGGCGGAACGGGAACCTAAACGCACCGGTCGAAGGCACGTTCCACGCACTGCGAGTTCAGCCCGCTCACATATTCTTCGGTGTTCGGGCGATGCGGAGCCAACAAAATATGGAAAGGCAGACTTTAGAAAAAACTACTACTACTAGTATGGCCAGGGTCTCCCATCACGTTCACTGATCCAGAAGGGGTCCCCAAGCACCGGTGGTCGAGAACCACCGCCCAAGCCGTATGACTCGACTGCGCAGACCGCATTAAAGTAGCTTTTGTGGCTTGTTTAGAAACAATCTGTAGTGGCTAAAAAACCGCCCGACGACTGCACGACTTGACACTTAGACGGGGTCAGCTGTGCTGCTCATTCGACGATATAACGATGACGATCGATTGACACTGTGCCGATCGTGCGTCTTGCGGTGATCTGATACTGAAAGAATGTTGCATTGATTTAGCGTGGATACGTTGCTGATGAATAAATGCTTTTAAGGTTAAGATGCATTTGTGTTTTATTCGATTTTACGCAACCATTTCTTGAATATCGAGATTTTGCAAATCGCGATACTGAAGATCAGAAACGATTACCGATTATAAAACCAACGATTAGGCAAGATGCGCTGCAGCAAAGTGAATTCCGCCGCAAGCCATCGAAGGGGATTTGCCTCAACTCAAAAACATGCAAACACTTTTTTTTTCTATTTTGCACACAGCTGGATATACGTACCCGGCCCGGCCGTTTAGCATCACGGCCCGATTGTGAAACCGAGCTCTGCGCTCCTGAGCTCTTTCCTTAATTTTATTCTTTGCTCACGCCGTTGCGGGGGGATGGGCCACGAACAGCTGACGCTGTGAAGAGACTTCCCAGTACAAGCAAGCATTCCTGCCCAAGAGCCCGTGCAGAAAAGTGATCACCTCTGGGGCCTGCACCATAGAGGCCCTGGTCATGAGCACGTGGTGGTGGTCCTCGTCCGAGGTGACCTCGTCCTCCTCGGGCTCGCTGTTCTCGGGGGTGATCTGCAGGTCTTGGTCCAGCACGCTGGCCCGATCCCCGGATGTGGACAGGCGTCGCTGCAGCCCCGCCACCTCTGCCTCCTCGTCGCCCTCCACGTCCACAAACTCGCAGTCGTCGGGACCGCCGAGGCTCTCGCTGCGCTTGCGCAGGGACAGCTGCAGGTAGGGTCGAAGGAGTTGTGTTTTGAGTGCTGGCTTCGTTGTGCAAGTAAATCGGTATGTGGCGAAATGTAGCAAAAGCACGGGAAAGTAAAGGGAGGAAGGCTATTACCGTGTGGTCCAAGTAGACAAAAGAGGTTACCCCACTGAAGCAGACGGCAGGAAAAATGAAGCGTAACGTAAGAGGGAACATTACCCTGTTGAAGTAGAAAGCAGAAAAGAGACAGAAAAAGCAGGAGGACAAAACAAAAGAGGAGAGTGGTTCACCGACTGAACTAAAAGAAAGAGCAACTGACACAAAAGAAAAGAGAAGGCTACCCCACTGACGGGGCAGAGGGAAGGAGAGAGAAAGAGAGCCTACCCTTCCGAGGCCCGAGTACCCCTGAGGGTTGTCTAGGTCCTCCGCCCGTGCCAGGTCGCTCTCGGCCAGGGTGCTGTCTTCGGCAGGGTACGAGTTGCCTGTCACCACCGAGTCCGTGTCCGCCGCCTCCAGGGCTGCCTCCTGGGCAACCTTGATCGCTTGCTCCAGTGGGGTCAGTTGCCCGTCGTGCTGCAGGGGGAAGGGCCACTCAATTGACCAATCGGTCCGTTAACAGTGCCGAAAGCGGCACTTGTGCCCATCATGCTGCAGAGGGCCAATCAATCGACTGATCGGTCCATCAACAGTGGCAAACGTGTTATCCCTGCCCATCATGCTGCAGGGGGCAAATCAATCGATCGATTGGTCCATCGACAGTGGCGAAAGTGGCATCCGTGCTCATCATGCTGCAGGAGAACCAAGCAATCGATTGATCGGTCCATCATCAGTGGCGAAAGAGGCACCAGTGCCCATCATGCTGCAGGGGGCCAATCAATCGACTGATCGGTCCATCAACAGAGGCAAAAGTGCCATCAGTGCCCATCATGCTGCAGGGGGCAAATCAATCGATCGACTGGTCCGTCGAAAGTGATGAAAATGGCATTCGTGCCCATCATGCTACAAGGGGGCCAGTCAATCAATTTATCAGTCCCTCCACAGTGGCGAAAGCAGCATTCATGCCCACCATGATGCAGGGGGCAGATCAATCGACCGATCGGTCCGTCAACAGCGGTGAAAGTGGCATTCGTGCCCATCATACCACAGGAAGGCCGAAAAACAACCAATCGGCATGTCAATTTACGTTTCATGGCGGGCCCCATGCCCGTGTTCCAAAATTTACTCTATCTCACTCCAAAATAAAGGCTTGGTACGTTGGCATTCGAAAACCTACTCGCGTCCAGCGTCCCTCTATCTGTGTTATCACATGAGATTGCACACATAATCCTACTCAAGTTATCATGCAAGTAAGATTTAGAACTTAACCAAAATGTTAGTTTGAAGCAGCCAATGACGCTTCAGGAGGAAATCACTGTATGCTAGCACATAGCTTGAAAATGAAAAAAAAATCTTTTAGCCTTTCCACTTTGGTAAAGAAGGAAAAGCAGCGGAGCTGTAGCTTCTATTCTCGGCAATGGCTTTCCAGGCGAGCGATATACCCTTCTTTCGGAAGGGAATCTGAAGCACTCGATGCAGTGGAACTTTAGGCGATAGCGGCCTCGCAGGGTTTGCGGAACCATTTGCACTGCTGCGCACATCGCCCCTTGTTCTGTTCCTGCTCCTCTTCCTCCAAAGAAATGTTGCCGCCATTTATAAGCGACGGCAGCAACCAGTTGTCTGGTTGCCGAGGCTGGAAAGGTTGCCGCGATCTATTAGCGACGGCGGCAAGCAGACAACTGGCAAACACAACACTCTGGACAGCTACCGCCATCTATGAGCGACGGCAGCAACCAGAGTGTTGTGTCGACATTTGTTTAGTACCGGACACGATCCTGGGACAATTAGGCAGGCTTCTGCGACACGATCCTGGGACAAGTGGTCCCAGGATCGTGTCCGGAAGACTAGCAGCATGAGAAAGGATTTAAGGTGACGATCCTGGGACCACTTGTCCCAGGATCGTGTCGCAGGGGGACAATTAGGCAGGCAATAAATGCTGACTGGGCAGAACAGTCGTTTGTGGTTCATGGCCCCCTGCTGCACGGTGACGAAGTCATTGACATTTTGTTTGATGGTGGTAGCGACTGCTCGTTTAAAGGCTTTGAAGGTGAGTGAACAAAGTGTAAACACATCTTCAAATTCTTTTGCTACAACTTTTCTTGGTTATACATTCAGCGTTAACCCACTCCTTGTTTTCACTTGATTTGCTCTTGCTTCGCGGTGGGCTATCCCTTCGGATATCACGGTAAGCACATCAATCTTTCATGCAGATAACAGTGCGATACTTTAACTCAGAAGCATCATCTCTGTCCCCGCTCCCTCTACATCTTGTCAACATTGCTCCCGTAAAATGCTAGCAAAAACAAGCATATTCCCCAAAATGTCGATCGATGAAAGGGCTCGAGGTACACCTAAACACTTCTTACGAGTTGTGAATGCGAAAGCATGCAAGCCGCTCATCCACTCCCTTATTTCGTCTGTTGCATACTTTTCGTCACCGGTCAGCGTGTGTGCTCTCCTCGGCGCGCTGACCTTGGACGCTTCGTGTTAACGGCGCGCTGATGGACACGCAGCGCCACGGGGTGGGCGGTCGTTGAAACTGACGTGCAGAGGCCAATGGGAGCCTTGTCGACGCGCGGCGGCCAAAGGGACAAAGCCGAAAATTCGTCGGCTTTACTCCACTCCTTTGAGATCGGGGGAATCAGGTGCCGTTGTCTAGGCTTTTTGCATGATTTCATAGCTGGGGGCTGGCTTCACTCGGAGAAAGGATTTAAGGTGCCGATTTCGCGCTTCAAACTAATGACGTCGGGTCGCCTTATGGGACAGTGAACGCTTTTGCATTAAAACATTGACTCGGGAATTGGAACGAGTGAGTTGAGTGGAGAGTGGACCGCAACATGAGAGGGCCTCGAAACAGACGCACCAGTTCAAGGGCCAGCTGGCAAGCCTCGACAATCTCCTTGGCCTTTTGGGTGAACTGGCTCTCGGCCCCGTTGAACTGCATGCTGTTCTTGTACAGCAGCTCCACGTCGTAGAAGAAGTCCTCCCGGTTGTGGTACTTGTGCGCCTTGATGTTCTGCAAGACGTCAACGTTTGTGGCCACTTTTCGGGTTTTCTATCGTCGACTCGTTAGCACTGTAGGCTAGTCAGGAAGCCAAAATGTAGAGTTCCCCATATTTAAATGTTTGGTCATCCCGTTGAGTGAGGTGTCAGTGAAAGTTACGGGATGAGTTAACAGAATGGAACGGAACATCTAGCCTTCTGTTTTACAGAAAACAGGTTTCTCAAGCGATACACTGTCTTGAAAATGCCTCCGAGGACAATGATATTCTCTAATATACTCCCGGTTTCATATAAAATGAGTAGCAACTACTATACCCGTTTTCACCTCGAGAACTGTAGTAAAAAAAAGTCCAGCTCCATGCGGAGCGTTACTACTAATTTCGCCCTTTATGTTGATATTTAAGACATATTTAGGTGAATTTTAGATAAGATATACCATAGTAAAAAAAAAGTCCAGCTCCATGCGGAGCATTACTACTAATTTCGCCCTTTATGTTGATAATTAAGACATATGTAGGTGAATTTAAGATAAGGGTATGTTATCTTATCACGGCGTAGGAATATGTTCCAAACACCAAAAGCTTCACCTTTTTCCTCCGACAACCAAATCTGATAAGAACTACTGTGCACCGCATATGAACAATGGGCAAAACTTGCTTTTTCTTTGAGGTGAAAACAGGTAGAGTCCTTTGTTTTATGAAACAAGTGGCTAGTCCCCTTGTTTTATGAAGAAGACTAGCAGCAGGAGAGCCTAGCAGGAAAGCCTGGTGATTTACAAAGAATGAGCTCCTCGGGTCGTGCACTACCTTGATGTTGTCGCGGTCTACATGAATCTCCATGTCACACTCACCGTTTTGGCAGAAAACGACATTTTACGAAAAAAAAATAAAGCGTCCCATTCTATCAATAAACGACTAGCCCCCCATTTTATGACAGACGGGTCTCCACAAACTCAGCACTTGTCTCAGTAATGTTGTCGACGTCTGTGCGATTCTTCGAGTGATATTATCCCCGTCTTACAGGAAATGGCTAGCCCTCACTTTCGAAGAAAATGGCCACATTCCCGTTTTACGAATAAATGACCAGCCCACCATTCTACAGAAAACGGTGTGCCCTCTTTTTCATGGGGCACACACCTTGATGATGCCGTCAAAGTCTACAGAATACTTCGCGACATACTTTCTGTCTGACAGGAAACAGCTATCCCTCACTTCTAAAGCAAACGGTCAGACTTTTATTTTACGAACGGAAAACAGTAAGCCCTCTGTTTCATAAGGAAGGGGAATTCCCGACCTTTGCACGCGTGTTGACAATAGTGTCGAGGGTCGTGCAATTCACGTCATGCTCTCCATTATACAGAAAACGGCCAGCTTCCTACTTTGGAAGAAAACGACAAGCCTCCTGTTTTACGAATAAACTGCCAACTCTCTATGTTATAAAACGTGGCACTCCCTCCATATTACGGACAACCGTGCACGCACCTTGACGATACTGTCCAGGTCGATTGGGTTTTTGATGACGTTGTAGTAGTCCTTGACGAACTTCTTGTTGACAGGTTTGTGGAAGGGCCACGACTCGGGGATGCTCTTGAGGTTGTCGCACACGATGCCCTCCAGGATGTAGGATAGCGCCACCTGGTCGTCATCGTCCAGAAGCGGGTTGATGGCCTTCTCCAGTCGCATCAGCTTGTCCTCCTTCTCCGCAAAGCGCTTCAGGCACAGCTCCAGCATGTTCTGGGCAGCCTGGGTCAGCGTGCTCTTCAGCCCTGAACGCAGCAACGGTCGTGTTCACCACTGTCAGCTGCCAGTCTCTCTCTAATGTCGCCTAAATAAATGACGCACCATTCACTTAGGGGCCCAAGGATTGAAGTAAAAGGGCAGTAAAAGAGATTTTATTCTTGACCGGGCAGAGAGCCACCAAGAAATGCCCAGCAAAAGTCAATGAATTACAACCTTTTAAAACACCGAAAGAATGTATAATTAGGATGACAAGACGTCCCGTTTTGGTCAAGACAGTCTTGTTTTTTAGGTCCATTTCTGCCGTCCCGTCTTTTTGTCCCAATAAAGAATCATGTCCCGTTTTTGGAGGAGTGCATAGTTTCGAAATTGGCACCAAGCGAGTTTAAAGCAAACCGAAACTATGCCTACCCGCTTGCAAACATGGCCGTAGGAACTTTAAAATATTTGCTTAGAAAGTAAAAATTGAGACTGTTCTTGTCCACAAACACTTTTTCTCTCGCGAAGACAAGTTTTGAAATAAGAACAGTTATTTCATTTCATTTCTTTTCTCCCAGTCTCAATATTTGGTGCCCACCCCCACCTTTGCCCCACTGGGATGTCCCGTTTTCTACCTTGAGGAATATGGTCACCCTATGTATAATGCATCAAAAATTATGTATGGACAGGTGTAAAGAATCTTTACTGATGTAAAGCAAGAGGTTGCAACCTGGCGTGGCTTGTTTATAAAATTGTAAAAATAATCATAAATGCCCATATAAATAAAAAAAAATACAAATACAATTACAAATAAAATAATAATAGATTATAACTTATAAAAACTTGAAATCTCTGGTCTACAGAAAGACTTTAAAAAAACTGGAGCTTTTTATAAAATAAAGCAGGTAATTATGTTGTAACAAATTTAGGAAACTGCCTCCAGTTATCATCAATGTCTCGAGCATGAAAGCATGCTCGAACGTTGCTTGGGCGAGTGCACGACTCCAAAAATATTGTCGCTTTTTCTCTCTCCTGATTAGGAGCACCCGCTCGGGCATTTTACGGTAACCCAGTCCCTGCCCTCCCGGGAAGTCAGGTAACGGCCCAAAACTAGTCACTACCGCGTCCCCCTTCGGCAAACGAGTCCTTCACACCAAACAGTCCTGTACTCTGGTCGCGCCTGAGCCGATCGTGCAGTGGAAGCCACGCCCTCGCCGGGCCCATCAAACGCCTTCTTTCATCCCTCGACCCTGCTGTTTATCATTACTATTATTCCAAACGTGGAATATAATAGGAGTGGTAAAATAATGAAGCACTAAATATGAGAGAAACTTGCAATGTAAGCGTAGATCTCTGCCACCACAATGCACAAAACCCTGAGCTACAATTGACAGCAGTATGTCTGCAACTGTTCACATAAAAAGCAGCATGGCAATATGATACGTGAAAAAGACTGCCCCAGCCAATGGTGACAAAATTGCTGCAAAGGTAGCTTTGGCAGTGAAGTGCCGATTACAAAAAAGAACATATTTATACAGTTGATAAGAGTTGCTCAAGAAATGTAGAAATACTGCCACATTCAACTATATTGCTAGGCAGTTTGTTCCGATCGGACACAATGCGCGGAAAAAAAAGAGCATTAAAGGGCAACTCCACTTAATTCCGACGGGATAATGAGTGCTTTTACATTACAAGGCACTAACAAAAGGCACTATGTCATTCACTTCGCAAACAGTGAAATATTGTATTTACTCGCATAATGAACGGTTTTGAATGCAGCCCCCAGCGGCGCATCGATACAGTAGAACCTCGTTGATACATTCTTGGTTGATACGTTTTCATGTCCGTTGCGTTCAAAAACGCCGGTCCCGTTTTACTTCCATAGGGATACATGTATTAGTTTCCTGCCTGTTACGTTTGTTTTCCCGGTTGTTATGTCCAAAAGTGCCGGAATCGCGGCGCCTCGGCGCGCCAATAGGCGCCAAGGTGCCACGCCGGCTTCGAAGCGAAGCAAAGCAGAGCCGAACAATCCAAACCACGCAACGCGGATCGCGCGGCCGCGCGGCACGTGGGCGCCCCCTTTCCCTTTACTCCTAAGAGAGAAAAGCACTCTCTTTTAAAGAGAAGTTTGACATACTTCGCACGGTGGATCGAAATCCCAGCCGGAAGAGGTCTGAGGTCGCAAGAGAGCTTGGACTCGCGCCGTCAACTTTAAACAGTATCGTCGCGAGACGAAAGGAGATCGAGGCGAAGGCTCCTTTTTACCAACCAGGCTTTAAACAGCAGGGACGGCGCCAGGATCTTCATAATGGGGGGGCAGTGGGGAGGCGAACCAAATTGGGGGGGGGTTGCTCTGAGGTGCTGTCGCCCACGGGCTTATCGAAGATAGCTTATGCGGTGTGCTCATTGAAAAGGGAAATGCGGAGACACGAGAAGGAAGAGTGGGAAGGGGGGGGGGGGAGGGGGGGGGTTATCACAGTAGGGACCTCTGTCTCCAATGCTCAGACTCCCAACCAGGTTCGCTTCCCTTTCTGAGACAGTCCGGAATTCCCCATGACCTCGACTTTAACTAAGCTCCCCTTCGTTCGCGTCTCCGGTCTCCGCTAAGATAAGCACCACAGAGCGGAATACGGAGAGAAAAGCCAGCAGGCGTCACAAAGGGGAGCTTCTTTTTCTAAAGCGCTTGACAGCTTACTCGCTCGCGGTGCGACTTCCAGTGGGTGGACGTCAATAGAAAAAAAAAGGGTGAATTAAAGGCATACACTGCTCTAAAGTCTGGACACTCGTTACACTGGGTCTTCAAGCCGACGTCGTTGGTAATTATTTGTGAACAAAGCTGCTTCATCTTGGGGTGGCAGAAGAAATTTTAGGGGAGGCGCCCGCCACCCCTCGCCTCCCGTTGGCGCCGTCCCTGTTAAACAGGCTCGGGGGGCAAAACACGCAAAGTTGGAGGAGGCCCTGTTGGTATGGTTCAAACAAGCCCGGGCATCTTGTGTCAACATCGACGGAGGCATTCTGCGAGAGAAGGCGCAAGAGATTGCTGATCGTTTGGATATCGCGGACTTTACGTCTTCCAACGGGTGGGTCGACCGCTTCAGAAAGCGTCACGGTATTTCGTACCGCGCGGTGAGCGGTGAAGCTGCCAGCGTTGATCCAATCTATGTGGAAGCATTTAAGTCATCGCTGCCTTCGATCATCGCCGAGTGCCACCCACGTGACGTTTTCAACGCCGACGAAGCTGGTCTTTTCTTCAATGTGCAGCCGACGAAGTCATTGAGCCTGAAAGGTGAAGCCTGCCACGGAGGAAAGAGTAGCAAGGAACGGCTTACTGTTCTACTGTGTTGCAATGAGGACGGGTCAGAAATGATGAAACCGTGGGTGATCGGGAAGTTCTGTAACCCGCAATGTTTAAAGAACCTTCGTCGGATGCCCTGCCACTACCAAAATAACACTCGTGCATGGATGACAAGTGCTCTTTTCGAGGAGTTTCTGCGATACCTTGACTCACGAATGGGGTCGCAAAACAGAAAGGCACTCCTGTTCATCGACAACTGCCCAGCCCACCCAGAGGAGTTGTCGTTTCTCAGGAACGTCCGGGTGGAGTATCTTCCTCCGAATGCCACGAGTCACCTCCAGCCGCTCGACGCGGGCATAATAAAAAATGTCAAGCACTTCTACCGGAAGTGGATTGTCCGGCGATCGCTTGCCATGGTGGAACGAGGTGACGCTCCGACCAAGCTCTCCATCCTAGATGCGATGCACTTTCTCGCTACAGCATGGGACACCGTCTCTGCTACCACTGTGCAGCACTGCTTCCGCAAGTGCGGGTTTCAACGCGCGGGGCAAGTACAAGCGTTAACAAAAAACAACGCTGACGAAGATGCCGATGATTCTTAAGAAATGGAAGATGCTATGGCGAAAATGGGAGCTCCCATTACCTACTGCGAATATGCGTCGCTTGACGACAACGTCGTTACCTCTGAACCGCAGAGCATAGCGGACATTGTGGCCGACCTCACTAATGCCGACAACGAAGAAAGTGATGAAGAAGATGAGCAAAAAACGAACGATGACGCTGCACCCACGTTTGCGGACGCGATCGCTGCGTTGGACACCTTGCGCCGCTACGTAAACGTTCATGACTGCGCGGAGAGTGAGAGGGGACTGCGGCTTCTGGAGAAACGACTTTTACTACATACCATTAATTCGAAGCGGCAGGTGGATATTACGCGCTTTTGTGAACGTGTCTGAGTCCAAAAGAGTTCGGTAAGTGCATAAAATAAACCATTGCATAAGAGCTGCTTTCTATCTCATATAGAGTGCCTTTAAGTGCGTTATCGGTTGCTGCGCTTTCCCGGTTGATACGGTTTTTTTCTGCGGTCCCCTGAAAAACGTATCAACGAGGTTCTACTGTATTTGTACTTTTTTTTCCCCTCACGTAATGAGCGCACCTCCAATTATCGGTTCCGCCAATCTCAAACTGCGTCCAACTTAGCTAGTTACCAAACCAAGCCAATTTTTTTTTGCCGCCAAGCAGCCAAGCCAAGTCAAGCCAAGCCACTTTTGTAATGGCTGCAAGTGCGTAGTTGCGGAAGTGATCAACCATGACACCGAACAGCGCGCACACCTAACAAAGCTGGGGTCGGAGGAATTGCCCAGTCCACGCTTTGCCCATCGGATGCATTGATGTCAACAAACACGCCGTCGCCAGCGATCCGCTTTCGGACCATGAAATTGTGAAAGTGATTAGACTTAGGGACGGCCACGTTGCTCTTTGTGCTGAGTGAACTTTGTAGGGCACTCTTCCTTCGGCAAAAGGCATGCCGAAAGCACCCAAAAGAAGGTTCACAATTTATAGAGCATGGTTTCTGTGGTGCGCCCTCGACCAGCCACGGGTGTGCCTCTGTAAGTGGAGACGTGCCACAGCACCCTGCCGTGTCATATTGGTACCTAAAATGACATTAGTGCAAAGAGTGTAACTGCAAAAATTTTACCTCGCATAATGAACGCACCTCCCAAATATGTATCAATTTTACGGGAAAACAGTGTGTTCATTATGAGAGTAAATACGGTATATATTGTTAAATCTTACTTTAAACATGAGCAGATATCTAAACCGAAACTTCGGCTCTGTCTGGCAAGACTAGCTTCGGGCCACCAAAAACATGGCTATCACGTGGTACGGGATGTCACGTGATCCTCTATGCAATGACGGGCGGGATTGGGGCAAGCGGGCGGGCCATTGTTGGGGCGGGCGTGTGCCAGGCGCAAGTGTCGTCTGCACCGCACTTTTCACCATGTTTTGGTGTCTAGGACATTCAACGACGTCTGCACAATTTCGGCATCAGTCTGCGCACGTAGCGTGAACGAAGCTCCGAGACAATAATCACAAACGGTAAGAGTGAGACGACGACAGCGGTTATGACACAGGAGATGACGGAAACGTGGATGGCAGGACTGCCGGACGGCTCCCAAGAAGCGCGTTGTGCAGGCACATTACGTAATCACGCGGAGATCGCCGAGTGCCGAGAGAAAATGTTGCTGCCGTCACCCGTTACGCTTACCCGGAAAAGTACAAACAAACAAAAAAGGAAGAGTGGTGATGACGTCTAGCTCAATGTTAGCTACGCCAATGCCGCAGCCTTGACTGCACTGTTGGTTACGCCTCAATTCGCCCGCTAGAGTCAGCTGATTTCAGCAACTTGGCGCGTTGCAAGGTTTGCCGGACTGTTTAAGAAACATTAAGACAGAACTAAGTCGTAATATTTGACGTCTGGTCTTCCCAGGTTACACTGAAGAAGACTGCATTGTTTTCTCAAAAACAAAAATGAAGCGGAGTTGCCCTTAAAAGCATCTACTTGGGAGCGACATTCAATAATTGTTTTCCAGTGTGTGAATTGAGTGCTTGTTCTTTCGGTAAAAGTAACATAATTCTTTTGTGGTATCCTTTAGTCTAGTAGGGAGGAATGCAAGGGATGAACCGACTACTGTCGCGACCGTTTATAACTAAATCGGTTATAACGAAATAGCTGCTATAGCGAAGCAATCACGATTTCCCATTCCCGCTTGCACTTTTTCAATCTGTTTGTGTCTGTTTTGAGCAAAGCAAACTGAGCGGCTCCCATGGATATACCAAAGACAAATTTGCTAATAATTTTTAAAATATGATAAAATTTTTGAAGTTCATTGAGTCGCAGACAAGCTGCACTTTGCTGCCGCAGCCGAGCAGCCACCCAGAACAATCCGAGACGTGCTGCAAAGGCCGCCGGCAGCAGCCTCTGCCTTGTCTGCTTCCCATTCCTTATCTGGGAAGCGGCTTTTCCGCATCGCACACGAAGAAGCCGTCGTGGCGTGCCGATGGGGGCGTTTGGAGTGCTACAACATGCCTCTGACGGAGACGACGGAAAGAACCTAGATTTAAAAGAGGGGCAACTCCAATTTAATGGCGGCCGCCTTCTGGGCAGACGGGCTCAAGCACCTGCACTAAGATGTCTCGTGGCCAGCATGGTGAGGAAACCGGGTGGAGAGGAGGACACGCTTGCAGATGGTGAAAGCTTTTGACGCCTTGCAGGCTGCAGCTCGTTTTGCAAACACGGCCCACAAACCAGGCAGCGGTTGCCCCCTTCCTTAAAATTAGGCTCTCTCTCTCTACCGACGAAACACAAACTTAAGTGTGAACTCGGTGCAGTGCGCGCTATGTTTGCTTTGTGTTCCGTGTTGGCGTCGCTAGTCAGTGTGGTCGCTCTCTGGGCGCAAAAGTCTAGCTTCCCACAATCACCGATTTGATAGCTCATCGCCACTCAACAGTGGCGAGTCCCGGCACCGCCGGCACCTTGACAGGGAAGACGAAGGCAATCTCCTTGAAACAAAAGCGTGCTGCCATCCTCAATGAAGTGTGCATCAATGTAAAGAATGCCGTCCACCACCGGCATCCTCCGCAGCGGCTGTCGCAGTTGTCAATAGGGCTCTGGATGCGGTCCGTAAATAGCTTGCACGATCTTGTTTCGATTGTAGCTTCTCGCAGTTGGCGAGAAGCGGATCCAATCTTCCAGAGAGTGTGTGCAGGGAAGCTTCAACCGCTCTATGCAGGCACAGTAAACGTGTGCCCATGACGGCCCGTGCTATTTTCATTTTTTCGCGTGTTACTTTTACGGAGTCCAAATATAACGAAGCGGATATAGCGAAGTGAGTTCAGGTTCCCGTCGACTTCGTTATAACCGGTCTCAATATATAGTGCCATACCCAACCTAGGCCTCGACTCACCATTGTAGAGCTTGCTGTTCTCGACGATCTGGTTGACGTCTGCAAGGAACTCCTCGCGGCTCTGGTATCGTTTCTCGTGCAGCTTCTCGCGGATTCGCTGCAGGTCCATCGGGATGGTCACAATCTTGTGGTAGTCCGGCACTGCCTTGGCACTCACGGGGTGCCAGAAGGGCTGCGCCTGCAGGCGACGGACACACAGAGAGGTGGAAGCTCACTAAAGAAACACGGGGAAAACAATTTGAGCTCTGCCAATTACGAGGAGGCTCGGGAAGATAAGAAAATGTTTATGCAAGTTGTTTTTGGTTTTAAGAAAAGTGCTTTAAAACTGGGAACAGTTGTAAAACAAGATCTTCCCAGTGTTCGTCTATTCGCCTGGCAACAAAAGAGAAAATTGCTGCTTTGAGTAAGGTGAAGTTATTATTTTTTTAGTTTTGTAGATTCTAAACGAGCAGAAAAGAGCTCACATCTTCAGCGAGAACGCACGTGCCGCCAGACTTGCACGCAACTAAAGTACTCAGGTCATAAGTCACTTCCAAAACCCGAAATAGTTTTTGCGAGTCACTTTGTGCCTTGCGACAGGTCGGAATTTATTACCGTAACTAAAATATGTTTTGTAGTAACTTGAACTTACTTCTTAAACTATAGTAATATTTCTAAAGAATGTAACCCAAAATGAAGAAGTATCAATGGTGAAAAATATGGAATGGGCGATGTTTGGGGATGCAACAGCAAAATTTTCTAAAAAATTGGTGATAAGCCTGAAAAGGGAGGGGGAGGGGGGGGGGGGGGGGGCACTATTACAAACTATGTGAAACGGGAACTGATACCACAAATAGCGGGGGCAAAGCAAATTCGCATTTGCTTTCCACGGTACAATAAGTATAGGGTGGTTCAAGTCACCAGGCTCAATCTAAAATGGAACGTAAAAATTGACGCCTGCACGTAGCAATCTAAACTCTTCACCAAAGGGGTAGTTTTTTCCTGTAAAATTACAAAGCGTATGTTCTGTTTTAGTAAAAAATAGGGCCAAGAAACTTGCCAGGGTCTACGGCGGGCAGCTACCCAGACGACCAAGTCCGTAGCGAGGTGTGTTTGGCGTTCGTATTGATAGATGGCGTCGGGAGCAGCGTCCGAAAATGCAGCCGACCAGCGAAAGAAAGCAGACGAAATCCATTGGCAGCAAAAGCGCTGCCGTTATGCAGACGCGTTTTTTACTTTAAGCTTAGATTTTATTGCTCGTATTTATTTTTTAACCAAAGGTACATTTCAAAAAAGATTATATTCATTTTAATAAATCATGGTGGTCGCAAGCCGTTGCGATAAGGAGGTAGCGCCATCTATCAATACGAACGCCAGACACACCCCACTACTGGACCCCTGTCATCTGCATTGCTGGCAAGTTTCTTGGCCTTATTTTTTACAGAAAGAGAGCTACGCCTTGTAATTTTACAAGAAAAAACCATCTTGTGAGTTACACCTTTGACGAAAAGTTTAGATTGCTACGTGCTGGCGTTGATTTTTACGGTCCCCTATAGATCGAGCCTGGTGACTTGAACCACCCTATACATACAGTTGAACCTTGATTTAACGAAGCCACCAGCACCAGCTATTTACATTGTTAAATCGGGAACTTCGGAAAATCGAGAAAGACTTTTTTCAAGCATAGGCTGTGCGGGAAATCCGAATTTGTTCGTTAAATCAGAAAATTCGTAAAATCGAGGTTCAACTGCATGTGGAAATTCGTTACAAACTCCCCTGTCACAGGAACAGATACCACAAAACGAGGATGCATGACATTTGCAGTTCACAGTGCAATAAACATGCTAGAACTAGAGGTGTGCGAATATCAAAATATTTCGAAGCGAATCGAATCGAATAGTAGAGGTTACGAATCGAATCGAATCAAATATTTTCTAATATGAATATTTTTTATTTGATGTGAATCAACCAAGGATACTCTATCAAAAACGAACTGGGAATTCTTTTTCAGCAAACGTAATTATAAAAAGGTTAACTTTATTATGGCAATAAAAAAATGTCACACATGTGACTGATAAAAAGACAGATAAAGTAATACTAGTAAAACACGATTCAGAGTATGAAGTTACAGAATGCTGTCATGAAGAAATGTAAGTTGTTCCACGTGTTCTGGGAGCAGTGATGCTCTTCTGCTGGTCACAATTCCCCCAGACACTGAAAACAGGCGCTCGCTAGACACACTTGTGGCTGGTATGGCTAGGTACCTTCTTGCAAGTCGAGCCAACAGGGGGTATCTTGTGGCACCCTTCTCACACCACCACTTGCAAGGATCCTCTTCCCGGGCCAGGACGTCTTCATGCAAGTAGCTTGCTACCTCTTCTTCAGCTTGTGTCATTGAATGCTGCTTTTGTTTAATGAGGCTGTCGAAGTTTTGCCACAGCGCTGACCAGGACGGAACTTCAGGGGCCGCTGTCTCTGAGGACACCCCTGCGCTTCTTTGTGTCTCAGGGATTTTTTGCGCTTCCTCAGCTACCAGGTTCTTCAACCAGTTCCCCATCGACCTGTCCTCTTCGTAGACCACTGCCTTGAACCTTGGGTCTAGGAGCATTGCCAAGCTGGCTACCTGGTCAAATTTGTAGTCAGGGAATCTTGTCTTGAGGCACTTGGCCAGGTTAGAAGAGAATGAGGAAGTTATGGTCTGCTGGCTGATGGAGCTGTTCAGGCATGCAAGGATGCAATACAAGATGGGTATTTGGGCTGACAAGGTTGGGTAGCTGTCAGCTCCAGCATTGGTTGTTGCTTCTTCTAGTGGCTTCAGAGTAGCAACGTAATCACTCATTTCCTTCCATTCTGTTCCGGTAAAGCCTTCAATTGACCCCGCTTCAGATGCAAGGTCAACGGTTACTGCTTCTCTTAACTCTAAGAGCCTGGACAGCATTGCACATTCACTATTCCACCTTGTTTCAATGTCCTGAACAACATGCAAGGGGGATCTGCCTATTTTCTTTTGGTAGCAGTTGAGCCTTTCCTGAGCTTTTGGGCTATGCTTATAGTGCCCAACAATGCCTCTTGCTTTTTTACAAAGTACAGAAAGTCCTGGAGTCATCTCTTTCGCGTCGCTGATGACTAGTTGTAAGGTATGAGCAAAACAAGTTCTTTCACACCAAGGAAGTGCATGAGTGGCTGCTCTGATGTTGCGAGCGTTGTCAGTCACCACGTAAAAAGGGCAAACGTCCTTGGGAATGTCCCAGTCTGTGACAAGCTTATCAAGAATTGAGGCAATTCTAGCTGATGTTTTCTTGCCTGGGAAGTGACAGGTGCTCAAGTTGTAGCGAGTGAGCTTGAACTGCGAGTCCAGGAAGTGGCAGGTCAGGCTGATGTAGCTTTCGTTCGCTCTGGACGTCCACATGTCAGAGGTGAAGGAGAGAGACTCCATGCCACTCTCGAACGTATTCTGTAGCTCAAGTCGAACCTTCTTTCTAGTGCCGTCGTACAACTTCGGCACTAACGTGCGCGACAGCGTTGTTCTCGATGGTGGCAGGTAACCTGGGACTGCCTCCTTTAATAAATCTCGGAATCCCCGGTCTTGCGATCGTGTACGGTTGCAGGTCGAGCGCAACCATCTTGGCAATCTTCAGGTCCAAAGCCTCCCGTTTCGCTTGCGGCAGTGCCGTTTTTCTCAACACATCAGCAATGCTTGGCTGATTAGCAGGCTTGACTTTAGCAGCTGCTTGAAACTCCGCATACTGATTGGCGTGCCGTTTCAAATGGTTCACGAGAGTAGTGGTCGTGCCCGATGGGGTTCGCAGTGAGCTTTAGCAAAGGTTGCACACAGCTTCACCCTGGCAAACTTTTCGGAAATGGGTCCATACGAGACTTCTTGTGCTGGCAGGAGGTTGTGTACTCCGCCGTGGTTGTTGAGTCCCTGACGATTCCTGTCGTGGCTCCATCAAGCTCAAGCACCAGCAGACACAGACGAGCGCAACCACGTCAGAAGCGCAACCACGTGAACGTAAAGCATGGCACACGACACGAGGGATGAAAACGTGCGCCTCGCGGCCACCACAGCCTCCTGCAGAACTAACCTTGCGCAATATATTTTTGTGTGCAATAGTTGTGCCGAGAGAGGGCACCACAAAGAAGCTATAAAGCTAAAGACGCAATACGGCTATTTTTCGGCTGAGGGAGCAAGTCTCACTTTGACCGGTGAAAACGGGTAGAAATAAAATGAATACTGGAAAACTGATTAGTCAGAAAATCAAGCGGAAAATAACTCGAGTGGCTTGATCCATCATGGCAACGACGGTAACAACTGTACAAATTATCCCCGAAAGTAAGCCGTAAATCCATATCCAAATTCATAGCACTTTGGCCCCTTGGCTTCCTTGGCCCTGTAGGCCAGTGGGCCAGTCTCTATGGTGCTCTATGGGCTCAATCGTTCAGTTGTGAGTGCACGTGAGTGAGTGGCTGTAGTCCGTGGCGTTAGAGCTCACGACGATGTACGTGCTCTTGCAAATCGTAGTCCTTTATCAAATTTATCGCAGCGATGGCTCCGTACATGTTTGCACCGCTACCACTGGGCCAACTCCGCAATCCAGACATCGCGGCAAGCGAAGGTCAGATCGCGCTACCGCGTGCATATAATTTCCACTTCCATTGCTTCGTACAAGAAACAACAACTAAAAAAAAAGGCACTTAGGTTGGCTTTTGGGGTTTGCCAAGTTTGAAACTATACACTCCGTGCGACGCGACTGGCGCGCCGCCGCGCGGCCGGTACCGAAGGTAGGCAGTGAGAACCCCAGAGAAAACGAAACCGAAACCACGCCGCGTACGTTGGTACGCATTGAAGTCGGAGTGGTGCGGTTGCGCTGGGTTCACAGCATGAAGTGCTGCCTGTGCTGCGGTGCTTCAATAGTTATGCGTCGTAACTCGTGGAGACAAAGTTTAACAGTTTTTCACCTCGCCGATGTTTTGTGGGACAGCGACAACGATGGAGCCGTGCCGTACGGCGCGAGAAATTTGGTCTCCCGATCGTGTCTGCCACTGTGTCGGCACGGCTGACATATTCTACACTGCCACTTTGCGCTCTGCGTTTGTTTTCGTATCAGTAACGCCTACATGTGTCAGCGCCGATGGGACGAACTGAAATGCCATCCCACACTCGCGGGTATGCAGTGCCGATTTCGTTGGAGGAATGCCCTCCAAAGAAGTTTCGTCCCCATCGTACCTGTTGATGATATTTCCAGAAGAGTATGGCACGCAATCTGTACTTCACGAAGAAAGATTCGAACGGTAAAAAAAGTGACAAATGTAAATCTAAAGAAAATAACAATGAAACTCGGATTCACTGGTGAATCGACATTTGAGTATGGAAGTTTATGTGGTGTGCTTTCTTTCTTGATCAGCCTCCTTTTGGATGTGGAAACGCTGACACCCCGAGTTCTGTAGACAACAATATCTTTTTCTCGCCTATAGAGCCACCTATCGCAAAGTGGTTCGAACTGGAAGTACCGTCCCACTGGTCCCTTCCTACCTGTAAAGTGTGCACCTCCCACGATGAGTGGTATTATCTGGCAGCCTTTGACGGTCAAAGCCAGTTCCCATTTAGTTACGCCGCCCAAACTAAATTTCCACCTGGTTTCGCTATGCCAACTCTTTTTGTTATAATAAATGTTGTGCTAAGTGACGGTCATGTCAAAGTACCTGTGCGCGGAAAATCAGCACCTCGCACAACAGGTTATTACACAACAGCTGACCGCAAAAGCCCTTGACGGCCAAACCGTGCGTTGGCCGACAACTTTGTTTTCTCGGCTTTGGAACCACCTTTCGTAAAGTTGTTTCAATTGGAAGTACAGTCCACTAGTCCCTTCCTACCTCTAAAGTCTCCAACTCTCCCGACCAGTGGTATTCTCTTGACAGCCTTTTCATGGTCAAAACCCATTGAGTTACGCCGCCCAAACCAAATTTTCAGCTGGTTTCCCATGCCACTTTTTTTTGTATAATAAGTGCTGTGTCATGTTACTGTCAAGTCCAAGCACCTGTGTGCCCAAATCTGCACTTTGCACAGCCCGTTATAACACAACATTTTGGGTCCAATATTGAATATCCCGTACAGTTTATTTCTTTATTCATTAGAAACATAGCTTTCACATCTGCTGTCTTAAAGAAACTTGGCACTCTTCGTGCACAAACTTAGTGAACATCTCACTCGCCTCCAAATATCATCGTTCCAGCAGTCCTAGGTTTACAGCGACGAGCGAAATGAATTTCCCACTCAGAGCAATTATGGTGGCGGCCGTCTTGTTTTTCGGAAAATTGCTCCAACTCCTTTTTCGGCCCCAACTAGAGAAATTACCCCTAATAACGACCCAAACTCAATATATAAGAAGTGGAGAACAGCTAAATGCCCTTCTGACCCAGCACTCATGCAACGTCACCCTCAACTTATCGGCTCAAAAAGCCAAAGTTTCGTCCGTGCGCGCTTCCGCCGCCACAGCTTGGCATGCGAAAAGGCGCCGCAGGCTGCTGAACGCGCGCGTCACAGTCGAACGCCAGCTCCTCCGCTAGCGGCGCTGCGCGCATTCTTCAAAGCGCCCCCTATAGTTCCCGCACGGAGTGTATACTGCGCAGCCCAAAAACAAACTGGGAACGTGACCGCGATTTGGGACTTACCAGCGAGTTTCGAGTTATTCATAGTTTTCTAATATTCGAAGAATTCGAATACTTCGAACAGTAAAAGTGCGAAGCGAATCGAATCGAATAGCGGGCACTATTCGTGAAGTATTCGAAGTTTCGAATATTCGCACACCCCTAGCTAGAACCCGTTGCAAACTCGGGTGTCACGGGGGAAACCCGCTACAAACTCCCATGTCATGAGAACAGATACCGCAGATTGCGGGTGCAGCAGATTAGCATTTCACGGTGAGGTAAACGAGGAAAACTGCTACCAACTCACATATCACGAGAACCTATATCGCTTGCGCAGATCACGGACCAAAAAAAAAAAAACAGGAATGAGCTACGAACTTGCATGTCATAGAAATGATATCGTGGACGCAGGAGATTCGCGTGTCGCTGTGTGATAACCACGAGGAAACCTGCGGCAAACATGCTTGTCACATGTACCGATACCACGGCGCGTGCGGTGGATGCGATTCTTGTCGGACATCGCGTGATCAACATCTGGAGGGAACCGGAGGGTGGGCGATGTTTCGGGACTTTTACGCTACAGATATTTAACTCATAAAACGGGATGAGCGATCTCTCGGGGGCAGACGCCCCTCCCAGAACTTTACAGTTTTCAAAAAACAATTCCACCACTTTTTTTTTTTTTTTTTGGTAGGTCAGATTGTTGATAAACTGGCAAACTTTAATTGTTTTGGCTTACCACCGTGCAATCTCATGTGTATCATCAAAGACATTCGAGGGTACCACTATCGTGCTCGAAGTGGCTGCCAGACATGGTTAGAGTGATGGCACCCCGTTCCCCTGTTTTTTCGTGGCCGCCACCATTTTGGTGCCTATTGCAGACCGGACACAAATGGAAATCGTTACAGTTCGACAATGCCACTTCCAAAGCTTTAGATACAGAGTCATGAAGTTCGAGTGATGGCGATTCACTCCGTTGCGGACTGCTTTGCCGTTTCCCAACGACAGGAAACCGCTTCCTGCGATTTCAGATAAAGCCTCAGATAATTATCAACAATGTGCGTATTCATGCGTGCATATTCACGCCGTTTCTCCGCTGCTGTGAGGGAGGCAGAGGCTTGGCAAGCAACATGCGAGTCGCTTTTTTTCTCCGCCTCCCCTCTCGCAATGAAGAAAATAAAGAATTTTAATTAAAATGATTCTAAGCACAGTGATGGCCGAAGTGTCTGGAAGAAAGCTGAGGTTGCGGGTGAGCCGGCGAAGAGACGACATAGCTTAACCCGAGACAGGGAAGGAAAAGAAGGACGCATAAAAGCAAGGGACAAACATGTCTCCAAGGACGTCCTTCTGTGTGCTTCTTTCTTACGGCGAGCATCTTGGATTCGCTGCTGGGGTAACAAGGTTCTCAAAGAACAAACTTCGAGCTTCCCAGCTGAAGAAGGCAAGAAGAGAAGTGGTGCCGAATGACATTACCTTTCTCGAAGATGCGTGCGCACCACGGAACGCCGCCGACACCTCTAAAAAGAAAACCGAGTTTAGCCTTGCGTCGAAGCACAGGGAGGCCGTTCTCGGCAATTATTTCGGCGGAGAAAACCATGGGAAAAGGAAAGATGCATTTCCTAAGGGTTAGATGTCTCGGTGCGCCTTGCCCCCCGCGTTTGTCGGCACGAAACCTCAAAACCAACTCGCAGTCTTAATGAAGTTGTGCCACCCAAAGTGCCGTCACTCCAAAGTGTAGCGCACTGAGTGGCTTCAGCTCCGCCCACCCACCTCTGGAAGGTCCCTCATCTCGTTGAGGATGGCCTCGAGGGCAATGGAGAGGGTGACCACGGGGTCCGTGCGACGCCGGTTGGCGCCCTTGTTGGGCTTGCGCAGGTAGTCGCAGTGCAGCACCGTGCCCGCACGCCGCCGCTTCTTCAGCGCCATAGCCTCCTTGGGGAACTTGAGCACCAGCGACTTGCGCCGGATCTCGTCTGCGTGCTGGATCAGCTGCTTGGAGAGCACCACCCGCGTCTCGTCCACCTGCGAGGGATGCCCCAACGACGTTCCTTCGTTCATGTTTGCTCGGAAAAGACGAGCCAGTCTACCACACACGTCGACGTGCAAGGCGTGTTTGCAGATCGCGCGCGACGCGCTAGAGACGACCGGATCTCACGAAATTGCGTAATTTTTAATTAAAGTTACATAACTTGCGAGTTTCGTAACGCTATTAAATTCGAAACTTGGGAAAAGGGTCTTGCGGGTTCGGTGTGTGTTTATGACGAAGATCGAGGCACTCTTACGGGTTTTTTGTTTTTAGAGCGCAGCTCTCGCATGTGGTGGCGTCGGTGTAACTGCAGCCCCAAGAGGGGGCCACTCGCTACATTTATATTTCTCCCTCAAATTACTAACCATGGTATATCACAAAATCAAAATACCTCAAGAGCTGCGCTCTAATATTTTGTTTTTGTTATTTTTAGAAATTTAGTGGTTTTTGGGTTTAAGGGTTTTATGTATCCTAGAATGGGTACTTGTTGGAGGTTTTGCGGTTCATACAATAAAAAAATGCATGGCTGGAAAACAAAAAAAGAAGGGGCTCATTATCTAGTGTTCTGACTTGTATCAACCTCTTAAGAATAGCCAGAGATCATGAAATTTTCTTTTAAATTTCAATTTGGGTTTTTACAATATATGTTTTCTGACAATTCAAATGCAGCAAATTATAGCTATTGAATCTTTAATTTTACACTTGTGAGAATCTCTGCATGAGGCAAAAGCACTTGACAAAAGAAGAAAGGAACAAAGCTGGTAAGATGACAAGGTTAAGGTAACCTTACCAACTTTGTTTTTTAGTTGTTTACTTCTTTTGTAAAGTGCCACTGCCTCATGCAGACTTTGACAATGTTTGCATGAATGGATATCACTAAACTTGGTACTATTGATGTTCCCTGCAATGAATTAAGCATATCCTAAAGGTTTACTTCTTGCCCTATGATCAATACTAGATTAAAACAACAATTCACTACGACTTATTGTCCCATTTTTGTGTGCTTTTCCCAATAGTGATTTACAGTAAAACCTCGTTATAACAAAATGGGATATAACAAACTAATGGACATAAAGCAATCATAATTCCCCTTGCTTGCTAATAGTGGGAAGAAATGGACATTGGCTATAACAAACTAATGGTTATAACGAAATAATTACGATCGCTCCTTCAACTTTGTTATAACGAGGTTTTACTGTATTTATATTAAATAACACTGATTTACAAACATTAGGATAAAGAACGGACCTTTGGGAGTCACTCACATGTAGTTGAAACACAATGTCTTTTATAACCTAATTGGTAGTGAGCTACTTTTTGCTGTCTCTTATCGCAGTAATATCTGCATTTCGCCGCGTCTTCTATTTGAGAGTGATATTCCCAAATACATACAGTTGCAGACTCCAAATCGCCAGATTAAGCACCATTTTACCAGACACGATCCATCCACTCGTATCCAACCTTGCACCAAACCTTCTCTGGAGTCTGCATTATTGTTTACAAGGTTCGTAGGCTTCTGTACTTCCCTTACTAACCAATGCCAAGACTGGATGGATTTCCCCAGATTTCGTTCGAGGCAGACCAGTAATGTTCTTTGGGATCTAAAAGATTAACCACCCGTAATCCAGGATGCCTAATATTGTCACAGATGGACAATGATAGACAAATGTAAAACTGAAAATAGACATTTAATGAGGCACGCCTACAAACTTAGAAAAAAAAGGAACCATATATTATGCAACAGCGACGAAAGAGCTATTCCCTCGGTGCCTGTCAGTTGCAGCTTCTTTTCTACAAACTTCGTAGTCTAGAACATTATGAGGGGGAACAGGCGGTACGTTCCGAGGTTCTACGAGAACTTTCTACAAAAGCCGCAAAAGATAAAATGAAGAACTAGGCTGGAGGGTTCGAACCCAGTGCTTTCACAACGGGAGCCGCGCGCGAGGCCGGCTCGACCGCACTTGCGGCGATCTTAGAGCCCGTGTGACGTCTCGTCGATACGGACCCTTTTAATGTGGATACCCTGCAATACAGATGTTTTTGGGAGGAACAGAGGTGCTCACATTAAAGAAGCACGCCCCGCACATAAATGTGCGTCTACTCGGGTAATCTGCGTAAAAGAGACGTGTCTTCTCGTTCGAGTCGACGCACCTTGACAAGGTTGTCGTCGGGCAGGCCGCAGCCCTCCTCCTCCTCCTCCTGTTCTTCCGTCATGGCGACTTGCACCGGGGGTAAGGGTGCCATGGGCTGATACTGAGGGCAGGTCTTGTTGGTGCGCATGTGGCCAATTGCACCACAGGCCCCACACTTCAGCTGCGGGAAAAAAAAGATGGCGAAAGTCACGGGAGGAGAGAACGTAGAAACTGTACGCGGTCGTCTCATTGCCTCGACAGTCGCAACTTTCGGTGCTTTTTAAACCACACAGTCGACAGATTATGAGTAACTTTGAGGCATTAAGTCGCCTCATTAATACATAGTTATAAAACAAAAGTTAGGCGGCGTTAAAATAAACGAAAGATGCAAGGAGCGGAGTACATGCACGAGGTACTCTGACTTGTGTGTTCTGTTCCTTGGGTCGTCTATTTTCCTATGTTTTTATATCTTATTTTATTTATTTTTTTTATTTATTTTATTTTGATTTTACCATCTTTTTATAATTATGACAAACTCTTACAATCGCTGACTGGAACGGTCTCCAAAACACGCCTGTGCCCGCTAGTGGCCATACCTATATTTCCTTCTGGATCCTACCTGGCCGACATGTATTTAATTCCTTCATGCTGTATTTATTTAAATCTAAAAACAACCTCTTTTTTCTCCTAAATTTTAAATCATTATTGGATGAGGGGGGTTTGTCTTAGAATCGGGTGCTAAGGAATGCAACAACAAACCGAGATAGAGAAACCCGGATGAGTTGAAAAAGTCTCGAAATTGGGCAACACGTTGATGCAATTGGTCGGAGTTGTTTTGTCGAACCTTTTGGCGCAGCTACAAGTCCATTTTGGAGCAGCGAAAGAAACTTTGGGAGCAAGAGCCCCGCACACGTCAACTTCGGTCCTACGACTGCAAATACTGTGCACTAGGATTCATGTGTTGGCCTATCCATCAAAAAAAACATTATCCCCTTTGTCTTCCCCCTTCTGTGCAACCTTTTGTCAGCACCGCTAGCACGGCGTGTTTGACTTCCTCACGAAAGCTTCAAACATAAAACTAACTAGCCGTTAAATTGGAATTGAAAAAAAAAAACATTTAATAAGGCGAACTTGTGCTTACAAACATAAACCGGAAGGAACCGTACATTGTGCAATGGCGACGAAACAGTGACTGCCTCAAAGCAGCATGTTACAGCTGTTTTCATACATCATTGAATGTTCCAAATGGAACATTCGATGACAGCCGAGAATGTGACGGAACTTTCCAGAAGAATACAGAATTACAAAAGAAAGATTGGGACCGACCGGGGTTCGAATCCCACTCCTCCGCAAGGCAGTCGCGTGCGTTGCCAACTTCGTCACGCACATGGCAATATGCTCAGTGACGAAGGACAGTATGAACCAGGGACTCAAACCCAAAAATATAGTGTTTCGGTTACGGTTACCGTTTCCTGTTGATATCGGTTTCGTTTAGCTTTTTTATGGTTTTGGTTACCAATTACACATGACTAAAAACCGTTTTTTCTTCTGTCGGTTTCTTTAATAATTTGTTTTATTGCGATGCTAGACAGCTGTTTTATAATAAACGGTTTAAAGTAGTCTTAGATGTCCAACGATGGGACATTCACAATAACAAGAACTCAAATACGTCTTGGAACTTCTGATTGGTCAAAAGTTGCACACGTGTCTAGCTCCAACCTTGTTCCCTGCATTTCTTTGCATTATATAGTTTGATTCCCAAGCATACATGCTAACCCTCCTACTTCAGGATCATCGCATTCTACAGCGTGAGCAAAATGGATTAAATGCACTTTAGACTGACCGCATAAATCAGTTTCTTAACTTATCATGCTGGCATTTACTACAGAGGTGCTCGAAGCTGGTGCATTCATTGATTGAAAGTATGAATACATGAAACCTCCGGAGTCAAAAGAAAGAAAATAAGTGGTTTTGTCTATGGAAAAGTTATCGTTAAGCCTTTTATCTCAAAATCATCAGAAAATCCTTGTGGGCTACTCTGGCATTTAGTACTACGGTTGAAAAATTTGTGAAATGGAAAGAAAATAAATTCGCTTACCTATTCTCCACTTCATTTGGCCACAGTAACACATCATATCTTTTTAGTGTACATGCAAAGTATAAGAAAAACATAGTTTCTGATTTTTCTTGATCTATTCAGGTGAGCCAATCTTTCCACAATTTTAGCGAAAGCTTCCACCAACTTCAGGCACCTCTGTAGTAAATCCTAGCACGACACGTTAAGAGCCCGATTTATGCCGTGCCGTCCCTTCAAACGGCCATTTATCCCTTTGACCCACACCGTATATAATATATAAAAAAAAAAAGAAAACACAGCAACTTTGTTGTTTGGCAGCATCATTAAACAACCCTCAAAAAGTTCCCACTGGATGCTGGAAGAACCATTCCCACCTTGTCGTCGCTATAGCTTGTTGCAACTTAAGATATGCAGGGGAGGCTACAGCCCACACTGAAGGCAGGAGCACAACTATAGCCCTCCTCTAGTAAAATACTGCTAAGTGGAATAAAGTAGTAAAATTGAGAGCTGAGCTAGTTTTTGAAAGTCAAACATAATGTAAATGCAATAGAGCAAAACAAGGAAGTCCAAGGGGAGGAACAAACAACACAGAAAGCTGTAAAAATATGTCCTGTGTTGTTGTTCCTCTCCTTAGTCTTCGTTGTTGTGCGCTGTTAAACCTACGACATGTTTGCTATTTCCAAGCAAAATGCATGTGTTTAGAGGATCGAACGTTTCTCGCTGCCCGATGCTGTGACGCTAGATTGTTTTCCGCTGGCTCTGCATGATGGTCAATTTACCTTGTTTCTTTATACCGGCTACTTCAGGCCAGGAACATCGGCGGTTTTGAAAGAACCGAGTTGGATGGACGAATCAATATTCTAACTTACTAGTTAATACCCTGAAGGCGACACATACTGAATACATGCAGCAATTGTAGCAATATGGCAGATTAAGAAATAGAGACTTCTCACTATAAGCTCGACCACTAAGTTTAGACTGAACGGCAATGTATTACCAAATGCACCTCTCGCTGAAGGTAACTGTGTCAAATGGTCACGACATTTCAAGATCCCTCCTTCATGTCATTCTTGAGAAGAACTAATATTTTTATTTTTCGGTTAATATCTGTTATATTGGTAAATAATTTACGGTTAAGGTTACGGTTTTCACAAATTTCAAATAATGGTTTCGTCCCGGTTACGATTACTGAAAATTTTTTGTTTCTAAACGGTTTTCGGTTTCGGTTACAGTTATTGTTTGAGTCCCTGGAATGAACCACTACCGCGAATAATCATTCACAGCAGTTTTTAGGTACAGAGCGAAAGGTAGATTATAAATTATATACCACGGAAATAATGGTAGAACTGTATAATATTGAGCACTTATTAGAGCCCCTAAAGGTTGTAATAAAACTGCATTATCGATTCAGATAAAAACAAAACTCTAGTCATTTGATTATTACTACCACCAACGACATTTTATACGTAGAACTCCGAGACAACAAGAATAGGCATCTGAACGATAAATGAGCCCTAGAAACAGTCCAGTCGGACTCGTTAAGGTTATTCCCAAGCTTCCAGCCTTTGCTTTAGGTGATGTAGTCTTAATTTACTCCGGTACATTTAATGAACCGCTGTAAATGTACATACGGTACATTTAATCTGCACATACATACATTAGTGCATTGTTTCTTATGGAACACCATCAGAAATGTAGACACCCTTCGACGGTTTGTCTGGCCAACCTGTGCAAAGGGTGGAATGTGCTCACCTTCAGCTGTGGCTGTTCCTTCTTGGGCTTCTTTCTCATCGGCAGGTGTTTCTCTTTCTCGGCGTTGCGCTTGAGTCGCCGCAGTTGCTCTTGGATTCTGCGTGGCACACACCACCGGCGACCTTGTCAACCTCAGAAATTTAGCGGCAGAAAAACAAGAACGAAGGCAAGCCGACGTGCAGATATTAGAAACTACTCTTTTTTCACCAGTTTTGCAACTTGAAGAATGCTGAAAGCAATTTAATTTCCAAAAATTTTGCAAATTGGAAATTAAAAAAATAATAATAATAATCTTGTGAAAATATTATTTTGTGGTGATGATACATAGCGTAGAATTACAAACTGCAAAATTTTCTGCCCACAAAATGTTCCCCAAAACCCACACTTGCCAAAATTTGCCAAATACTGAGCCCAGAAATATAAGATTGTTTACAGCGCTGTCAACGATTGATCACCCAAATATATCGACACTATGGTAATGAGACACCCTAAATAGACCACCACTCCTAGTCATAAATCTTTGTGTCTGCGAAATATTCACGAAACTCTGACTTTGCAACAGTCATGAAATATTGAGCCCCCCAAAATAGGCTGTTTATTTTATGACCTACTTTTCCCATCCAGGCTGTTTAACAAAAATGTATTTTTCTTTCCATGCATCCTTTAAAGCAGCGTTTCGGGCTTTTGCTTGATCTCAATAAATACTTTTCAGCTACTTTCCTTTCGAGCTTACCGAGTATCTCTTTGTCTCGTTTATGATGGCCGACGCAAAAAAATGTCTTTTTCTAGCATGACTAGAAAGGCCACAAATCTGAGAGCTATTCTCCACAGGAACAAGGTAATGCTTTCTCCATTCCGAGATTGACAGCGAGGCATCCATGTCTTGTTCTACATTTTTCTTACACCTATTTAGGGAAAGCGCCATAACGAGCTGCGACAAAATAAGTCTGCCTGCTCGGGTGAATGGAAGGTGGAGTAAAAGCTCCAAGGTGCAGTGCGGGCCGGAAAGAGGCTGAAAGGACAGACCTTCGACGCTCCTTCCTGATCTCCTCCTTCTGGTGCTCATCCAGAGTAGATGCAAATTGGCGTCTGAAAAACATACAGACATGCGTACACTTCAAAACAGGTTGCATAAACAGCTCGAAGAATCAGCAGTCCATTGCTGATCAACTGAAAGAAAGCTCCGGCGTTATTTTAAACATTTTCAACTAAGTACATTTCCTAAAAGAGCATAAGAAACTGAGCCTAGGGCAGCAAGTAAATTTCCCCAAAACGTTTTTTAGATAATTTTAAAGCACAGCTCTCAGGCACCCGTTTCCGGCTTCAGCATCGTCGCCGTCGTCATCAACATAATTGCCCGTTGCATTATGGGACATTTCTCATTATGACGTCACAAAGGTCACGAGTGATGTCACAAAGGTCACGACCTTCACAGTGACCTTCACAGTGACGTCACTAGGGTCATGAGTGACGTCACAAAGGCCACAAGTGACATCACGAGGGTCACGAGTGACGTCACAAGAGAGGAGGGAGGAAGCGGGAGGAGAGGCATACCCTCTTCTCCATACCCTCCCCTACTCTTCCTCCTCAAGAGCTGTGCTCTAATTCAGCATTACAAGGAGTTGTAATTGTCTTTCATTTTTTAATCGCAGAAATAACTATCCTGTAACTTTACTGGCCCGCCATCTTATTGTGACATCAGATGTATAGACATCATTACATGGGCATCTTGGGCCTGTTTCGACCAGCATCAGAAGCAGTCAGAAGACCGTCGCGATTGTCTGTGGGACAATTTGTCAAGCTTATCCGAGTCAAGCAATGATCAATGTTTTAGGATTCTCAGCACGATGTTTCGGATGATTCGCCGACATCGCCTCCGAGGGGACCACCCGTGGCGGCTGCATTCGCAATACGCCGACATGTAGAAAAAGATGCCGCTTGAGAAGCAAAACGGCATGGAAGGTTTTGTTCGCTAGCACGGTCCAAATTGTTTTCTCGCACGACATGAGGCCTATAGAGCTGGCGTTTGCGTCGGACTGCTCAGACCCACTTCCGTCGCTGAGATGGTTGGAAACCGATGAGATGTCACTTTGCTGTATTTCTTCGTGGTGTTGTTGCACCCCACAGCACAGCACCAATTCCCACCGCCCTCTGTCGCATGCTGCGAATAGCCTAAACCAGACGCATTTCGCAAAAATACAGGCGCTCACTATCAATCCCTACAACGTACAACGCCGTGGAGGAGGAAGCGTCGTCTGCTCTCGAATGCATTTGACGTCATGAGCGCCCCCGCTCTTTGTTGCCAGTAGAGAGGCAGCCAGCGATTCAAAGGTGCCCACGTAAACTTCAAAATTAGTTTTCTCGAAAGAAAATTTATATATGCATTACCGTAGAATACCGCGCATTCGCCCACTCCACATTAAGTGCCCGTATCCAAATTTCTAAGATATGAAAAAATGTGCACAGTACATTTATATGTAAAATTGATGATCGGAAAAGCGCCCATCCCCCATTTTTTTGCGATTATCTCTAAATTTTGAGTGGGCGCTTGCCCGGTATTTTATGGTAGGTATTTCGTAGACATACTCAGGGGTGGATATCTACTCCTTGGTGAAAATCATATAAAAATCAATGACCATCAATATTTCACCGAGGCTCAAGCGGGGATATGACCTAGAAAAATAACCTTGTTTTTTTTTTGTAAATGAAGTTAATTTTGAAAATGGTCATCTTACCATAGGTCTACAAGCAACTGATTTCTACAAAATTTCATATGTTTTTTCTGCACGGTTATCTTGTCATCAATTATTTTTGGTGCTTCGGTGCTAACAAAAGAGATGGAGATAGGGACACTTTGAATGCATTTTTGTCAATTCCCTTTTGTCAGTATAAATTTCATTTTAGACAGTCACTCGTTCGAGAACGAGACTGAAAAAGAGGCTCATTCTTAGTTTCCCCTAACTGAAATTTAATTTAAAAAATGAGCCTGTGGAACTATACATATATATCTTCCTTTTTAATTTTACTGCTCCCTTTTATAAAAAAAAATGCTGAATTTGTTGAAGACACAGAAGGCCTAAAAGTTGCTAAAAGTTTTTAGGAATAATGTCACGATAGAAATAAATTACTTTTCGCAAGCTCTTGCTCACAGTCACACTCTCCAGAGATTCTGCTTTGCCTCTAGCAATTAAAAATGTTTGACGTCGCATTCTTCTCCCAAGGACGTACTGATTCACCAATGTTAACTAGTGCTTTCCCGGTAGAAATTGCTATAATTTTCTTCCCAATTATTGTAGAGAGTTGAAACTTTGCACTACGTCCTATATCCTGACTATAGCAGTCTACGCTGTCAAAATTATTTAACCTAAGGCGGGGGATCCAACATTGACCATTCTGGCCAATGTCCTCCCTTAAGATTGCCGAAGCTGATTCTTTAGCATCTGCTTGTGAGATGCCCGGCAGCTAAATACATCCGTGACTCAACCGCAATGCTTGTTGGCGAGAAGAAAATAGGACCACACCAAACATATCAATCGCTATGTCACTAAACACTATTAAACATTATCGACAGTCCGTCAATGGTCAATGAGACTCCAATGGTGCTGCAGCAGGCACTAAGCCAGGATTTTGTTTCGGGGGGGCCCGCCCATGACAAAATGCTGTATAAGGGGGAGGGGGGAGAGGAGGTCCCAGCAAAATGGAAAATTTCGGGGGGCGGGGGGCCGGGCCCCATGGGCCCCCCCCCCCCCTGGCTACGTGCCTGTACTGCAGTGACAAGCGAGATGTACCTACCACAATCGACGTCCGCAAAATCAAAGACTCACATGAAGTTGGGATCCTTCGTGGTGCGTATCCGGACGTAGGTGTCGATCACCGCAGGCTTCCGCACCGTCTCGATACGGACATACTCTCGTCCCTTCGCATTGCGGAAGGTGCGGTAGATCTTCAGGATGCGGCCGTTCTGGAACACCCAACGCCCGCCTTTTCACTCCCAGAAGACGGTCACCCCGACTTGCACAAGCTTAGCCACAAAACAAACTGTTTTTAATGCACACAAAAACAAGACCAATCAAACTTGCTTTGTATCTACCTCCTTTTTTACTTCAACAGTTATTCTTTCTTTTTTTTTTTTTCTTTTCTTTTTAAAACACCAAGAATGCACAGGTTGATGTGAGGAAGTATCGTGTGGGGTGGCTCAACGTGTTGTCAACATGTGACTTGTGCGAACGTGCACAGTCGGTTCGCGGAGATGGAGTTTGGCGGCTAATCAACTGGGTCAACTCGCCTAGCTTCCACCGTGCCGGGCCACAGCATGCAATGGACACTCGCAAAGTCTTAGCTCGCTTGAATGAGAATGCAATTCGGCATTGAAATGAGAAAAGCCAGAAGCGCCATACCTCGTTTGACCGAAGACTCGCCATGGACGTGTTATCGTCGTCCTTGTCCGTCTTCGGCTTGCCGTCTGTAAACGAAACGCCGGCAGCCGATCTCGGTGAAGTCGGGTGGCAACAACATCAAGTTTCCGACCACACTCAACTTTCCAGGTTACTTTCAGTTACACCTTAGGACTATTCCCAAACTGGCTCAAAGCTGGATCATAAAATGTAAAAAGTTATCACTTTAATCTCGGCCTTTATGCTGGTGCACCACGATAAAGACCTTGGGTAGCGTCGGCCAACCTACCACTGTTCGGGATAGCTGCCACCAGGCTTACCAACGTGCCAGCCGACGACAAACCTCAATAAATTCAAACAAGGTTCATCAACTACCAACACGCATTGAAAGTTCCATGCTGCTTTTATGCATTAAGCATGAAAACAGCCTGAGACTTCCAACATACGCAATGCTGCACAAATCAAAAAGAACTCGAGCAAACGTCGGCATGCACTTGACGCAACCCAGTTTCCGAGTCAACAAAGCTTGGATTAGCTGGCAATATGATTCCCCTGGATCGTTTGACGCTAACCTTGCTAACGACTTTACCTCGTGAGAACAGCAAGGCAAGAGAACGAGCAAAACAAAGAGAGCCCAAGAGAGAAGAGTCACCTTTGTCCTTTTTCTTCTTGTCGTCACCAGCACAGGAATCCTCTCCCATGATCAACCGTTGCAACTCACGCCGCTCGGCCTCTTCCCGCTCGTGAGACAGCTGCGCAGGCCGCACAAATCACGTCGTCAATCAATCATAACCCGACTGCATGCGTTGCTCACACCACAGCTCGAAAACTGAGGCAGTTTTTATATTGAAGCTGTTTATGGCTAGAGTTCCGTGGAGTTTTCATGTTTATGACTAAAAACTTTATGCTCGCACAATCACACACGCAGCACGTGCATGCCTTCCTCGTATAAAAGATTCAAAGTAAATAACCAAAATAAAGCAATGACGAATGCACGTGCAAGATGCCATTTGTTTTAGGCTTTTGCTTTAGAACAGTTACTGCTGGAGACGCCGGCACGTGCGGTGCAAGGAACACCGTTCCCTGCATTCTCCTTGATGCTTGAGTAACTTAGCAATAGTAGGTCTATTCAGTAGATTAGCTATCAATAAACACCATTTTCAAGATCAGTAGCCTCTCAGGTAGATAATGAAGGTTTCTCAAACATTTGACGCTGTGCAATCCCCGTCAGCCATGTCTACGCTTGCACCGCCCTCTCTTTGTTGTCGTTCCAAGCGCTTGCATGCCTAGTTTCCTTTCCTTCCGCTCTCCCGGGGTACTGGTCCCGTCACGCGTGTCTACTTTCTGCCGGGTGGCGGTCCCGCCGCATGTGTCTACTTTCCTCCAGGACCTTGGGGCGGGACTGTTGGTGCATAATCAAAAAAATAAAAACAGCGCACAGATGAACACAAGGACAAGTAGAAGACACAGACAAACACAGCACTGACTAATGACGTTGTTAGTTAGCGCTGTGTTTGTCTGTGTCTCCTGCTTGTCATTGTGTTCATTTTTGCGCCGTTTTTATTTTTCCAAGATATCCTGCACATTTCTGGTTTAATGCTTCGTTAATTAATCCCTCATAAAATTCTCCAAAAAACTTGATTCCGTAAATTAAAAAAGAAAAAACTCGATTCCGATTTAGCTGAGGCAAGGAGGCCTCAAAGCAGAATTTGACACTTCACTAAGAAACTGAGCTCTTCAGGTATGACGGTTTGTCAGCATTTCACTGGGTGCAATATGAATGATGCGAGACACAGAGACGCTACAAAGTAGGTTTGCAAAAATTCAAATTTCGAAATTTTGGTTGTCTTGCTATGTTTTTAATGTATTCCTAAGCCGCTTAATTCGAATGGCGTTTTCGTGCAATTAAAACTTTTTTGTTCTTGCAGCCCCTTTGGGTGCGCTTCTTTCCGAGCACCGGCACTGCAGAAAGACAACACCCGTGGAGCTTGCTTCCGCGGGTGTTGTTTCTCGGCAGTGCACCGATGCTCGGTGAGAAGTACACTCAACGGGGTTCAACCGGGCACACATGGGCTATGAAAACAGGCACCACGCAGAAATTTCCATAGCAACCTGAGCGGACGTTGCGACGTGGCATAGGTCCCCGTCACAGTGTCCGCGCAAGTTGCTATGGAAACTGCCGTGCGGTGCCCATTTTCATTGCTTGTCTGTACCCGCTTAATAGTCCACATTAGACAACTTCTTGGGCTGATGAACAAGCTTAAATTTGTTTTGACCTATCAAGCAATGTCAACCAGGGGTGCACAACGTGCAGCCCGTAGGCATGACATTGCGATGACGCCAGATATTGAAAACCTGTCTGCCAGATACAGTATAGACCACTTACAGCGTAACCGCTTATAGTGCAGGACCGGGTATAACGCGGTTTTTTTAAACCACCGGTTCACCTCCCATAGAACTCCATGTAATTACATACCGCTTAAAATGCAGGCGCGCGAAGGGAAATACCGGTTATAGTGCGGCTTTTGGCACAGCCTGCCGACCGCGCCGACGACCGGAGCAGCGAGCACGCTTCCCTGTGCGACAGTAGATAACGGCGCTGACGGCGCGAGTCGCAAGGGGCACTCGCGGGGAGAAGCGGTGAGAGAGGCTGCAGTTGCCGTAGCGACGGAGGGACGCACGCACGTGTCGTTCACGTGCGTGCGTCCCTCCGCTGCGTTGGAAACAAAGAAACAAACCGCAACGACAGACCAATCGCAGGTCGAGGAGAAGTGTTCGCGCGCGTTGCATGCCGGTCGCGGGCCGGCTGCTTCTATCCGCAAACATGGCGTCGGTTGTGATCGTCGTCGTAGACGGCGTTCATCTCATCGTTCTGCGTAAAAGCGCTATCCTTGACTGTGAATTTTCGTTGTGTGTCGCTATGATAACCCAGCACGTACTAGAAGGGAAGATCCACCTACTCGTGCGGCGATGCCGTGGCGGCGCTCTCAAGACGGCAGAAACGCCCGTGTCGTTGTGTTTGTTTATTTCGACTACAGTGGTGCTTTCTAAGCATTTGTGTCCTCGAACATCGCCCGGATTTCTTATTTGGCGCATTTCATGCGTGTGCTCAAGTTCAAGGTATTATTGGCGCGTACCGTATGAAGGATGCGAATTTTCACGCGTTTTCATCTCTGGAGAAAAGTGATTAGGGTTAGCAATCCTGAACGCTCGCAATGGCCGTCCGCAACCCTCGACGCCGTTAAAAGGCTGCGCCAGGCAAAAGCCGCTCATTTCTTTCAAAATGTGTGGCACACTTGAGACAGAACTGTACTAGTCTGGTGAAATAAAGACTGTCCTCAAACTAAGCTTTATTTTTCATCTAACATAAAATAAATTGTTTTACAAAGGTAAGTTGTCTCATGGCATGTATTTTGGCCTGAAAAATTGATGTTTTGGTTATAGCGCGGTACCGCTTATAGTGCGGATTTTCGCGACTCCCGAGACATACGTTATATGCGGTCTACACTGTATTGAAGACTTGCGCAGTTCCCAATTAACATATTTTTGGTCTGCATCACTTCAAAGTTGTGCATCCCTATTCTAAACAGTCCACGACAAACAACATTTCTGAGGGATAAATAAACTTGTCATACATTTCACAAATGTTTCATGTGTGGCACACTTGCTTATTATGATCAGTAGACCTATGAAGAATCAAATATCTGCTTTGCATGTGTAGCCATTCATGTGGCAAATCATAATTTTATACTGCATCATATGTAGATGAATTTCTGATACAAATTCAAGCTTCTTATAATTCAAACAAAATTCGCAGCTTCCTGGAGTTTGAATTAATGAGAGTCTACCGTAACACCGGAGCAATTTCTACGGCACAATGGCGAAAGAAAGAGGACCTGTGAGCTGGTCTTCTTGTTGGACAGCATGTTCTCTATGTTCTTGCCCATCTCCTCGATGTCCGAGTCGTCCTCGGAGCTAGAGTCCTCGTCCGTGGACAGCACCTCGTGCGAGGACAGCACCCGGTTCTGGAGGTCGAAGATGCGCTGGCACTCTTCCTTATAGCGCTCCTGGTGCTCCGCTATGCTGAACCGGTTGCCCCGAGCAAACTTGCTCATCGCTGAACCAGAGCGAGAGAAGGCACGGGGGAGAAAACGCCATGAAACAGTTGACAGAAAAACGATTGAGGTACACCTAAGCATTCCTTGTGAGTTGTGAATGCGAAAGCATGCAAGTTGCTCGTCCGCTCCCTCTTTCGTCTGCTGCGTACTTTTCATCGCCGGTCGGTGCATGTGCTCCCTGGTGACCTTGGACGCTCCGCGCTGATGAACACACAGCGCCATAGAGTGAGCAGTCGTGGAAACTGACGAGCGCAGCGGCCCATGGGAGCCCCGTCAAAGCACGCCAATGTATCCAACGGAAACTATCTGCTGTTTTCGCGCTTCAGAGTGATGACGTCAGCTCGCTCCATGAGACAGTTAATGCTTTCGCATTAAAAGTTGCAGCTAGTGGCGCCGAATACTCCCAGGGTGGCAAAACCCGCAAGCTTTGTTCCACACACGGAAAAGAGTCACAGCACCAAGTCGCAGCAAGCAAAGTGTTTTGGAAGACTATGTTGACGTATGGCAAAAGGTTTGTTCCATATATAAACGAAAAGCTATTTGCTTGCACAGTTGCTACGCTCACTTAGACCTGAACATAACAATCAGGAACATGTGACAACACTAGGGAACGTCTCAATAGGGTGCTACCGTACCCATGCCGGGAACTCGGGGAAACCTTGGGAAACTTCGTAAAACGCTCTGTACCATGGCTGTACTCATACACAACAATACAGCAACCGAGGAGATAAACTGCCTGTTCACACGGTGTATGCGGTGAATCTTTTTTTTTATAAGTTGCAAGACAATCAGATCTTATACCAGCTCGACATCCCAAGGAAAAACAAAATTTTTCTCAGAGTTTGTAGGCTCTACAAAGTAATTCCTACAAGATTTGATTGTCAGAGAAAACAAAACCATTATGTTTGTTTTACTTAAATTGCGTGTGTTTCGATAAAAAAAAAGTAACTAATCTCAAATGCACGCATGTCTAAATTCACGACGTAAAAGGTTAAATCAATAATTCTCCATGAGGAACCCAGCTTTTTTTTTTTTTTCCTCATACACTTCGGTTCTTGAAGTGATAAGGAATATGGAAGAAATTCCACAGAAAAAAAGCTCGGGATGGGCAAGTCGGACAAAACTGGGTCTTGCCCTGGGTAAGACGGCTGCATTCCAAGCACGCACTAGACGCGCTACGACATCAGACCCAAAGAGGAAAAGGTAAAGAGGTGCCCAAACCTACCCTCCTCTCCGGCCTTGGCTTGCTCGGTCGAGAGCGTTCGCACAACATCAATTACCTCCCAGCGCGACAACTTTTTGATCTGAAAGAAGAAAAAAAAAAAATAAAGCAATGAGAAACCCGAATGCGAATTGGGACTCGACAAGAAACATTTTCCACAAACATCATTGGAGGCCATCTTGTCAGTGGTCGCTACGGTCAAATCTGTCTCAAAGCATCCATAGTAGCTGCTCTTCCCGCTACGTGAAATGACAGAGTTCCCCAAGTTTCCTCGACTGCTCTTGAAAACGCGTTGTAGCTGTTTTAACTGTCGGAGGCACTTTGAAGCATTCGAATGGACCGAATGACTACGGAGAAGGACTGCCTTACGAATCAGGGCGGCACGCACCTCGTCCTCGGGAACCCCAAACTTCCTCAGCAGCTGCTTGGCGTTGCTGAGCGACAGGCGCCGAAGGTCGGCGTCCGTTCCGGTCACCGTTTTCTTCACAGGCTGCTGGCTGCCACCGTCCTCCTGTTCCACACACGGAGATTGTACCAACTGTCACCGCCTAGGGCAAATAGTCAAAACAATGCGTAGCCCTCGCGACTGGCTTGGTAAGTGCACTAGAGCTAGAACAATGAAATTCTAGTGTTGTGCGAATATTCGAATTTCCGAATAGTAGTTTCGAATATTACGCTATTCGATATTCGATTCGAGAGCAGTTGTAATATTCGTGCTTTTTGAAGTGTTGGCGACCTCGAGTCGCGTGTTTGTTTACTGTTTAAAAATACGTAACAAACATTTTCTAAGTTCAAAAATATACTCACACGTTCGGCAAAATGGTACAAATATTATGGTGGAAACTCTCAAATATATTCCTTGTAGTCATTTCATCAACTTTGTTTAAAAACGGGCAAAAAAAACGACCAATGAGCTCCAGCAGCGCCTGCGCCATCTTTGCCCATTTTGGCGCCCTGTATTCCAATAAATAACTCATACATGAATTATTTAGCTCTCATTCTCACAAATCAGGCCACTTAATAATTGCACGTCTGCAATGATTATCTTGCATGCAACTTTGCAACCAAGATTTTTTAACAGCAAGTATTCGATATTCGATTCGAAAATATTCGGCCAAAATCACTATTCGCTTCAAATTCGATTCAAAATCAAAATCCACTATTCGCACAACCCTATGAAATTCACAACACTAACCTATTGACTCCTAAAATTGGTACTAGTTGCAAGTTTTTCGGCACATAAAGAAAGATGGGAATTGAAACCAGAAAAAGACACAGCTCATTATCCAGTGTTCTTACGTATATGAGGATCTTAAAAATAGCAAAAAATAGTGAACAAATCAACTTAATTTAAAGAACACATGCAAAGGAAAAAAAATTTTTTTTAGACAGCTTAGATGGAAAAAGGATGTCATAAAACGATTTTACAACGAAGAAACAAAATTTTTAGAGCTATATTTATGGCGCTATACGAATTTGTAGTTGGCGCTCGCGGGAGCCGCCGCTGGTCACGTGGTAGGCCCGCGCGCCGCTGCGCTGCGTCGCTGCCGCACGCTGAGTGTTGTGCGAACGCCGCTTCAACGCGTTTCTCCACGCCGCCGTCACCGCCGCCGCACAAGTTCGTCTGCTTCGGGGCGCCGCCGCCGTCGTCTGACCGGCGCACAGGTCTATCACGTCTGCTTGCGCTTTTTCAGGAGTTTCCTTTGGGCTCTAAAAGTTACTTATTCGTCTTGGTTTTTTGTTATACTTCAAACAAAGATGAATAAGTTACTTTTAGAGGCCATGGGAAACTTCCGAAAGAGCGCAAGCACCACGTGATAAATAAAGACCAGTCACGTGATAAATACAGACCACTTTTCCGCGGTGCCCGCGGGCACCAACTACAAATTCGTTTTGCGCCATAAATATAGCTCTAAAAATTTTTTTTCTTCGTTGTAAAATCGTTTTATGGCGTCCTTTTTCCATCTAAGCCGTTTAAAAAAAATGTTTTTTTCCTTTGCATGTGTCCTTTAAGGGGACAAGCACCAGGGGAAATGTTTTTTTATCATTAGTTATGACAGTGGTTCTGAAATGGGGGTCCGCGGACCTTTGGGGTTTGCGAAGGCATTTTAGGGTTCTGAGAAGCCCTGTCTCATCAGTCAAACCCAAGCAATAAAAGTTGTATTTCTTTTAGATTCAGATGAAACGTTCCAATTTTTGGGTGAGTTGTCCTGTTGGTATGTAAATAAGAGAAGTCTACTTCACACTAGCCCTTAGTTCTATTCATCTCTTAAATCATTATAATTAATTAACCTATCCATTTCCCCTCCCCTTATTACAAACGGGGTCCTCCATCATCTCCGCCGATCCACAGGGGGTCCGCGAAATATCAATGGTTGAGAACCACTGAGTTATGATATTGAAATAAAATTTCTACAGTTTGTGGTAATTAAAATTCTTCTTTTTATAAATCTGTTATTAGACTTCATATAGCTTGCTTTTTTAGGTTCTCAATGCAATGTGCAAGCAAAAAAAATATGCTCTTCTGTGCAGGCATGGCAACACACTTAAAAAAGCCTAGTAAACTAAAGTATATCACCCCTTTAAAGCACTGAGTGCAATGAACAACAAAAATAATGTGTGTGACACTTATTTTAATTTTAAAAAATTTTAAAATAGCAAAATTGCCATTTCAGGGGGCTAACAAACGTTTCTTAAAATTTTTATAAACATACATTCTAACCAAACATAGATAGTTGCATTCTATACATTCTAAAGTATATGCATGCCAAATTTGGTTGTGATACGACAATATTAAGATCAAACATTCTTGTGCACAAAGAGTGAAGATGCCCCAAAATTACATAAAAAGAAAAATGTGTATGAATGTTACCATAGGTGCATATCTATACTCTTTCGCGGTGCGGAAAATATTTTATTCATAAATTTTTGAGAGAATTCGAAGCTACAGAAGGCTGCAATGGAGGGGAGATGGCTAGGCCTAGAGGTCAACGTAAATGTGATTGTGGGCAACGTCACAACCTCAAGAACCACACAAGAGTAAGGGCTCAAATTCATGCTGTTGTGGGTTGCCTGGAGGTCTTCAAATGTGTATTTGATTAATTTCACAATCATAATCGGCACTAAATATTTTTAGACATCAAATATAAAGATTTAAAAATAAAAAGAACACCATAACACCCAAAATCACATTTTTTACAAAATATATTGTTTTTCGACCAACATCTTCCTGTTAATCTTAAAATCATCATTTTTTTTAATTGCTACTTTCAGGCTTTTTCGAAATATAAATGATGGCAATTTAATAACAGCAAATTATAGGTAAAAAGACTTAATTTCAAGCATGCGATAAACCTCTAAAGTAATTTCACTAGCTCTTTTTTAATTTTTTATTTTTTGTCAAGTGCCATTGCATCACCCAGATTTTGACAATGTTTTCACAAATGGATATCAATAGTTAAATAATTGTGCTGTGCATATGTTTATACAGACTGAAGTTAGTCTGCCTCAACAGGCAACTTGTCTCAGCTTTGCACGCCGGTACAATGTTCATCCAAATCGAAACGGGCAGGGGTGGGGAATGAACCCAGGAACTCTAGGTTCTGCAGCACGAGCTTTTGCTGAAAGGATATCACAAAACCTGGTATTGGTGTTCCCTGCAATAAATAAACTGTATCCTAGAGGTTTGCACCCATTGCCACGAACTCGATCAGAAAAGACAACTGCACAAGGCTTGAAGGCTTTGTGACCCGCAGTTCGTAGGTTGTAGCCTCCGAAAACGGCGTCCCTTGCGGACGCCAGCACGTGCCTGCTGCCTTCCACTGTGCTTCGGCTGTGCGCGCATGCCTGGAGCTATTCAAGGTAGGAAGCCCACGCTCCAGCCAGGACAACTGAAGGACTCCCCTGCCCTTCTCATTCTGCCGGCGACTACAACACTGTATTTTGAAAGGAAAAAACGGAACCACACTGTCTCCCCTTTTCTTCCCTCGAAGCCAAAAGTTCCTGCCGGGTTTTCACCAGTGAGCCATTCGGCCTCCAAGAGCATATATGGATCCCAAACATTGAAACATTGTTTGTTTTCCATGTGAGCAATGGAGGGCACCGAGGAAAAAAAGCCGCTACTACGCAGCTTGACGGGCACTCGGTACCCTTATGAAGCAAACAACGACAACGGGAGACTAAAGAGAAAGTAATATTATCAGTAAAAAAATGCAACAATTACACGGACGACATAGTTTTATAGTATGTTAAATATGGCTGCTTTGTTTGGCGAGGTGACGCCAATTTCTAGGGATGCAAGATGAATTTGTGGTTAAGGCAGCACGATTGGGGAGTACGTCGTGGATGTGTCCGACGAGTCTGAGGAGCCAAAATTGTGCAAACGGCGGTCGGGGAGGGTTAGAAAAGTTCCGAAATGTACCTTGGACTGCTGGGGCTTGTTTGGCACGCGCACGTAGGAGAAGCCCTCCCCGCAGCTCGTGGGGTCGGCCACCCCAGTCAGCTGGAGCAGGCACTTGCCCTTGACCGACGAGATGAACGCACGCGTCGTGTTCCAGGGCGCAGCTTTCACCTGCATGACCGTGGAAAGAATGAAGACTCAGTCGAACAACGAGACTTGGAGCGACATTACCACCATCTCTACAGAGTAGAACTCTGATAAAAGGTACTTGTTGAGCAAATGCAACTTTGTGAAAAGTTGGTTTGATTTGCCACGCTTGCAAGACGGTCTTCTTGCCATCCGGTAACTGGAGCTTGTGCCAAGTGAACCGGTTTTGCTTAGTTCCTCAGTGTTTTACATAAAGAGAGATCCTCGTGCATTGAATGATGCACTTTGTTTAGAATGGTATATTTAATTGCATTGCAAAGCATACATGGTGGCCGTAGCCAATGAAACAGCTCAAATCTAGATTGTTTAGAGCTATTAGTGCTTCTCCTTCAACCTGCAATGAAAGAACTTTTTAAAATTGAAAAGGACATCTTGAGCTTGCATTACCCATGAGATGCTACCAAACCACAACATTGTCACCTGTCATAGTGATAAGAAGGATGCACTATGTGAAAGGTCTACATTATAACTGTTATGCGTTGACAACGCACTGACCCAATTAGGTAGCAGTGACGAAACCGCTTTTAAGACTTGGCTATCACAAACTGCGGGCAGTTGTGCTTATTCAGACCGCAATGACTTGCACAAAAGTGATGCTCTCGAGACCGGTTATAACTAAGTCGGTTATAACAAAATAACGGCTACAGCGAAGCGATCACGAATTCCCATTCTCTTTTGCACTTTGTTTTAAAGTCAGTTATAACTAGGGCTCCATGTTTTCGGAGTTTATTTTTCGTGAAATTTGGAGGGTGTTTTTCGGAGTCTATTGTTTTAGCAAACATTCGGTGTTTATCGGAGTTTATTTTTCGTAAATCCCCAATTCTCTGAAATTCTGAGATTAATTTCGCAGTGTTTTCCATTAAAAATAATAAATATTAACCGGATGCAAACGTATGCCAGATAAAAAATAAAACACGCTTGTATCAATTAAGATTTCTTCACTTGAATTTGGCGTTGGTGTCATTGGCAATACTAATTTGTCCCACGCCAAGGTCGCACACAAGTGTGGCTTCGATAAATGTCGATATTTTAAAATCAATAAGCTGCCGGAGGTAGCCGCAAAGAAGCTCGTAGTCACCCCATCAATCTATCCCGTGGTCGCGTGAGGTGGAGTGGTTAAGGATGTAATAGAGAAGTTTTGTCTGCCCCTCTTCCCTATTTTATACAATCTCAATGGTCCATAGCTTTCATTGTTACCCCCAGAAACATACCCCTCTCCTTTCTCTAAATCCCAAATCCCATGGCCCAAACTGGAAACCAAAAGAGTGGCTTTTGTCGTGACGCGAATGGTACGATGACTCGTTCCCCTAAACCAACCTTGACAAGACAAGCCGTAAGACCCTCTTTTGACAACGGTCAAAGGCTTGAAAGATAATTATAGTGTCATTTTCTCAGGACCATTAATCGTGCGCTGCGCAAATAAAAAAAAAAAAAACTTTTTTTTTTTTGTTGCACTTTTGCCTCCTTTCACAACAACAAAAAAGTTTATTTATTTATTTATTTTTTTTTTTCAATTTGAGCAGTGCAGGATTAATGGTAGCATGGGCACATAACAATTCGGATTTTATCGGATAAATCCGAATTCACAAAAATTTTACCAACGGGTGTTTTTCGGATTTACAGTAAAACCTCGTTATAACAAAATGGGATATAACAAACTAATGGATATAACAAAGCAATCATACTTCCCCTTGCCTGCTAATAGTGGGAAGAAATGGACATTGGCTATAACAAACTAATGGTTATAACGAAATAATTACGACCGCTCCTTCAACTCTGTTATAACGAGGTTTTACTGTATACGAAAACACGGAGCCCTAGTTATAACGAAATAGCGGTTATAGCGAAGCAATTTCCAATTCACATTGCCTTCGTTATAACCAGTCTCGACAGTACTACGAGACAGAGGCATAGCCTACGAAAATATGCTACCAATTCAGTCATGCCACCGCTAAATTGTAATTGTCGATCAAACTACTCAAATCACCTCGTCATCCATCTTGACTTGCATCTCTTCGTCGTTCTCGTCCTCGGGTGCAAACAGCGACTTCTCTCCGTAGCCTGCGTCCTGGACAAAAAAAACAAACGCGTTAAAACGAAAAGATATTCACTTACGTTTCTAGTACACTGAAAAAACCTTTTAGTACCTGAAGCATACTTTTGAGACACTCTTAGTGTGCCCTTTGTTTTACTGGCACAACTGGGAGAAATGCCACGTTAGGTGTATGGGACATGACGCCACGACAGTCGTGTCAAGTCACGTGACCCGCAAGTCGGTCAAGCGTGTCCCTTTCCTCGTGAAACCCTGCCATCCAACCCACGTTAGAAAAAAGAAGCGAGGGCCCTACCTTGAGCCTCTGCTCGGCCGAGATCATGCTGTAGTAGGCACAGCACTGCTCCGGCGACACCATGGTGCGAATCTCGTCCTCGGTGGGGAGCCGGAACTCTGGCTTGAGCACCCACCAGTTGGAGTCCATGCCTAGACCATTGGGGGGAGACACGGGATCACCATCATCGAATCGGCAGCAGCCGGCCGCACCCAAGGCCGGTGCTTCGAGAAAGCGTCTCCGAAATGGAAGCATTTTGACGTGAAACATTCTTCGGCTGGGCATTCGGCATTTCGTGAAGCCCAAATAAAAGCCTGGCCGCGAGGCTCAACACCGATTGGTTGACGGGGGGGAGAGGAGGAGTGAGGTGCTCGATGCTGATTGGTTAACGGGGAGGTCGTGTGACCAGAGGGGTGGGCGAGGAGGAGCTCCACCACCTGTGCACACCAAGGAAGAGGAGCTTGAGAGTATGGAAGGATATGGAAGATTGGCAGGTTTATCAGAAACGAGTAGCGGAAGTATCGCTTCATTCTAGAAACAACTATAGAGTGTACGCATGGTACGCGTTAAACTATCTGACGAAGAGCGCCATAAAGTAGACGTCTGGTGACTGGAAACTCACAAGTACCGCTAAACATTTGTGATGCCAGAACATTTCATGTATGCAACACAATCGCCTAGCAATTTGATACACATTTTTCAGAAGCACTCATACGAGACCTGCAACATACACACTGTGTTAAAGGACACGTGCAAAGGAAAAATCATTTTGTTTTAAAGCGTAGATGAAAAAAGAGTGTCATAAAACATAATTAAAACAAATAAAAAAATTTCTACAGCTATATTTACAGCGCGAAACGAATTTGTAGGTGGCGCCCGCGGGAGCTGCTGCTGGTCACGTGGTAGACTTGTGCACCGCCAAGCTTCGCCGCCGTCGCACGCCGAGCGTGGTGCGCCACCGATTCAGGGCATTTCTCCATGCTGCCGCTGCCACCGTAAGGGACACTTGGTGCGCCACCCGCTGGCGTCAAGAATGATGTCCTAGAGGACAACGTCAAAGACGACGTCTACGACGACCTCTAGGACAACATCAAGGATGTCTAGAATGACCCCTACGACAACTTTGAGGGCAATCTCCAGGAGAACCTCTAGGACAACCTCAAGAATGACATTTAGGACGAGGTCCTGGGAGGAATGTCAAAGAGAATGTCTAGGATGACTTCTAGGATGACATTGAAGACGACGTCCACATACGCGCGGCACCTGCGTATGCAGAGATCGTACACATGTGCAACACACAAGCACGGGGCATTCGAGGCCAGATTCCGTGTCGCGAAAACCAAGCAAAGTAAATAAAGAATGCTTTCGCGTTAATAAAAAAAAACTTTTTCCCTGGCAAAATAACAAAAAATGTTTTTTGGAGTTCAGTGTCCTTCTATAGTCACATTGGCCTCTACTGCACCTCCAGCGCACGCGCAAGACCAAGGAGTGGCAGAAGGCATGGAGTGTATGCTGGAGGCCAGGCGCGTGAAAGGCACGCCCCGGAGTCTTCAATTTGTCGGCATTTTTCGAGCGTACGGTCCGAGCCGCTCAAACCAAAGCTGCTCGGCGAGCACGCGCCAAGGAGCACCCCGCCCACCTGTCCGCTTGAAATCCGCGCAGAGTTTGAGGCGCTTGCGAATGCTGCTCTCCGAGTGCGACGGGAAGGCCTTCTTGATGTCCTCCATCTTGATGCGCCGCGGGGAGTCGGTGCTCTTCCAGAAGAGCCGGTAGATGAACACCTGCGCAATTGACGGCGTTCGTGGCGCGCGTCGCTTTGCCGCCGATGTTTTCGCCAAAACAAGTCAGAAAGAGTGAGAAAAAAAGGCGCAAACCTGGAGAAAGTCGCGGACAAAGTTGTTTGCCCGCTTGGAGTTGGGGCCTGGAACCTCGAACAGCGGCAACTCTTGCCCCACCGTGTAGATGGTTTCGACCTCCCGGATGTAGTAGCTGTAATGGAGTAACGTTGTGTCGCACAATCGATCGTGGCGAGTGGTGCCGTCTCACTTGTTTCACAAACAGTACAGCTCATCGGTGCCCAAACGGTACTCTTCGGTATACGACGGTAAGTTTAAGTCGTCTGTCTGGGATGAGAGGGAAGCCAAGAAGGCAACTATAAGAGAAAACATTCCCATTTTGCAACACCCTGTGCAATTGTGCGGCTAGCCTGGACAACAAACAGAGGAAAGCAGATTGCAAATGCTGAAGGTATCAGAGGTAAAACTGCCATAAACATTAGAGCAAAAACGAGCATGCAAAAACATTCACTTCCTTTTACTAAAACAAAAATAGAGCAAAAAAAAAGAAGGGTCTGTTCTTTTTGCAGCGTTCACTTCTGAATGCCCCAGCCACGTGGAATTTATGCAAACAATAGAGTACAGTATCACACAAAATGCAGGAAGACACGGGTGACAGCTTGCTCATCCATCGTCTGAATGACATTTTGGCTAAACGCCGTTTTAGACGTTACTGGGGGTACAACATTTACTCTCTGAATCCCTATTCAGTCGCCGTTTATAGACAAAAATTAACTTCTAAATCCACTCTCTCGCTCTCACAATACAATAATAAACCTAAAGATTGCCCTCTACCATTATACTACACTGGAATGACAAAAGACAAATGACACTAGAAAGACTAGGGAAAGTGTTTAATTTAGGAAGCAGTTCGTCAGGGAACAAGCGCAGCGTCATTGCTCAGTGGTCCCGCCTTACTTCGGGACTCCTCAAGGTAATCAACGAACCGAACAAAGAGTAATTCCTATAGTAATTTTACGTTAGTTGTACAGTTCTTCCATTTCTCTAGTGCTTTTAGTGAATCTTTTACATTTTTTGGCAAGCAATAGACAATTTCCAAAATTCAGTCTGGACACTTTGATCACTACATCATCTGAGGAATGGCATATGTGTCGTACTAATGGTGTCCTTGTGGTCGCTAATGATGGAAGAAGTGGATGACGCTCTGAGGAGGATGATGCAAGGTCATTCAAAACGTTAGTACTGCGCGAGGCAGGAATAGAATACACGATGAGCGTAAGCATTCATTTCTAACTAGGGTTCAGTCAATCTGTTGGCGGCACATAATCGGCTTTACACAAGTATACAATTTTACCACGGCTTCAACGTGGGTCGGTGCTTCGTTCTTACCGGTTGCATGTCTGTCACCATTAAAACTGAGAGATACAGAAAGAATCGTAAGGTAAAAGCACATATTCTCGGCTGCTGTTGAGTAGTAAAAGTGATGGTGGCCAGCAAAATACTACAGACCGCAGGACGATTCCCTCCATTAGTACGGTAAAAAGGTAAATAAACTGCTAATTGAGACACCAGATGGCACTGAATTTCTAAAAGGGTCTATTGTAAACTTTATTGCCACAATCTTTATGTTCCATTTTTACCTTTTTTGTATATTTAGTACATCTAAATATCCAGATATGTATATTAGAAGGGTTTTTTCTTATGTTTTCCCGCACTGCTTTTACAGTCTACGTTCATTACAACAGACCTGGTTACAACAGACATTTGGATATAACATACCGATTTGTGAAGTTCAATTGGCCTTCCTCTACATACTATTGACTCAACTTCATTTCTGCATACAAGATACTCTTCTTACAACAGACCAAAATCTTGGTCAAAATCAAGGTCTGTTATGACGAGCTTAGACTGAACATTTTTTTGCACATTGCATACTGCCAAACTTAGAAAGGTTGTCATTACGATTATTGCTCACCTCTTTCATATGCGTACATGCTACTGAAGACTACCCCTATCTTTGGTTTAATATCTTTTTTGCCTCTGTGCTTCTTTCAAGACTGATTTCACCTTTAAATACCACGGACCTTTTTAAGACTCCCCCCCCTCCCCCCCAACTTGCTTGTAAAAAAACAACAACAAATAAACGATGGACCAATGGCAAGGGTCGGCGAGTCCCTTACTGCTGCCTGGTCCTGATGACGAGGAAGTCGGTGTCCGGAAGGTTGTGCTCGTAAATGGGTGCCCGGAAGAGGTTGTTCTCAAAGGCCTGCAGGCTCTGCCCCGGCGCCAGGGAGCCAAGGAAGGGAGACGTGTGCGCGTAGGCCGTCTCCCCGTACTTGTACTCGGGCGCACCGCTGTCCTTGCCTGGACGCTGAGAGGCACCCGCAACAAGAGTTGAAGCACGTCTCAACTGCACCCGACGTATAGGGTACCGCGTTTTCGATAAACACCAATAAACCTGGAAAATTAACCCCGAACGGTTTTATCGAATTCCGGGAAAACCAAAAAAAATGTGAGCTAGGCCCAATTTTGCATAAAAAAATCCCAATCTTCATGAGGCAAAAATTCTTATCTAATGTTTTATTTTGCGTTAACCAGTGTGGTATACTGCCAGCTTGCAATCTCCCGTAGACGCTTGCTTGCAGCAGTCGCAAGTGTCACCTTTCTTGCTGGTGACGAAAGATGGGGGAGAGAGGTCGATCTAGCATTGTCACTGTAAACCAAGCAGCCCTAACTCTGACACTAGTGTGTGCATTAAAAAGGTTTCCAAGCCCGGTGAGGTGGCCATGGGTCCGTTGCAACCAACGTCTTACAATCTCCAACACTAGAGGATTGTTGCCAGGGTCTATCTCGTGCCCCCAGTTGCAATAGGAATGGGGGAGGTGTGCCCGTCCTCACCCTCTTGTAGTAGTTCTTGATCTTGGTGGCCATGCCCACTTGCATGATGAGGGGTGGGTGCTCCTCCGAGTACTCCGAGAGAATGATGTCCCCGTCACGGCCCGTGAGGTCCTCTGCTGTCCGCATGAAGAACATCTCTCCGCCGCCGGAAGCTTGCCTCTCTTGCTCCCTCATCTGCAGGAAAACAGGCACTGTTACCCCATCACGCACACTGTGCCGCAGAAAATGAGGGTGGACTCGAGAGAAAAAATGGCCACAACATCGGGGTTTTCTAATGGCATTGCTTTATTCCTGGTATAGGTCGTGTACAGGTTCCGCCCGTTCCAGAAGCCCAAGCCCAGCCGGAATTTTGAGTTGGGTTGATTTCGACAACACCTTCATTCCCTAGACTCACCTCTTAAATTTGCTCCCAACACATAGGTATGTTCACTAAATTCCCTAAAATTGCTCCCTATATTCCCCACTCATGACCCCTAGACTCGCTAGATTTGCTACCTACTCTTTGGACTTACTCCCCACGCTCCCTTCCTAAACATGCTCCTAGCACTCGCTAGACTTTCTCCCTAGTATCCCTGAACTCCCTAGCTTGGTCCATACTCTTTAGAATTGCTCCCTACACTTCTTAGACTTGCTCCATATTCCCTAAACTAGCACCATGCACTCCCTTGACTTTATCTCTACAGTCCCTAGACTTGATCCCTACAGTCTCTAGGTTTGCTCCCTCCTCTGCCCAGACTTGCTTCCTACGCTCCCTAGAAGGCAAAAAAAAAATGGCGAGGGAAGCGGGGTTTCTCCACCCTCCTCACCTTGGCCTTCTTCTTGATGTGCTTGAGCAGGGGAATGACCCCGTGGGGCCCCGGCTGTGCCAGAGCCCCGTGGGAGTAGCGCTTGAGCGTGGGCCGGTGGAAGCTCCTCAGCTTCAGGGGCCCCATGTGGGTAGGAAAGAAGGGGGCCCTGAGCTCAATGGCCGGGATGGAGTGCTGGATCAGGTTGCCTCCCACGTTGGGCTTCAGTGCACTGTCCTGGGTCAGCTTCGGGTTATAGAACTCGTCGTTGGAAATGTTGTACGGGTCCTTCTCCATGTTCTGGGCCGGGGGCTGCAAGACAAACCCGCACCTCTCCAGCTCTCGTCGGCCGGTCAAAAAAAACACTGAGTCACTGGGCTGTGCATGCGTGCAACACGTCCGATATTGCCGCTTGCGTGTCAGATCAGCCAAGATGTTTCTTTTGTAATTCTGCACTCCTGGAAGGTTCCAGCCATTTCTAGGCTGCCATCGAGTGTTCTGGATCGGAAGATTCCCGAATGTTCTGCGTGTGCAAGAGCAGCAGTAACGAGCTGCTGCGAATTAGTCAATCTTCCATCGCCGATGCAAGATGCGTAGTACTTTTTGTTCAAGTTTTTTACTTTCATCCGAACGCTTTTATTCGTGACAATATTTTGCAGAAGAGCGCTACTGTGCCCCCTCAGAAAACATTCCACAGCCCGGTAGACAAAGATCGCAGTGCGCAAAAAGGCTACCATTGGAAGCGCCTATAGACACGCAAGCAAAAACCGCAACCGTAAGAAAAAAGAAAAACAGCCTCCATTCTGTTTCATACGTGGTGCAGACTGCTGTCAGGGCTACTGGCACAAATTCACTGCCTCATCGAGCATCCCATGTGCACAAAGGATGTGCCTCAAAGCATGTGAAAGTGAAACACTATTTAGAGCCACGCACCCACGACAGTAGCCCCGATAACGCTACACAGCCGAGGACCACCTCGGAGTTGTGAGAATTCCACATCGGATGAAGCTACCCGTCAAACCAAGCTTCGCTGCTTGGTCGGTATAGTGGAAGCACACTGAATCTCAAGTACGGCAGACGAGACAAAACGTTCCGCAGAAACTCACCGGACTCGGAGGTTCGGGTTCAGCGATGACCCCTGCCTTGCCGAGAAGAATCCGGGACTTGCGGACCATGTCCTTGCGAATAGAATTAAAGAGCTGCACAGCCGGACTCGTTAGAGCGGGAATTCACAAAATGTTTCTAGACACTTTCTGAAAAAAGTACTACCAGAGACAGCATCCGCAAAAACGTCTAGGGACACCTTTTACGAGGAGTCTTAGCATCCACAAGACTGGTTCGGGACACTTTAAACAAAGAGTACTAGAGGCGACGTTCACATAAATGTTTCGAGACACTTTCTGCAAGGTTTAGAGGAGACCTCTAGACAAATGTTTTGGGGCACTTTCGAAAAGGGGCATTGGAGCAAGCTCTACACAAATGTTTCGGAGCATTCACTTCAAGCAACAAGCAACGGGTTTTACATCGGCACAAAGCGTCACGATTGAGGCAGACCCTGTTCACGAAGTCTGTACTGTTAAACTTAATTTTGCGTATGTAAAATTAAATTTCAGCTTCAAGTGCAGATTTGCTGTTTTTGGAGTCATCAAGAAGAGCAATTACAAAATTGAATAATTTATTTGGCCGACTAATGTGAACAGGTCTGCCAGTAGCGGCAGTTCAGACAAGACTCAATGACGAGTGGGAGGAACTCTAAAAGAAACCTGTTAGAAGCCTAAAAATGGCAGCAAATATTTCACCAAGAGATTAAGGTCCCTGGGAACTTAGAGCTGCTAAGAGACTTAAATCCTTTCGGACTTAGCATCACTAGAAGAACTAGCATTGCTGAGACAGTTGCACAAGGCCGGCATTCTTTAGTACCTTCGAAATTCGGCATTGGTAAAAGACTTAGAATTACTAAGAGACCTAGGTAGTTCTGAAATTCAGCACCGACAAGAAACTTAGTATGCTTCAGACTTAGCATCACTAAAACAATCCCTTAGGCCTTAGAATTGCAAAGGGACAGTTCTCTAGTATCACTATACTCCGTTCACCCTTAAACGGGTACAAAAACGAAATGATGTGAGCCCAAGCTCTCTGCCTCTCGCTTCAAAGTCGGCCAGCGAGAAGTGCAATGCGTATCGTGCTTGTGGTGTCAATAGTTCTTGCACAGTCAAAGGTACTGTAGTTGCGAGCCTTGCTGCTTGGTGGTGTCAACGCGTGACAATTTCGCCTGGTAGCAACATACGAGGGCAAAAGCTCGAGGTCGCGGCTTTGAAGCGTTCTCCCGCAGAACGAGTGCTCGCGCTAGAAATGCATGTCTCAAAGCCAGGAGCACGGGCTAGCTCATGCTTGTAGCTTTGGCTGCAATCTCAGCTTATGGGTGAACGGAGTATAGTAAACGCGTTAGCGTTCTCCGCCAAGTCACATTCAGGACTAAGTACAGTAAATCCACGAGCGAGCCATACTGACGCAAATTGGCGCTGCTTAGGAGCCCATGACGTCGTGGCATTTCAACAGAGCTTTACAGACCGCCACCAGACTTAATTTTTAAAACTGTTCATTTGTTGTAAAATTCATTTTCTTGACTTCTCTACCTGCAGCCCAGAAACATTAGTCTATACATCGTTTCACCTTATGTCCGGACACGGTAGACGCTACGAGCTATCCTAGCCAATCCCGCTCTGTGGAGGTAGCCCGTGATACACTTTCCATGCGTCGCTGTGCCCCCCTCCACGGTGGCATGACACTCACATGACCTTGGATTGGCTCCAATGGCTCATAGCATCCGCTGCGCCCGGACGTAAGGTGAAACGGAGTATAAGCTAGTATTTCTAGGCTGCCAGCACAACATAGACCACATCTAAACAAAAAAATAAGTGCAAAACATTTTTCATATCTCCTTCAGCTGAGACTAGAAGCCCCGCCTTCAGCGCAAGCTTGCTAACACAAGTGTGAATGTGCAGGCACACGAAAACAAAGCAATGTGGAAGCCGGCGAGCTTGTGCTGAAGGCGAAGCTTCTAGTCTCAGCTTTAGGGTGAACTGAGTATAAGAGACTACGTGCCCTCCGGTCCTCATCTCAACAAGAGGCTTAACTCCTTCCGAGCCTAGCATATTGAAGAGTTAGTTCCCTCTAGGCCTTAAAGCTGAACACTCAACAAAAATGTCGACAAGATTTCCGAACGCCGCGATTGGCCAGCACCAAGGTCAAGCGCAGCCTTGGACAATTGCGGCGGTCAGAAATCACAGCGACATTCTTGCCGAATGCCTACTTTAGGTGCCTCTGGACATACCATCACCAAGAAAATTAGTTAGTTACCACGGGTCTTTGCATCACCGAGGGACTTACGATAGTTCCCTCTAGAGCTAGTATCCCCCACAAAAACTTAGTTCCCCCAGAAGTTAACCTCACTAAGAGATTCAATTCAGAAGAAGCCGAGTCCCTTAGTAACCCGTCGGCCACCATTCTTAGGCTTTGAGTAGGTTCGAGCACCCCCCAGCAGACGGAAACACAGCAAGCCAGCGAGCATGCATCCAGACCAGTCGCTCACGTTGCCAGACAGAAAGTAGTGCCCCACAGGAACAAAAGAGGAGCTGGAAGCAGGCACCGTCCAAGACATTGCGGGTGTGCGGGGGGAACAAGCAGCGTAGCTTCGACGCCGGGACGCGGCATAGCGTGCAGACGGTGTCGAGACACCGGGACGAGACTCCGCTACTGACCCGCAGCGCGGGAAAGCGTGCTGGGAGGGGTTACGAGAAAGGGCAACAGGCAAGCGTGCAGGGTGAACACCAAGGAGACAAGGGAGCCGAGACACTGAAACATTTCAAACGACAGCAATTAGGTGCCTCGAACGCGCATCAGAAAAAAGCGGTTCCTCGATTTCTGCCCGACGACGTCATAAAAGTGTCGCGCCGTCGCCGGTCGCGATCACGGCGGCATCACAGAGACGGTGGTGGACGTAGCAGACGCCCGTTTTGCAGCAGGTCGCGCTCCAGCTCAACGACCCACGGCAGCTTCGGCAGCCGGGAGACGGGACGCCGTGACGACAGTGACACGGGCGTTTGCTCTTGCTTTTTGTTGGAACTTCTATGGTCAATTTACGGGATTGCGACGTCCAGCAGCACAACGCTCCGGCTTTTGTGACGTCGTCTGCTTCCACTTCGGGACTGCCTTCGATGCATGGGCAGAATAGGTTGCTAAACACACCGGCTGGAGACGCCTTCCAGGCACTGTGTACAATAGAAAAACTCTCTAGTGAAGCGCCTCATACTAAGGATGAGTTGACCGCGGCACCTGGTCTTCTGTCTCTCCTGGCAGACGTCAGTTAACCGTCGTCAGAAAAGCATTCGGCGATGCGGCACCCGAGTGCCAAAAGAGAACAGGACAGGCGAACCCGGTTATAAGGAAGTCGACGGAAATCGGGTATTTATTTCTTGTATATGTAATTTGGTATATCTGAGATCCACACAAATTCGTGATTTCTTTTGTGCGCACGGCATGCAACGGCTGTGCAACATTTAGCATTGGTTTGTGCAATAGCCACTGCTTTATCGGCACACATTTTCGGTAACATGCCTACAATACGGTGGCGTATCCATTTACTAGAATAACCGATACACGCATGAGTGCCCAAACAATTCGAGGTGCGCTTCTTCCTCGAGTGCCCTTTCACTGCAGAAAAGATTACAGTCAAACCCGTTTATAACGAACAGCAGGAAACGCTACGCTCAGTTCGATATAGCAAGTAGTTCGATATAGCAAAAAACACTTATAACGAACTTCCACGATGCGTTCATTGTAAGGTGAGAGCTCCTCTTTCTTTCTCATCTCTTTGCTTCCACCTTGTAACTTAGTGCTGCAAAGATTTTTTTTTTTTTTTTTTTGCATGCGTGCAAAGTTTGTTATTTTAGCTTATCTCTTCTCCTGAATCGCTTCCCTTCGTGGGCAATTGCTTTGGGATGAAAAGTTTTTTTGTTTTTTTTCTGTGCGTGCATGCAGTGTTTTTTTTGGGGGGGGCTTTCTCTCCTTCTGAATCCCTTCTCTTCACTCGATTTTGCTCGCGGCTTGGACTTTTGAAATTTTTTCTTTCCTACTTTTTCTGGGGGGAAGGGACAGGCTAGAAGACGATTGTTGGCACCTTTTTGGAAGCCTTCCCGGGGGGAAAAAGTTTGATATAGCCAATATGTTGTTCGTTATAAAGAGTACTTTTTACATGCATTTTTATTTCAATATTAGTCGAGTTTGATATTGAGACTAATTCGCTGTATATAGGTTTGTTCTAAACGAGCTTCACTGTAATGTCCTCTGGCTGGCATGGCAAGAGAAGGTGGTCGAACCTTTTCGAGCTCGTTTTGTAACGAAGCGTGAAAAAGATGCACACATAAGGCTGCTGTGTAGGAACCGATTTTTTGCTATTTTCCGGTTCGGTATAAGAACGGTTCTGTGTTTTCAAAATCTACATTTATCTTCTTTTTCTTTTCCTATTTTAAATGTTTCCTTGGGATTTATTCTTTCCCGCAGTTCCAGTGTTTTCCGGGGTCAACTTCCGCTGTCGGACAACAAAGAAATCTGTGTTTGTCGAGACTTTCATACGTCAGACATTATCACCCGTGCTAGTGTCGCAACCACACATGTTCCAACCAGCCAGTAGTTTAGATCGCAGCATTTCAAATTGCATGAAAAAAACTGCCTGTCTCTTGGGCATCTTTCAAAGAAGCTAAAAATGCACAGTACTGAGAGAAACTATGTGACTATGTCACCTCATGTCACGGTGTCACATGCCGTTCTGTCACGTGACCCCATGGCATCATGACGCCACACTATCTGACGTCATGGCGTCGCACTGATGACATCTCGTGACCACTGTAACATCATCCACTTGACAACACCTCCGGACAACACCCCATGGCCTCTCGGGTGTTGGCAGGCACTAAGATAAATAAATCTATCCAACTACCTAGTATCTACAAGCCACAGGCATGAAAGTGCTGTGAACTGCCCTTATAAATGCTACACATTTAAATGAAAGGCGTTTACAATTCTCTGTAATGCCTAATCAGAGCACAGCTCTTGAGGAGGAAAGGACGGTACGGAGGAGTGGGTATGCCCCTCCTCCACCTTCATACCCTCCCCTCCTCCTTTAGCAGAAATTTTCTTGCTAAATTTATTGGGGAAATTTTTACATTAAATTTTGCAGAAACATTTCCCGCTAAATTTAGTGGAAACATTTCCCCGCTAACTTTAGCACGGAAACGTCCCATAATGCAAAGCGTGGTTACGCCGACGCCGACGCTGGCGTCGACGGCGACGCCGCTCAACCCGGAAACAGGCGCCCAAGAGCTGTGCTCTCAAAAGCCAACCATGTAGTCTTCTTCACGTTTAGCGGCCAAGAGGCACCCAAAACATGCCGTGTTCAGAAAAAACACAACAAGTGCTAGGGTGTGGTGCGAGTGCAGACAAGGAAAGCACAGCTTCACCTTCTTCTCCTTGACCGGCTCAGTGTTGGTGAGGGAGTTTGGGTCCGGGTCGTCGGGAACGCCCAGGATGATGTTCTCGTCGTTGGGGTCCAGGGTCAGGATCTGGGGCTCGGGCTTCTTCACCATCGCCTGTTCGTCGATGACAGAGAGCAGTTTCGAACGAATTTGCTTTTGCTGTCGAAACCTACACTACCCATCCCACCATTCACATTGTTCACATTACATGAAGCCAGGCAACGCCATCTCCGGGCCTGGGTCATCCCTCTGCGTTTTTTACGGAAGAAAATTGGACAGAAATTAAAATGTGGACTACAACTTTCACTAATTTCTTTTGAGGGTTGGCCCGTGTCTCGGTATATTTTGGTAACTAGTGATTGTAAACTTTCCAATATTAAATGCAGCATCTAAACAGTCAAGCTGAGAGTCAAACAGTAGCAACATGAGAAAATTTCGGGCACCCGAGTCTCTAGGGAAAGCCACGCCGAATGTCTACAGATTCTACAGCGGGAGAACATTCTGAAGTTTCAAATACCAACAAGAGCATGCGCTTCTACAAGCCTCGAGACAAACAGCAGCAGAACTTGAAAGTCTCAAATCCCCAAGTCCCCGCGGAAGACTATGGGGTAGGCTATGTCTTGGCATGGATCGTGCCCAAGGACGCGCCAGCGCATGAGTACACTCTAAACTTTCATACGCCGATGAGAGCGTCCATGTGTTGAGACGTCAGGTCAAACAGTAGTGGCACTTGAAAACTTCCAGCACCCCAAGCCTCCGCGGGAAAACCACGACTTTCGGAGTGTTCCGAAGGTGGAGTGGCACACTCACCTGAGCATCCCAGATGACTTCGTCCTCCCAGCAGCCGTACACGAGCTCCTCGTTCTCCACGGGAAAGATGGAGTACCAAGTGTCGTCTCTCTCGTCCAACGGCTCCGACTCTGCAAGTGGTTCGGCCAGGCCGGTCGTCAAGAAAATGCATGGAGGTGGAAAGCTTCTGAGGGCAACGTGACGCCACCAGAGGTGAAGCCAGAAGTGGTGAGGGGAACGCTCCCAACATGACCAAAACATGGAAGCTACGCAAGTGGACGAAAAGGAGAGAGCTGACTTGGCGTCTCTCGGTTTTGGTCGTCGTTGGGGGTGTGTCCTTCCACACCTCTGGCTTCAGCTCCGGTGGCGTCGTGTCGCCTCCAGGGTCTTCCTTCCTCCGGGAGAAATGCCAAAGCGCCGGTTCTACGCTCCCCTTTGTTTCGAAGCGCGGAAGGCGTTCCGACGGAAGCCCCTTCTCCCACAAAAGCGTCCAGGCACACCCCCCGTCACGTGACGTCGGGTAACTCGACGCAGAGGTCACATCGCCACGACAATGTAATGTCACGCTACATTTAACATCTCGTACAGCCGCTCTTCAAACACTAGTACTGCATTCCACGCATAATGGTTCCTCGGAGGTAAAGGTCGTTGTCGAGTTTTCTTCGCACTTTCAGTAAAGCTCGGGTATCTCGAGACCGCTACGCTCTCTGTGACCGCACCTCGATCCAAAAGATATTTTGTAAAGTATCCTCCTCCCTTCGATTTTTGTGATCGAGCCATCGCGACATTTGGTACGAATGTCGCAATGCGGCTGGTGACATTAAATTGCAAATTTGAGAACTAGCCTTCGGGTTGATCGCTATGTGCCGCCGCTGGCATCGGCTTTACACGAAGGGGGGGGAAAAAAAGGAAAAACCCAAGACCTTGTTTCTGGCTCAAAACTGTTGCCGTTTCTTCTGCCCCAATTGTGAAATACATAAAAAGAAAGGAATTAAGGATAAAACTGTTTCATAACATATATTATCGCAAAGTTAGAATACAACGTGAAACTTACATTTTCCCCCTCACACTAAATATTGCAACGTGTTGACCATCAGCAAAAGGTACGTGAATAGAAATGTAAAACCAATCGGTTCAAATCATCTATTTTTCCAAAAACAATTGGCGAATTGAATCAGTTGAGCTCGGAAGTTGTTGTAATTGTGTTTGACGCTTTTTTTGCTGCATCGTGAAGTGTATTTTTTTTCTTTAAGTGCCCTTATTTATTGCATTTCTTAGTGCGTGCACAAGCACTTGCCAAGATGTTTTGATATAGTGCTTGTGTATATAATTGACGTATATGTCTTCACCCACTGTAATGCCATCCGGCACTGTGGGTAAGAAAGTAAATAAATAAATAAATGCTCATTCCACGCGCGAGTGACAACGACCCGTTACCGTACCCCACCCCACTCACTTGAGAGGCCAGCCTTGGATCCAGCCTTGGCCAGCATGGCTTGGGACATGCTCTTTTGAGTGGCAGCCAATAGGGTGCCTGCAGAGATGCTCTTGGCTGAGCACCACGCACCAGAAACACAGAGGCCACGTGTAAGCCGTCCATTCGTACGGGCATCAATATCTAGCCGGGGCGAGCCAACAGTAGCCAACCAAAGACGAAAAGTACGAGAACAAAATAAACGAAACTATGTTTAATAAGAAAAAAAGGAAATCTGATGTAAAGTGTTTAGACAGCATAAGGCCAGTCTGCCGCTCAGGTATCGAGACACTGGTTGACGCTGTAGATTAGAAATTTAGCCAGTGCAGTACAACCGCTAGCCTGAGGTCTTTGACATGCACCACGCAGTATTGATACACAACCACACGGAAGTATGATGCTCATCCAGATCGAAACGGGCAGGGGTGGGGATTGAACCCGGGATCCCTGGGTTCTTCAGCGCGAGCTTTCGCTCCACGTGCTCCGAGCTGGTGTGCGCTAGATTACTCGGCCACCGATTCCTCACGTTTAATAATACTCTATTAAACAGTCACTTTTTTTTTATTTGCTTTTTTTCTTTTTTTAAAAGATCTGTGTACAGTGTAGACCGCATATAAAGTATGTCTCGGGAGTCGCAAAAATCCGCACTATAAGCGGTACCGCGCTATAACCAAAACATCAATTTTTCAGGCCAAAATACATGCCATGAGACAACTTACCTTTGTAAAAGAATTTATTTTATGTTAGATGAAAAATAAAGCTTAGTTTGAGGACAGTCTTTATTTCAACAGACTAGTACAGTTCTGTCTCAAGTATGTCACGCATTTTGAAAGAAATGAGCGGCTTTTGCCTGGCGCAGCCTTTTAACGGCGTCGCGGGTTGCGGACGGACATTGCGAGCGTTCAGGATTGCTAACCCTAATCACTTTTCTCCGAAGATGAAAACGCGTGAAAATTTGCATCCTTCATACGGTACGCGCCAGTAATACTTTGAATTTGAGCAGACGCATGAAATGCGCCAAATAAGAAATCCGGGCGATGTTCGAGGACACAAATGCTTAGAAAGCACCACTGTAGTCGAAGTAAGCAAACACGACGACACGGGCGTTTCTGCAGTCTTGAGAGCGCCGCCACGGCATCGCCGCACGAGTAGGTGGATCTTCCCTTCTAGTACGTGCTGGGTTATCATAGCGACACACAACGAAAATTCAGTCGAGGATAGCGCTTTTACGCAGAACGATAAGATGAATGCCGTCTACGACGACGATCACAACCGACGCCATGTTTGCGGATAGAAGCAGCCGGCCCGCGACCGGCATGCAACGCGCGCGAACACTTCTCCTCGACCTGCAATTGGTCTGTCGTTGCGGTTTGTTTCTTTGTTTCCAACGCAGCGGAGGGACGCACGCACGTGAACGACACGTGCGTGCCTCCCTCCGTCGCTACGGCAACTGCAGCCTCTCTCACCGCTTCTCCCCGCGAGTGCCCCTTGCGGCTCGCGCCGTCAGCGCCGTTATCTACTGTCGCACAGGGAAGCATGCTCGCTGCTCCGGTCGTCGGCGCGGTCGGCGGGCTGTGCCAGAAACCGCACTATAACCGGTATTTCCCTTCGCGCGCCTGCATTTTAAGCGGTATGTAATTACATGGAGTTCTATGGGAGGTGAACCGGTGGTTTAAAAAAAACGCGTTATACCCGGTCCTGCACTATAAGCGGTTACGTTGTAAGTGGTCTATACTGTAGTACTAAGGTATCCACTTTCTGTTCATGCTTTTTATGAAGCAGACATGAAAGCCAAGTTCAAAACTGACAGCACAGAAGGAAATATAATGATATAGTCAGTGAACAAATGTACTAAAAAGTGTGCAATCTTTTTGGTGAGAAAACCGGCAACAAATGTTGTCACGACACAGCAAACAAGAAAAGGACCAGGGGCAGATTGATGAGTCCAGCTTGTGTGCGTGGGTGTGTATGGGGGAGGGGGGGGGACAGGCATTTGGCTGGCGGTGGGAATCAGCTGAGAGATGATGTTACGGCTGAAACATTGCCCAGAACTATTTTGTTGACCCAATATTTGCTATGTCACCAAAAACTAAACTTTTAGCTGGTTTATATCAACTTTTCATTAAAAAAAAGTTGACCTTGGGGGGGCTTAGGAGTATGGTCCCTTCTTGCCCCCTTCCCCCTAAACCAACCCATAAACAGGACACAGTGGAAGTTGCAGATACATCAGCATGAAACATTACAAAGAACAAGCTGTTTCCTTCAGTCTCTCACCTGGAATGAAGTGGAAAAAAAAGAGGTGCATTCATCCCTTAGTACTGGAAAAAATACTATACAAAGTTTCCTGGAATGAGCGCCTCGCATTAGGAGCGAGGCAAACAATAAAAAGTTACGCAATCAGGCAGTATACTAAAGTAGAAAAGCCGGTAATATTGACCTTGCTGGCTAAAGGCCGATGCAGTTCGGTTCAGGATCGAGGGAACCCAGCCAGCCGCATTATTCTTGTTGTTCAGCTTTGCCAGGACCTGAACAACGAAAAAAAAAACACCTAATTGAGTTCATGCAACAAAATTATCAAGAGCATATTCAGATTAGAATGTAATTACTGCCATCAAAATTGAGAGAGAGACCATCACAGCGTTGATGTGCACTTGTCAATCGAGATGACAGACACGCGCGCTGTGCGAATTGCTTGTTTTCGGTTTCGTTGCATACCAGTTGTTTAAACCTCGCAGCAATGGCCCTCCAGAAATGGCCGACAGTATTTTCGAGAAAGTAAAGGCAAAACTGTTTGTCTATTTGGTATATATTAAAGGCATTCTAAATGCGTAGCATTTACAGGACCACACTGCGATGTCGTAAGTGTGACGTCATCGTCAAAGTTACATCTCACAGACTCTTAAGCGCCAAGAGCTTGGTTCCATAAATGCTACGCATCTAATTAAAAACGCCCAAGTCCCCGACAAGAGAGCCCCAGTGGCGCCACCGACCTTGTGCTTGATGTCGTCTCCGTTCCAGATGACGTCCTCCTCCCAGGCGAGCTGGGAGACCATGAGGTATGCGTCGTCCGGGAACTCCTCCAGGTCCTTCAGCTGCATCGTGTGTGGGTACTGGTCCCTGTCCTCGCCTTCCTGGGACAGGCGGGCAGGAGAAGAGAGGACGAGCGTAAGGCTTGTCGTCGTTCTCTGCAACCTCCTACGAGGATTCTGGCTAGGGGAGCTCTTTTGGCAGCATCTACGGCTGCGCTATGTCGCCACAGTGCAATGTGCGTGGTGTTGCGACCCCTGAGGCAGGGCCAAGCCAGGACCAGATCCGCAGGACGATTCCCGGCAGAAACATCACGAGACGAGATGGTCTCTTGCGACAAACTCTGATTTAATACATATATGCAAAGTATCTACATCGTCTGAGAGCACACTTGCGACCTCTTGTGCGCTCCTTTTATCGGGTCGCTCTTCGGTGCTCCAGGAGTTGGCAGCCCATGGTGGCCGAGCTGTCAGCAAACGTCATGTCCAGGCCCCGCCCCACTCATCCCCCGAGCACGCACACACGCACACGCACACCCTGCAACGGCGGCCGGGCTTCACCTTCCGGCGCCGAGGTACTCTCTCCCTAAATAAGCCGCGCCAAGGAGGCCACGACAAAGGGTCCACTGTCTGCCCGGGAGACGACGTTGACCGGGACAGGAAAGGGCTTGGCTGGATTATTCGTCAGTAGTGTCGGAGGCTAATCCGAACCGAGCACACCCACAAAGGTCCCGCAGCTGGCGCGCCGTCACCCGGAATCTTTGCCTGGTAATCCCCCCGGTTCCTATGTCAAGTGACCCCGTTTCGGGCCAATGTAATCGCAGCCAGGAGGCCAGGAGAAGGGTCCGGCTCAGCCTCGCACTGAGGTGTGGCAACGTCCACACGGTTCCGGGCAATGTCGCTCTTCAATTAACGGCACAAACTTGCTTGAGAACAAAGGGTAAAGTGCAGGAAGGGTGCTTCCCGTCGCAGACGTAACGGTGGGAAAGGAGCGTGAGGAACTTCGAAGGCCCCATTCTAATATGTTTCGTCTCAACGAAAAGCTACATCTCGCATGCACCAGTGCTGCGGCTTTACTTTGGATACAACATTTATCGCGGAAGCGACGAAGACCAGAGCAAAGATCGAACGTGAGAGCCGGTGTTCGAATGGGACATGTATCCAATCGGCGATGCGCTGACCCAGCACTTGCGTGACACTCTTCCGTCACACAAGTGCATCACACCGAGCGGTTAAGAGCTGGCCATGTGTTAAAAAGCTGCACCCAATAGCTACTTGGGAGTACGACCCATCCCATGAAAGTCTTTAAGACATCCTAAAGAGATGACTGCGAACGGAAGAGAGGGGTCATCCCCTACGCCAGCTCCTGCCTGACGGTCCTTCGGAACAAGCCACGAAACAGAACCGGTGCCAAAACCTTCCTGAGCTCGGATGCCCTCGACGCACACTTGGACAGTCCGACCTGGACGGTACAGCCCGAGTTGCAGAAGTGTCCCCGAGAAGACAAGGCCCACACACGTTGTCGTCGTTAGTGGACTCGCCCCAAGCGGCAAACATGCCAAATCATCCCCAGACGCTGCAAGCTAGGCGGCGCCGCACAGATGCGCTGACGACGACGACGTTTGGGGGAAAAGGTGCGGACCTCGGTCTTCCGGGTGGCATTGGACCACTCACCATGATGCACTTGAAGCCGTAGTCGAAGGTGTCCCCCGTCTCGGGGATGCCGTACATGTCGTACCACAGCTGGGCCGGGCCGTAGCGCCAGTCCGCCACCTGTGGGGACACGTCCGAGCACCGCGACGCCTCGTTCTTGTTCCCCGATGACTGCTCCTCTTGCGGCCGCAACAGCCGCAACTGCGGGGAAATTGCCGCGGGACGTTGCTTGTTTACCGAGAGGGTCGCTTTGTTCGCTGTACTCTGATTTGGTAAGACTTGGTAAGGAAAAAATGCTATGAACCCCCCCCCCCCCCTCCCCCCGTTGGCCAATCGGAGCGATGGAACAGAGCACCCGAAAGATCTCTCTGGAAGGGGGTGCACTTTTATGGTACATCGTCGCGTGCTTCACTGCGATTTTAAGAGCACAATCGATTTGCTTAGAAACGTATAATACGGTTGTTTAGACCGTGGAATCTCCAACCGATTTCCTAAAGGTTTCCAGAGCTTTCAGAGTTGTCCGACCTCTTGGAAGTTTCCCGACCGTCCCCTGTGCAAACACTATTTTGAGATTCGGCCCTATCTTAGGAGATCTCAGGCACCCACTGGTACCTAACCTAGTGCCAAACATTCCCTAGCACGTTCATTACTGTTTGCAAGTTCTGCAGGTTATTGCAGTGATTTATATGCATACCCTTAGAAGCTCCTATGCCAAGAACACGAGCCTACGGCATGCACCCCACTAGCCCTCACACCCCTTCCATATATTTGTAACACCCCCCAGATTGACTATCCTGGATGAACCTATGGGCTCCCGAACTGCTTTAAAGCATCAACGTTGAAACAAGGAGGAGTTCCTCGGATATCGGTTGAAGCAGGCAAGGTTTTCCCGAGACTGAAAAGTTTGAGAACACCTGATTTACACAATATTTTCCCGAACGGGAAACAGCAAACTAATGTAAAACTGAAAACAAATGTTTAACGAGGGCAACTTTCGCCTACGAACTAAAACAGAAGGTAAAAAGCAGCCCGAGTTGGCCACGGAAGGGCGACCGTCTAGAAGATGCGCGTTATCACTCCTTTCACACCTACGCAGGGCACGTTCCAGAATGTTCCGAACCAGAACGTTCAATGACAGCCGAGAATGGGCCAGAACCTTCCGAAAGAGTACAGAAGTGCCAATAAAAGGTCCAGGCCAAAGGGGGTTGTGACAGGGTTCGAACCCCGTTCCGGTATGAGGAATCTCTCAAGGAGGACAACGACACACGTACCTCGTCGTCTGGTTCGCACAGCTCCGGGGGCGGGGGCGAGGCCAGGTCCAGCCGCCACGGGTCGGCACCCTTGGCCGTTCCGTCCTGGGACGTACCGTCCACGTCCGAGGGCACCTGCTGCTTCTTCTTCTTGCGCTTACGCACCCCGCGCCAGATCTGGGGTAGGCTCGAAGGCTTCCCGGGGCCAAACAGCCTCGAGAAACGCAGAACCTGGGCACACGACGAGCAACCAAAGGCGTGAGATTTGGTCGTGCCGGCTCCTATCGCAGATCTAGAATAACTAATTAACCCTCGGACGGTCGTGCGGCAGAGACTACACGTCCGGAAGTGCCCGCCTAAATGCGAAACCGCACGCGCCACGGGAGGTCGTGCTATTCGTTACGCCCTTGACAAACTATGAACATAAAATTCGTGCAATGTTTCGCTTGGTTGTGGCTATTTATAGCTTCGAAAATAGGTGCTCCACGCACGTGAAACTCGCGAGATGGTCACGTCGTACGTCGGCTGCATTGGCGGTAGTTTCAATTGAGGCGCCGGTTCTTCCGGTCCAGGCTGTTAACGCTTCTCAAAATTGAATTCAGAGGATTAGAGCTTACCGTCTGACGGAAGAGCTCCGTAAAGTATTTCCGGTTCGGAACTTGAAACCGCAAGAATGTCGTGGAAGCGGACGCGCCCAAGAGGAACCAAATGGAAGAAAGGTCAAAACTTTTCGCCTTCTATACGTCCATTTGATGCTTTCAAACCTGAACAGCTTGCAAGCATTGTACGTGCTTTGGCTAGATGCTGAAAACAAAAAACTGTGCATTGACCATTTCTTTATACCATTTCTTTGCAAAAAAAAAGTGTGACCATTGAGAGAAACATATTTTGGGAAAATGACTCAACCATCAAACGGTCAAAAAAAATCCGAACAGATACCGACGCCCCAAAAGAACATTTAAAGGGGCGATGCAATGATTTTTGTATTTTGCGCAAATACCGCTTAGAACGAATCCCTGACATTAATGACCTGTGAAATACCTGTTCGTTTTTCACCACACGCAATTGAAGTCACAGAAAAAAATAAAGAAAAACGAGCAGAGTTCACCCCCTCCACTCGCAGTCAGAAGAAGCGCCCACGTGATCTGGAGCCTATTATATGCTGCCAATGTTGATCATAGCCATGCACTCGGGTTGGCAAAGCACAGGACACGCGCTGAGTTCCAGACATCGTTATGGTTCGACTGTTGTCGTCATTGCAGCAATTGGACACAGGACACTACCCGAATTCTTCTCGAGCAATAGATTATCACGAGCCCAAATCGAGGGCCCATGCAATGCTGAAGTCCAATCTATGAGCCGCATTCAAATATTGTCACTGGCTGTACTGCTACCGCCTAGCTACGTCATCAAGTTTTGCGAAGGAGAGATTGAATGAAAACGCTAGGTTTCGTCCTAGAAATCACAGCGCAACAAAGGAGTTTCTTGGTCAGTGGCATTGCGTGCGAGTATCCTTGAGTCCCACTAGTGCCAGAAAGCTTGTATAAAGTGAAAAACATTCCAATTGAATATCGTTGCACCGCCCCTTTAATTCTATCATTTGACACATAATGTTCCAGGGTGTCTAGCAAAGTATTATTTTGAAATTCCCTGACATTTCCAGGTTTTCCCTGACAATTTCCTGTGAAATTCCCTGTCCACTGTAGAAACGGTTAAATATGTAAGACCATTAGAACACAAGGCATTGACCACTGTGAGGATCATTTTGGACGGGCTTAATCCAACTTGCATATTCCGAAATATTCGGGATTGTCCAGTCCGGATTAAACAAGCAATTTCTTGCCGCCAACATTGTCAGTGAAGAAGCCACTTCTGGAAACATAATGAAAACACAACACATGTCAATAACCGAATGGCAGCATGGCTACCAGACGCATACTTTTGAATACTTTCGTCTTAAGACTTGGATTAAGGTGTGCAGCCTTTCCCATTTGTTACTTAAGGGGGAACACTGGTCTTGGAGCTTTTTTTTCTTATTATATGAATAAACCCAATAGGCCCGTAGCTCTCAAGTTTTGGGCAGCGCTCCAGGCGAGCAAAATAGAATATTTGGCTCGCGTTTCGAACGTGCGTCATCACGCTTCCCCACTACAGTTTTCTATACTCCGTTCCATTCTAAGTGCTAGCATAGCAGAGGTACAAGAGCGAGCTCAGAGCTCGCAGTGTCCCTTCCAAGCACGCGCGCTCGTGCAGTGCGAGCATCGTTCAGGGGAACATGTTTTTGCAAGTATAGCTTCAGCTTCGCTATCATGTAAAGTGAAACATACGGGCTCTCGGAAGCTATGAAAGAACGCAATAAAATAATAAAGCTGATTGGGACGCTGAGGCCGCGAGCTGCATAATTCTTTTTTCTATTTTAGTTTTTCTTTTTTTTAGACGTTTTGTTATCGCGCGTCTGCAGATGCTGACAGATGCTTGCATTCGAACGTGGCACGTGCAAAATCGAACGTTACAGCGCCGCCTGGATAGCGCTGCCAGCATAACATGGTCGCGTCTTGCGGACGCGCTCGCGCCCCCTGCCCGAGAGTAACGGGTCTATAAACCGCACAGGCTTGTTCAGCTTTTTGTGCTGATTTCACATATCTGGTCATTTTCTCAGTCAGTAGAATTGTCCTCAAGATAATTAAAACTTGATGGCTTTGCTTGTAGGAACAATAACAAAAATACTGTTCAACAAAATATCATTTTTAACTCATGGCTAAATATTACAACGTGCAGCAATGCAATGTTGGAACTACTTTTAAGATAAGCTTATTATTAATGATTGCACCACACATTGAAGTTCAGTGCTCAATGCATGGCTAACAAGTAGTAAAACAAAAGATCAAATACAGAATTGTCTAGACTTATATTAAAAAATCTGCTCTCAACATTGTATGCTTCACACATTTAGCTAAACATTTCAGGAAAGGTTATAGTATTTCTATTTGCTCGAGATGAAGAGATTTCCCTCCTGCAAATTTTTAACGAGTCCAAAAATTGTGTTTTGTGAAAACAATGTTTTAGAGTCAACTTCAAAGCACATTCAGCCCGCATAGACATTATAAATTGATTTATAGCACAGATATTGATCCACAAAATTAGAGGCCTGGTGGATTCAGAAAACAGCAGCCATCGCCATATTCAAAAGAATGCAGTTTTAGGAAGTTTTTGGCTCCAAAGACCCATGTCCCCCCTTAATCAAGTAGCTCTAACTGGATCTAGCCTAGTGTCGCGCCTTCAATCCAATCCAAGGGTTGGAGATGATTGTGCCGAGATACAACCCAACATTGCTTTCACTCCACAGTTGCACATTTGCCGAGAAAAAAACGTTGAAAGGAAAAAGTTTCTTCTACAAAAGCTGTTTTCCGCTGATTAAACTGAGACAAACCTCGCCCCCTTGCTCGGCCCTTGGATGTAGCAGAACAAACACACCTAGCTTTTCTGTCCCTAGCCAAACACCGCTCTCTCTTCTCTGGCATCTTGTTAGAACGACAAACATGCTGAGCCCCAGCGGAAGCCAGCTGAGCCAGTGGCAGATCCAAGGGGGGGCAAAGGGGTTGGCCGCCCCCCCCCCCCCCCCCCCCCCACAAACCAAGTCGACCCCCCCCCCCCGCCCCTTTCTGGCAGGGCAATTTGACATGGGTGGACCCCCCGGTGCACACGAAAAAATGGGTGAATAGCATCCTTACAAATTTTCCACCCCCCCCAAAACGGAGTTCTGGATCCGCCCCCGAGCTGAGCGTGCCAACAGTCACCTGCTACTACAGGCTCCTGTAAGTTCTACTTGGTCCGACTGTTTACACAACCTTTCACCTCCAACTCGTGGGGCTGAGCAAGGGTGTCGGGCTGCAGATCACACAGTTGCAGGGTCAATTTCTGCTGCACACTTCATCTCGTAAATCTCGCTAATTATTATTACGACTAATTATGATTACATATCCCCGCTACTTGCTTTCAATGCCCATCAATCGCATACTACGGGTTATGTGCACTCTACATTGTCTTTGCCCGCATGCTTCTCAGTAAGACGATATTGTTTCCTTTCTTGCTTGCAAGTTTTTTCACTGAAATAAATGCTACAGGCGCCCATAATCTCAAATTTTAGTTGGATGAATGTCAGGCTTAGCTAGACGTCTGTTCATAAAAAATTTTCTTTTCTTTCTTTTGTGTCTTTATATAAAGGAAAGGTGATGTGCTCAAACTTTCGCATTTCATCAGCACCACTAGCGTCACATTCTTCCGGAGTTTAGGCTTCTTGCAATAAATAGGTTCTCCATGTGGGCCGAAAGGCCGGGTTTAATTTTCTCAATCCATCCCCGTACACGTTCAGCATGACGAATATGTTTCTCGGTGTCCAACTCACCTGTCCCGGTCGAAACTCGGGGAAGAGTTCAGTGACATCCAGGTCGGCGTACTTGGAGGGCAGCATGGCCGCCAGTGGGGTGTCCAGGTTGCGCTTGTTACCGGACTGCGCAGAGCCGTCCCCCTCCCCTTCCCCCTCCTCCGAGGGGAGGGAGGGAGGGGGAGGGGAGGAGGGAGGGGCCGGGGAGGTGGAGGGGTCCTCGGCCGGAGGCACAGGGGGCGGCGGCATCAGTGCAGAATCCTCCGGCTTCGGCTCCGAGCCCGCCTCTGGCTTCGACTCTTCCCCCTCCGCTTCGGCGCGCTCTGCGGGGGGTCGGTGACGACGACCGGAAATCAAGATCCGTCGTCTCTTTGAGCCGCGGTGGCACTGCCCGTACGTTGTACAAAAGGCGTGGTTTCACTGCAGACATGGTGATAGAATTATCTCTGTCATCAGCTTCAACATGTCTGCAGCAATCTTTTGTAGGATCAACGTGACAGGCCCGTTACACAAGGAAGAAACGCCTTGGACAGCATCCACAGACCATCTTCCGTACGATCTGTCAAGCAGTGCGACCGCGGCTTGGGGGTGGGGGCCGTGCAAACCATTGGAATGCCGGGGTGGATTGTTTCTCACCTTACACACGCACGGGGGTACTACAATCAGATACGAGCAAAGAATCCGGCAAGAGCTCTGCCTCCAGCATGCATTTTCTCGATAAACATAACAGAAGTCCGGGACCGACACCGTGCATTTACTTCTCTGCAAATACCGATGAAAAAAGCTGACGGGTACTCCTGACGAGATACGGCGCCCGTGATGGGTCTCCAACCGGAATGTTTACCGCGTCCACTTTTGTGGACGTGGTCTGTGTATGTGCGGAGTGGGACGCCAATCACGCTGGTCGGAGACCCGTTCCGAGCTCCCTACCTCGGAGATCAACACCAGCGAGTCGCCTCCAGAAACTGTGCAAATGTGCAGGAAGTGCCGATAAGGTGCCGGAGAGGTGCTCTCTGTGCTTTGATCGGAGAAACGACGATACCTTGGCTAAGGTAAGTGTAAAATGTCTCGTGGAACGGGTCGCCAAAAGAGTGGTCCCTTTCTTCAAACGCATGCCCTAGAAAAACGCAGTGAACTCTTTAGTTCGGCGCCTGCGGCAACAAACCCTTAAACAATCGTCGCAAATGAACCTGCCTGCAGCTCTGGTAATATCCGACCTGCCATTACGCCGTCTTTGTTCGCAAAGCTGCACTAGCACGTGAGAGGCTTAGCTTCAAGAAGCGGACAAAAGATAAAACACAAGGGAAGTCCAATGATAAGAAGGGTTTTTGTTTCTTCATATTCACTTAGCCCTCATCTAACGAGATTTTGAAGTTGACTGTTTATCAGTATCCACTTAGCCCACGCTTGCTCCTGACACACGAAAGCATCGAGAAACACCACGTCCCAAACAACAAAGCACGAAAAGGGGCAGAAGAGTGATTGTATATGACGTAAGAAACTTTGAGTGAACTTTGCTGGTTCCATGCCCTGCAGAAGAAAGCGTTACCATAACCAGCATCTATATCAATGTCAACTCTGCGGTAGAGTAGCTATAAGATAGCGTGAATAAATTTACGGTGATAAACCCAAATTGCTCTTCAATGTACATCTATTGGTGCGTCTTAAGAAATACCGAAACCTGACGGCTCAAGCAGTAAGAGATGACTGACCAGCATAAGTAGCTTAGAATGGTGCTAGTTTTGTTGGTTCCAATGCTATCTCTACCTCATAATTTGTTCGTTGTAGCACTTTAAGCCACAACAAACAAATATCTGCACGCTCTGTGGGAAAGTGGTTGCACAAGCCTCATTCACAAATTCACAAACGGTGCACCTTAATTAAACATGGTAAACTAATGAAGCACATAACACTAATGAAGTGATCATCAAAAAAGGACGTCATAACACCAAAACGTAAGAATAGACCGAAATCACTTGCCAAGGTCGGGGACTGGAGCCGCCTCTTCTTTTCCTTCGTCGGAGTCATCGGCCAGTTCTTCAAAATCGAAGTAGTCGACGGAGGATGGGAGTTTCCGCGAGTATTCTGCGGAAGGTGTTTACATTTCGTATGACATCTTTGCCGCAGAATTCTATTATGGTAAAACTCAATTCCAAGACAGTTTTTTTCCTCATACTTTTTTTTAATTCCTTCAGCGAAGTTTGCATGTTTTGCAGGTATAGTTACGTTTCTCAAACACAATTGCAAGTAAGCAATTAGATATCAAAAACATACATAGTCATACAAAAGGCGAGGCTAAACATAAAACTTGAGTCGTATCGATTCGACTCACTGAGATGCAGTGATCACTGGAACTTCGTTTGACATACCAAAAAAAACTTCCAAAAAGATAAAAGAATTGGGAGCTACCTACCTTGCTCACGACAAGCTATACTCGGATTATTTCTCCACAAACAAGAGTCCTACAACCGGCCATTTCCGCTATCGTAACGTCGTCGATCGTTTTGTCGTTATGAACTGCCTAATGCACGCCGCAAACGAGCACTTGACACCCTCAAATGTGCAATGCACAGAAGCGTTAAGCTTCGTCCCACTGACATCTAGCAACGGCGGAACGGCATACGAAAACATTCAATAATGCTCTGGCAGTGCTGGAAAAAAAAAAAAGTGAATGAAATTAACTAGATTTGGAATGACCTTGAAACCCCCCATAGCCAGCCACCGCATACCTTCATCACTCTGCGAGGACTCGTCTTGGCCCCCGCCGGCACTGTCGCCATCTTGAGAGTCTGCTTCGGCGTCGCCAGTGATCTCTTCCCACATGCGTCCGATGCCCAGGTGATTGAGCTGGTGAAGGTTGCGCTTGGATTCCTGCAGCGGTCGACACCTTTAGGCCATAGGAGCCACAAGTCCAACGATTCCTAATGCTCGCAAAGCTTCGGAGATCGCTACGGTGTTTGCAATGCGTAAGTGCAAAGAGTGACTGGCCTTGTGGAAGGAGCTTGCCTTGCTATTCTTAACCTGCAAGGGACTACAGTAGCTACGGCCCTTTCTTCTTTTTCCCACTTCGCTACTTCCGAGGCCGACGGCCTCTCCCTGAATAACGCGTGGTGAGCCATGACTAGGCAGTCTATGCGCTGCCAAAAGACGGTAACCCTTTCATCCTTTGTTTCGTCATAGAGCAAAGCCGTCGTGTCGGGGGGAAAAGCGAGGAGTTGAGGCAAAAAAATGAATGCAAACCTCGTAAGTATGCTTTGAACAAACACCGACACGCGTAAACAAAACCGTGTTCCTGCTTCAAAGTTGAACGAAGACGAAGTATGTGTTCTCTGCACTAGCACGGTCCTTAGATTATCGAGGCCGGAATCTTTTCATCGCGCTGTGGGAAAGTTTTCTATAAGGATAAAATAACAAAAGCTCACTGCCAACGTTAGGAGTCAACCAACCGGATCGCCGGAGAACCCAACGGATGGACGTGGGTGTCGAAGAAGTCACCGTACAAAAATTCGCTGGATTTCTACACGGCGATTTTATAAAACTTGAGGGACCCGTTGAAAAGACAAACAATTGTAAACGCCATATATAATTCAGACTCGGGGATCATATTATTTCAAAATTATTTTAAAAGTTTTTTTTTTTATTTCTAATTTTATTTTTACTTTTTATTTTTAATTCTTACATGGAATAGTGTTACATGCCATGACCAAATTGACTAGGGCAGAGACTGCCAAAGTTTCCAGACATGTAAGCAGTTCATTTGAGGACTGCAACACTAATTAGCTAAAGCGAAAAAAATATATATATATACTTCATAGTTTTGCCTTACCGGATCAAGAAAGTCATTTTCAAGCCGGCCATGCTTGTCGATGTTCCCGAACAGGAACCCAGTGAGGACCAGGTCTGGCTCCCCATCTTCGTCGCTGTCCATGGCCTTCAGCTGTTTGTGCAAGTTCACGTTATGAGTACGGGTTCCGTGTTTCCAGGGTTTGTTTTCCTTCGGAATCAGGGGTGTTTTTTCGGGGTTTATTTTTTCCCATTGGCTGTGTTTCTCAAAATCAATTGTTGGTGTCAATTAAAAAAAAAATTGGGGTTTGCCGAGGCTCACATTGAAGAAATAGGACACGGACATGGGGTTTCTCAACCTCAAGGAAACATGAGTCAAATACTTGGAAAACGTTGCCGTACGAATAAGGAAAGGAAACAAGGTCAGGGGTGCAGTTCCATAAAAAAAAAAGTAGTCTTGCAGAAAGTTCAGAGTGAGGTATGTCCGATATAGTCATGAACCAATATGGTCATGAACCAATATAATACAGTCGCGAACCAACTCGCCTGCATCGCCACCTTAATAGAGTTCTTCCTGCGAAACTTTGGTTTTTCTTAAGGCCCGTTCACACACTCGCAACTCCTTAGAACCGTGCGCCTTAAAGGGACACTGACACTCCCGAAATATTTTTTTTTTATGCGATCTATTATGGTGTGAGAAGACTACCCAATCAACATTTGGCTACACAGGCATATATATTTTTAATAAAGTAAAAAAAATACGCAACTGCTCGAAACCGAAACTCGACTGGGGAGAAAGAAGTAATATAGAGGAGAAAGACATCAAAAAGCACTTGGCTGTGCAACTTTTTTTTTTCTCATATCAACATATTTTTAGCTTTTTAGAAACCACAAAAAGTGGGTACCATATTTCTTGTCCATTTCTATACTCTGTTTCACCTTATGACGTACCGCAGGAAAGGCTAAGCGCGAGCTCCTTGCTCTAGGGCACTTCTCGGCGGCACAAGCTCTCGTGCGTTAAGAGGAGCTCCCAACGCTACGAGCTCACGCTTCCAGCCTTGTCTGCAGTACCACATAAGGTGAAACGGAGTATAGTATTGAGTATGCACCTTCGATCACCCATGACTTTGATTATCTTTGGTGGCTTTGTCTAAACCATAGAAAACAGCCTTGTGACCACGGAGAAGAGAGTGAACGCGACTCAAACCGGCCAGTTCTCGATCGGCGGTTTTCGGGAAAGAAGAAAAACAAATTTCGAGCTACAAATTGTGTTCTGGGTAGTTGGGCTCCCATATGTTATGTACAAACAAAAACCTTGGCGAGCATAAATACCCTGTCAGTGTCCCTTTAAGGGGGGGGGTGCAATGATTTCCGGACTTCGGTCAAAAATTTGTGGGAGTTGCCCTCTGACACTTCAGAATTAAAAGAACAGGAAACCAATTTCGAATATGTGTCCTAGTTGTTGTGTAAAAAAAAAGATAAATATTGGCATTTCTGGCACGCTTCAACTCACTCCCAGTCTTCAGGGTCACACCTGGTCGCACTCCTAGTAACGTAATTCAGGGTGCCGTGTAGGTTCTTGAGTGCACTCTCAGAGGACGCTCCCTCTCCCTCTCTGCTGACATTAGCGGGCGTTATGCTGCAGCTTAAAGCCGAGTGAGGTCACGTAAGCTTCTCGCCGCAGTTCCTTCGGCTGCCACTCGCGGCTGCAGGTGGGGGAAAAAGATAGACTTTTGCTTTGCGATTATGCAGTGGAATCGCAACATTTTTAATGAAGATGTTTTCTCTATCCTCCGGGACATGATAAACAACGTAAAAATGACAAGATGCGAATTTTTTTAATCTTAAAATCGTTGCACCCCACCTTTAAGGCCTTTTAAAATATTTTCAGCGACAGAAGACACTGGCCCGCTGGCGCCATCGATGTGGTGACACTGAAACTGCATTTCACTAAAAAAAAGGTTTGGTGGTATTTGCGAGGTCGAATGTACTTATGAGGAATGTTTGTTCATAACATTGACAAAAGTTTTTTCATGCCAAGAAAGAATGATGCGTGAAAGAAATAGAAAATATACAGGACCGCCAAGTGTTCCACTGCTACCCGATAGGTGGTGCCAGTGTGTCCTCTCGTCGTAAGTGATTTTAAGGAGTTTCAAGGCACTCGATCCTAAGAAGTCGCAAGTGTGTAAATGGGCCTTAAGAAAAAACCAAAGTTTCACAGGAAGAACTACAATAAGGTTCAAGAACAGCTACGAGGTTTATTGGTTTTTCCAGATTTTTATAAAGCTGGCTCGGGGGTTCATTCTAGGGGTTACCGGTATATTTACCGAAAGCAAAAAACCTTATAAGCCTTCAAGCTAAAAACATGGCTTGCACGTGCCATTATTCTGCAATGCTGGTGGTTATTTCAGACGAAAAGGCAAACAGCGCGCAGAAAACGGGGACTAGAGGAAGTGCAGACTATTTCAGCCTATTGACTCACTTCGATGGGCCACCTCTACAATGTTACAAGATTAGGGTATTGAAATTAATTTTCTGTTTGCACCCTGATATGAAAATTTGTAGATGCCGAGCTTACAGCTTTCAGCAAGCGCATTGGTTTGATATCTGGTAATGTTGAACACACCAGTCATCCGATCCTCACTACAGCCCAAAATATTTCCCCTATAATTACTGGACTGTGATATAAACGAGGCAGTATCTCTAGTTCCCTTATATTGTCTGCAACAAAACATCCTCGTCTAAAGATGTTGCTGAAGAGATACTCCTAGCTCGGGCTAGCTACTGAATAAGAGACCCTGGGTTAGGAACGTTCGCTGCCAGAAGACCATCTGAATCTTCCACACCGCAAAATTAACAACCATGCTCATAACTTGACACTCTGCACCACTTTTTGTTCTTCACTCTGAAATCAATAATTAGTGGTCACCGTCAAACTTGGCAAGTTGGTCACCAACGCCGAAAATGCACATGAGAACGCGTTAAGAGTCGCAACCAATAAAAACTTGCAGTTGTACGTAATCAGAGCAACTTTGTGATCACAGTTTCATTACAACACAAAAGATCCTGAACGAATCACAGTGCATAAATGCACAACGAAATCGATCAAAGTCGTGCCTCCAAAACGAACGTTTAGCAGTATCCAAGAGTTTCCACAATGGTTAATAGACAAACACAGTTGTAATGTGAGTGCCGCTGTCATACTGGAGTTCATAAGGATGCAATCATTCTTGCATTCTGAAAGTAGGTAGCTGAATCTAACAGCGCGCACGACATCTTCACTTGAAGGATGACCGGAATCGCACAGAGGTGCAAGATATTCCGTTAAATAGCGCAACAAACAATGGCTGAATGTAAAAAAATGGCAAGTGATAATAAATCGGCTACAGTTACCTGAATTCCATGACGATCAGCTTTAATTAACACAGCATTTTAAGCGCAATTTAAGCGCACATCAGAGCGCCTACAGATATGCCGCCACAACATAAACATTTAGGCTTAGTGGGTACCCAATGTAGCTAGTGGATGTTAGCTTGGTGCGGCAAAAGGGCGACGGCGTGTGCTTTTTGTTTTGATATAAAAGAATTAAAGTGTTGTTGCGCTATCTCGGGGCAAGATTAGAAAGCCATACTAGGCCACCCGTCATGTTATTGGATGCATTTGGGTTGTTGTCAACAGATGGCGCGTTCGTACGCGCGGCCAACTTCTGCAGACGCTCGCGCATAGAGTTATTATAATGTACGCTAGAGGTTCAAGTGGCGCTAGTGTGCTGACGCAAATTGAAGCAGACAGCAACCAGTCGAAAATTGACTTCCGGTAATACATTTCTATGGGAAAAAGTGAGTGCATTTTCTCTCTGCGCTCGATCATAAGCGCAAATATCCCGAATAATTCATACGTAATAGGTAGTTTAGAACATTTCTCAGTCATGCCGACGAAATAATTGGTCAGTTACGGTGTTTTTCTTTCAAATTCATCGCATTAAAAACGGTGCTAAAACAGCTTCGTACGTGTATTTATGTGCACTGTCGGACACTGTTAGCGCGAACACGACGTCGGCGCTTTTCAGCCTGGGGGACATACGTGCCAAACGAACGAAGAACATCTGGAAATTAAGAAAGACGGCAAGAACTACGCAGTAACACCGGATCAGTAACATACACGTGCATATACGATCAAAATTGATTGAAGGCCACGTAATCTATTCCTATTTTAAATAAGTAAGTACCGTTTTATTCTTCCTGCTCTGAGCGAAGCTGCTTGTTCTACGTTCAAAATATCACTCGCACGCTCGAAATCTTTGAGAACAAGTGCCAGATAAAAGCTGCCCGGCAGAAAAAACAATACGAAGACACCTTTCATAGCAAACGGACTTTATTCTCTACGTTTTGAATGTTTTTATCTGCTCATGCACGACGGGGTCATTTTTATATAGTGACAGGACTGGCATATTAGCAATATATAAGCGTCACCGGATTGCTGGCGAGCCTTGAACACACTCTACATTCCTTTCGATTGTAATTTTGCTTCGAATCGTCGCTTGTTTTTACACACCTGCTGCGGAACACACGTTTGGGACTGAAATGTAGCGAAGTTAAACATCGTTCACTGAAGAAAAATGCGCTAACTAAAGCAATTACACTTTTACAGTGTTAATCAAGGTACATACTATTCGGTACGACCCAAATAACCAAAGTGTTCCGTGTTATTTTCCGGCGAAGAGACAAAATGCACGCGCGCTTTCCCATAGGAATACACAGGAAGACTGGAAAAGTAGACTGGTTGCTGTCTGCTTCAATTTGCGTCACGGAAGTCGCATAGACACTAGCGCCAGTTGAACCTCTAGCGTACATTATAATAACTCTATGCGCTCGCGCACAAGTGCACTCAGAGTACACGGTGACACGGCCTTGTGGGCTTCAGTCGCTCATTCTTCAGCGCAATAAAAACGGACGTTTCGTGTGTTTTGTCCCCGTTTACAACACCGACTGCACAACTGGATGACACCTGAGTTGCTTAAAAGCTTCGTGAGTCCTCTCATTACGTTTTTAAAAGGTCATTTACAATCAAGAACGGGGTAATAGAAGACGAATCAAGAATCGGTTTCATTTGTTAATTTCTTTTAACAAATCGTTCATCTGCCATCAGGTGTAAGGTCATTTCTGAACCGTTCAACTGAGGTTGATTTTAACTAGTGCCACTGAATAAGCTACGCTTCAGAGTAACGACACTTGGCCTTATTGTGGCTTAAAATCATGGTTGCCAGTTATCTGAAGCTTTATCTGAAATCACAGGAAACGCTCTTCCGTCCTCCACAAATGTTTAAACAGTCCCCGACAGAGAAAAGCAATATTACATGAGCTTCCTAACACCGAATCGAATGCTGAGGAAGTCGCACTTTTGAATCATGACGATCTGCAGTTGCGTCTGCTCTGCACAAGCCCCAATATGGCGGCGCCCACATTAATGTCGGGGAACGGAGTGCCGGTACTCTAAGCGCAGCTCATTTAGTGGCTCTAATTTTAACCAGTTGGACCAGTTGCCGGAACAAGAGCGCCACCGGCGCCACTTTTCACCAATTGTCACTGCCGATCATAGGTGGCGCTAGGCATTCTAGTTCCTTTATTTCGCTGATCGCTGCAGCGCGAGCAGGCGCGACAGCCACCGAACGGCCTGGTAAATTTTTTCGCTTTGCTAGCGTTTTGCTGCGGTTTTCCAGCGTGCTGTATACACGCTTTCTACTCGTTCGTCGTCACTCGGCGAAGACGTTCTTTAAGATCCTAGATGATGCGTGATACTTGCCGTTAAAAACACGTAAAATTTTTTACGAGAGCGCAGTGCCGCAGGAAAAAGGCACAACTCGTCGAAAGCAAGTTTCGCCGATCTGGCGGCGTGTTTCTCGGCACGCCGAAGTGCTGTGTCTCTGGCCAAAAATCGTCGCCGTGTGAATGTGTTTTGCGAGTGCAATGTGTATGAAGCCGTATGTATCTCTGGATCAGTGTCTTACTTTACTCTTGTGGCACTCGCGGTCCAAAGTCCATTAGCGACGGAAGAGGGGAGGAAGCTACGTCTTTTTTTCGTCTTTAGGCTATTTACAGAATACTGCACAAAACAGCTCATCATCACTGATCAGTACTGGCTCATTATCAACCTACTTAATTGCACTTGACGTTTGAGCGCGGCTCGCCTGATTGTGATTGGTCAACAGATTGCACACGAACATATGGGCCGCGCTTCAAAGATTTTCATTCTCGCGGTTTTGTAGTTTTGCCTTCGAAAACCCTCCTTGCTCCACAGCTTTGCTCTGTTTGCTCCCATGCGATCCATTAGAGTCGATTTGGAACATAACCATGGTTAATAGTACATAACCCTAGCGAAAATTCCCATAGAGAAAACCGATAGCCTATCGGTTTATTGACACCAATAGGTGTATCGGCCTATAGGTGTATTGGCCTAATGGTGTATCGGCCTATTGGCATATTGGCATATAGGCCATCTGCATGAGCACACAGGGCATGGTGGTGCCTTTATACACTTTATTATGCAAAAAAGGGTCTTGGGGTACACTTGCTCCTGTTATGACGGCATCTGGATGCTGAACACTGTCACAAACTGAGTCTTGAATGTGCCAGAGCATAATGACACACTTCCTGCTTGAAGTCCTGAAATAAACAGCAGAACAAACAAAAAGAGTTAATCGGCGGCATGGCTAAAGTGGAGGATGATGTCACCACAGCAAGTGATTATATAAAGCTAAAGCCATTAGATAGATGACTGGAGCAAGCTGGAAATTTCGGACTGAAGAAAATAAGATTAAGAGCCTGGATTTCCTTCGTTTTCTGTCTTCATCATGAGCATAACTGCCTTTAATACTTCTCAAGCGCCAGCCTTCTGAAGAACCTTGAAATTAAATAATGTCAAATTGATATAAGCTTTATGTTTGTGGGATTCCTAACAATCCTCATTTAGTTCGGTCAACAAATACATAGTGGGTATGTAAACCCAGATCAATTCGGGAAGGTCAGGGGATTGAAGTTTGCCTGGTTTGCCTTAACAGTACCATCCAGTCTACTTCCATAACTTCAAAACTAGTCGCATGCTGTCACGCGTTTCAAAAAATGGTTATCCTTTTGAACCATTTTGACTCAAAGGTATAGTGGCTCTGCATGAACCGAATACTATGGAAGTGTAACTTCTCAAATTAAATTAAGTATGATCAATGTAATCAATTTATAGTGGGACCACTTCAGTACACTGCTAGACCAGTAAGACATTTTCTATAGAAACGGATTGAAGGTAGCATTAAGGAATTCAGTAAGTGTGCTCTGCTGACATAAGCTACACTTTCTCGGATCACACCCAGAATGAGTGACCTCGGATCACACCCAGAATGAGTGACAACTTTTCTCTATGCTACGCACAGTTCCAAACATAAGAACAGGTAAAGTAAGCACAACTAGTTAAAAAAATAGCTTAACAAGCAAAAATGAGCCGAGAAAATAGGGAGTTTTAGAATAACGGGCCCTACTTTATCTCGCGTTACGGACGGCAAAAGCGTTTCTCTGCCGGGGACCCAAAACGCAAGCATTTCGCACGCCACCAAGATGTTGCGATAGCTTTTATTTTGAAGTTCGAATGTTATATCTTTAAAAATAAACAAGCTTTTCGTCTGGAATAACATTTTTATAGTTGTTTTATACTCAATGCCGCATGTTTCTGTCACTGCCAAGCTGCTCGGTTGTACTTCCGAGGCCACGACGATCCACAACCCCGGCATGCTTACATTTCTGCCGCGATCGCAAGTACACGCGCTTTGATAGCTTTGAGCTCTGAATCCAGCGGTATGTGACATTTTCAATACGCTTTGACTATAACAACCATGGTTGCGGTCGCCAAGTGCGACTCACGCAGTCCCAAGCGGGCGGCGGGCGTCGAAGACGCGATCAACGGAGATGTCGTGGGTGCCGCCATTTGTGGCACCCACGCTATTTCCGAGAAATAATGGGCCCCAAAGCCCAAGCGCCAAAGCTCGTTTTGGGTCTGCGCATTCGCACTGGCGACGACGTTATTTATTTTATTTATTTATTTCACAATACTGCCAGCCCCTTCAAGGACCAAGGCAGGAGGGGGTAATACAAACACGGAAATCAAATACAACACTGCTTTCGAGGTTGCGGACGTCATTCTGAAACTCTTTAATGTTCAAACTTCCACGCGTCTACAATGCAAACAAAGACCAGAAGAAGCATGCTTACCAACTGTGTTGAGGTGCTCGCTATACTGTCGCGTCGTGGGTCTTCCACGCTCTTCTTGACCATAATCAACATAAGAGGAAACTTCACAGATAGATAAAGTTGAATAAATTAGCACATTTCCATGTCTAAAAGCATTTTCGTCCCCCGACAGAAACACACCCGATGCACGACAAGACAATGTCGGGGAAAAAAAATGTGTGGTGTCGCTAGCGATGGGTTGCTGTAACTAGTACGATCTCGATAGGAATAGATAACTGGGCAA